ACAAATCAGACCTTCCCGGCCGTGTCATCGTAAAACATCCCCCAGGAAGGTTGCGACCTCCTCACCCTTTCAACTCATCTGCAGGCATAGCAAGTCAAGAGAGGAGGAGGGCCCTCCATGCTGTGGCATAACTACCGAATCCACATTATCACATGAAAATCAGGTAATGTATGAATGGAGACAGTTCAGTCAAAGTGGGATATGGGGCTAAATACCAACCAGTGAAGTTCAGGTGGCCAGGTAGTGGTTCCAGGTTCTGCTGTTGCGATTGTTTTTATTCTCTATCATCTGCTCTTAATGGCTAGATGGAGACTTCACAGAGCTGTATGTCCAGAAACACCCTGAATAAGAAAATACAGCCAGAAGGGCAGAGTCTCTAAACCCCAGCAATACAATATACAGATACAATATATTGGTAGCCCAATTTAAACCTAAAAATCAGAGTTCTTGTGTATCTTGTATGTCCACTGCAGACACGGTAGTTCTTCTGCCTTAGCATACTGGTCTGATTGCATCTTCATGAAATAATAATTATAAATTTTCTTCCTTGAGCTGCGAAACCCCGCTGCACTCGGTGATCGACTCGTCAGAGTTCCCCCCACAAACAAGCGGCTGTTGGAGGAGAGTGAGTGAGTGAGTTGTGTTTAGTCTCTTTGCTAAAGAAATCAGGCAAAGCTAAAAAGATGTTTGGTGGCTGGTGCTATGGCTGGGACCCTGTATGTGCTGTTGATGAAGTGGCTATAGAGTGGCTATTGAGTTTTTTTTTTTTTTGGTTGTTGTTGCGGTTTGCACATGGAGACATAGACCGCTGTGTATTGCTGTATTGCGGTCTTTGCTGAAGTTGGTAAAACTAGAGAAGCAAGCAGTCGGCAACATTAATCTCTTGAGGGGGGGGTCTAACTCTGTGTTACAGTGTTACGGTGTGTTTGAATAACTTAAATTTATGCCAGAATATCCCTTTAAGCAAAAGCAGTAAAATACAGCTTCTTCACTTTCAAGACCGAAGGTTGCCACCTCTTAATCTGCTTAAAATGAAGACGTGAGTAACATAATAAAAGCTCTTGTGGAGAACTTTTTGTTTTTATTGATTTAGGTGCCCCCAGTGGACAAAGCAGTCTTTGCTTATCTTACCGTCCATGTACTTAGGGTGTCATCAAAAAAAAAAAACCTCATCCTGCTGACTTTTGTCAATCAAATATCTCAGTTATTATGTATATTTTACGTTACTTCCAAACACCAGGCAGTTCAGTTTTGATTTTGTCATCTCAATCATTGTAGAGAACCCAAGAAAGCAAGCTGAAAGAAAAATGCCTCTCTGTTTCAAAACTACAAATGTACTGACTTCAATATTTAACAGATACGACCACCTTTCAGCACAGTTCACGTGCCAATTCACCCTGCATCTTATTCAGAGTCATGTGTCTGATCTGGCACTTATATCAGCTGGGTAACATCCCTTGTGAATGCCTTTAAACAGTGAAATATATCAGTTTAGATGTAGTTTGATGACATTAGAAAGTCTGTTCATCAGGTTTATGAAGAGACATCTTTTCACAAACATTGAGAAAATACTCTGGCAGCCTTCTTCATAGTATATAGTTATTATTCCTGAGTTTTTCTGTATTTTGACATCATTCCGAGAGCACTTTTTTTATTCTGAAGGGTCCATGGTATGAGCAGTTTGCTCTTGGCTTCAAACAATCACTTTTCAAACTCTCCTTTAACTTGCTTTTTTGTGCCTTTCATCACTTTTGAGGCCTAGAAAGATAACCCAACATCTTCTTAAAAGAACTTGCTCACAAACACACATACACATATATACTCATACATTGAGGCCCATCCAGCGTCAGACTCCCTGTTGCTCCAACCTGATGGAGCCATCAGCCAGAAGCCAGACACAGAGCAGTTGTTCTCATGGTCTCATCCCCGCTGCAGAGCCTTGACATGGAGAGAGACAAACAATTTGGCCTCCCTCCCACAGTCTCAGCCCGGGGAGCCAGAGGGGGAGGCAACCAGGGGATGCTGTGTGTGTGAGTGTGAGTGTGACAGAGAGGGAATAAGAGAGGGGACTTGGTGTTTGTGTCAGTCAGAGAGAAAGAAAAGACATATTTCTGAGAGTGTGTTCCAATATGGAAAATGTCAGATACAGGCAGAGGGGATCTATTTGCAGCCAAACAGTTTGTTCCATGAATGTTAAGGGGGTTTGCTTTCAACAAGTGGGATAAATTTCCACTGTACTCTTTGCATATAGACAGCCTTTCTTTTGTCCTTTGCAGAAATGGAGGTTTTGCTCATGCAGGTTGTTTGGCCAGCTTTGAATATTACCACCGACAGGATAAGACTTGGAGGCTTTTGACACAGGGGCTAGGACAAAGGGAAATGGGGTCGTGTGGTGAAATGGTTAATGTGAATCTTAATAGAGGCGGCAATGTCATTATCTCCAAATCCGCTGAGCCCTCTCGACCGGGGGTCGCAGCGTTAGACGGCCACTTTACATCCCGAGCGTGTCGGGCCAAGAGACCGGGGGCATGACTGCCAATCCCATCCGGAGGATTTGTGTCCTCCTCCACCAAATTCAGTAAGCGCATGCAGGCTCATAAAGGTGTTGAGAATTGAGGAATTTGTCTGGGAGACATGGCCAAAGTCAATGAGCTAGTTTTGTCTTTCAGCTGCAGAAAGAGCGAAGAGGGTCAGGGCCTTGCAAGGCACCTGAACCCTCCTCATCCTCTTCTTCTTCCTCCTCCACCTGCGTCCACTGAAACAGGCCTGAGTGAAGAGGCTCAGCCCGCCTTCAAATGAGATGAACACTGTCAGATTTACACACTGCCATGGTTTCAACCAACCCCTGATAATCCCTTCCCAGAAATAAATTGTCCCATTAAAATGAAATGTTGCCCATATAGGTTTAATAAATTGAAAACGCTTGTTTGAATCCTCGGTAATTTGGACGGAATCCCAAGCATGTAGCAAAGGCTGCAGCAAAATAAGATTATTTGCTGTGTATTATAATGTATGCAGCAGTTTTATGCGACCAAACAGTGTCAGTGAACCCCCCGATGAAATGTGTGCTTATTTATATGCAGTTATTCAGGTATGCAGTAAATTCCAATTACTTCTTAAGATTTCTATTTAGCATGAGGGGGGAATATGACAGGGAAGCTCTGTGTTTTGAGCGGCATTGTAAATCTCGTTAACTCTTTGCAGCATGCTGGGAGAAATCTGCATTCATGTCAGGGAGCTGGCAGTGCATAAGATTTTAACAACTGGCTAATAGTTCAATACAGGGATGTCTGAGGTAGATTCAGGGGAAGATTTCAGAGCAGTGGATTTGTTTGTAAGATGATGCTTATAGCCAGTAACACCATTACAAATCTTAAGTGTTGTTTGTTTACATTAATTCATTCAATGTAAATGTATTCTTGTTCCTATAGTAAAGCTAGAAAAGCATTTACACTATCATTGGGAATAAAATGACCAGCTCGCCAGAAAAGATACGTTAGAGGTTCATCTATGGCATCAATTTGGGGAGAAAATACTCTTTTAAAATACCTGCTGGGGTTTCTGACAGTTCATTATGTGATATAACAAATCCAGCTATGGTATACACCAAATTTCTGCCCCAAAGTACAGACATATTACTGCTATATGATAGACCAGGTTGCTCAGTCAGTTAAAGCTCCACTGAGAAATTTTCAGTTTGTGTAAATTTAAGTTTCCCCTGAGTTACCTCCTCTTCACCTCCTGATAATTGTGGTCGTAAAATATCACAATAAGGATAGATATTACTGTTATATTGATGGAAAATTAACAATGTATTACAAACAATCACTTAAATTTAGGAAAGGCAAGACTACTTTAGAGCAGCACATTGTTTCATAACCTGAACCAATAAACACACTTAACATAAATGTCAGCATCTATTTCGAATGACATTTACATTTATGATTCATCACCAGCCATGTGACTAGAGCTATTTTAGAGAGGACATAACCTCATTAAACAATCATTTATAATGCTTTCATTTTGACATATTTGTCTTGCCTATAAGTTGCTTTAAATCCTATATTTAAACTATGCTTTTATTTTGAAGTATTCTACTGATATTTAATCGTAGGTTGCAGCACTAAATGAAAATGGTTCAAAGAACAGCCATAAAGTAATGTTGAGTTGAATAGTGACCTAAAGAGGCACCAGCTCCAACGTTGTTTTTATGTCTGCAATAAATCTTTGGATGTCTTTTTTTTTTAAATTGCATAATCATCTCCAAGGGCTGCTACCGGCTCCTTCACTAGCTGTCTGCCTCTTCTTCATCTTTCCTCAGTTTTATGATGTGTAGGAACCAGCCTATACCATATGCTTACTTATAAAGATTATGCCAAATTACTTGGTTGGTTAAAGCTCCAGTGAGGGGTTTTCAGTTTGTGTATGACTGTCATCATCAATACCAGTGTATTACGACAGCCCTAATGTGCACATGATATTATCATCATTTGAGAAGAAGTTATTATCTTGTGCAAAGAAGTCCTTGTCTAGTTGGAGCAAGATATTGTCCTGTACACACGTCTAATACACAAGTTATACTGTGCACACAATATTTACCTTTTGGGAAAACATCACTTATCCTGTGCGCACAAGATAATTACTTTTGCACAGGAGAAACTCTAAACAAAGCTAATTTCACACTGTTTTTGGAGAGGGTCTGAATGAATAAGGCATGTTTTTGTGTGAGTTTGGTTCGGCTTTCTTTCTTTGTTTAAGTTATAAGTTACACAGATTTGAACTTGAGCATTTTTAGTGCAGTTCTAGTCTGTAAATTCTTATTTTTCTAGGGTTGTGTTGATTTTCATCATCTTGATTTAAAGATAAAACCTGTTTGAGTTGTACACTGCTCATTTATTCAGAGGTATACTATTTGACATGGTGCACCCTGGTTGCTGGTGGATTGGTATTGTCTATCACCATGAAGTCATCCATCTCAGTAGTTGTTGTGTTGTAGTTGTGGTCAACATTGAACATGTTGGAGATGTACACCATGCTCCCAGCTGGTATGGTACACCAGCCATGGAGTCTGATGACTTTGAAAAGAGTCGTGTAACAGCTGTTTCTATCATGAATGATCTTCTATAACTGAAAGGTCCATCTCTATAGAAATCTTTCCTTGTAATATTGCTAGACCGTCAGAATTATAGTCTAAGTCTGTCAGTGACAAAAACAAGATTTACTGTGTAAATGTAAAAATTCATTTTCATTTTAATGAACAATTATGAAGCTGTCTGTCTATTAGACTCCAAAATGTGTTCAAAATTACTCCAATATTTTTTAACCTAAAACTGCTCTACAAGAATTTAAAAGAAATACATAATATTCTGTTTATTTCAAAGACTAAATATCTAATCAAATACTGTAGTGCAGAATCAACAACATCATTGAAAGAATTTTTACTTTGTTTGTAGAGAAAAAAAAACTTTGCTATTGTGCAAAAATACACAATGGGTTGGTTTTTTGCATTTTTTTTTCTCTAACTTTATGAGTTGACCGCTGGATTGGTATGGTTGGAAAATAATTTTTGAGCTTTCAATTGGTCAATGATTACTGAGGAAGGGATATATAACAAGCAACAATTGCACCATAAATGGAACAATCTAGAAATTCACAATAATGCAATATTATTGGGACAAAGTGGGCAGGTGGGTTTTTAGGGGGCTGTACTTAAGGCCCCCAAAACTCATGGACCAGCCCTGGATTGTGAAAAACAGGCTCATTCCACACAGGCTAGACTATACCTATATCAACCAGATTTTTCATTGGTTTGAAATCACAACACTTTGTAGTTAATCCATTCAGTATATGTTTGTGGGTTTTTGTACTTTATAATCAATCTAAAAAAACAACTCTTGGAGGATTCAGTTGCAGCTGTTTTACTTGTTGTGTATGTGAAAGGATAGTGGGCTGTTGTTTTTCATTTGTTACCTGAACATTTTGTGATAAACATGTAATAAATACAAACAGTCAAAGAGAGAGTGCAGGTGGAGTCTTTGAGAGGTGGTCTAGGTTAATGTTGTTTACCTTTCATCACAACACATTTTTAATGCCACTCATATTTACAGCATGTGCTATAATGGCATCAAGAGCTGAACGACAGGGGCTCTTTACTTTGACCCTCATAAACGCTGGCCCTGGATTTTTACCACCAGGCCTGCACTGGTAGTCTGGTTCAGTGGTGTGAGGCATGTAGTCTGTCTGTGACTGTGTGTGATTTCTGTGATATGAGCTATACAGCATGAGTGGAGGCCGGATGTTTCTATCCCCTCCCCTGCATTCAGTCCCCCGTGCTGGACCCCCAGGGGCCCTAAATCCCCGCTGCTCTTCCCTGCAGCCCCCCTCTGACGTGCAGCATGCTGAGGCGAGCCGCGCTTTGCCTATGCATTAGCCATCCATTTCCCCCGGCTGACACCTCTCCAACATAAAACCGTAAGGCGGAGGTAAAATATCTCTCTCCTGGCGAAAATAAAGCTTTGTCTGCCTGCTGATCTATTGGATATAAAAATAAAGCCGCGGCTTTGATGCGGGCTTTACCTTATGCGCGCCTTTGCTTTTTGCGCACACAAAAGCTCCAATGAAGATGGATAGAGCGGGATCGGCGGCGGTGCGTCCAGCACAGCAGCATCACTCACTCCACTTCTTCCTCTTCCTCCTCCTCCTCTTTCCTTCGCAGATTTTTTTCTTTTTTACTCTGGTGTCGTTTAGGACTCTGCTGTTTGGTATTGATCAGTGAATGTCGATAATTATACAGGGCTTTTCAGGCTAAGCGGTTTTGGGAAAGTTGCGGCGTTCACGTGAAAGAGTCATCAGTTTCTCCTTGATTCCAGCTTGATTTGAGTTTCTTTTTTTTTCTTCTTTATTATTTTAATAGCGAGTCTGAGAACATTTCCAGGTTGTGCGTGAAAATCTTTGATACCTTTTGCGTTTTTTAGCTCTGTGGATAAGAACGACCTGAATACAGATCAGCGGCTGCGCCTTTGTTTTGAGCCCTGACTGTGCGGGCCTGTACCACTGCATTTGAATTTTAATGATGCAAAGAGTTCATGATAAATCGAGGCTTTTTCTGCTCTAGCCAACACCTTACTATTTATGTACTTCACAACATAGCAATCCCCTAATATCTCAGGTTTACCTCAATCTTTTTTAGCTATTTTTAAAACCCTTCGAGGAAAGCTTTTTCCGATTTATTCCCAGAGATTTCAAAAATGTCCAACAAAGACCTCGAACTATTCGAGACTTTATATTCCTACAGCAAAGAGCAAGGTGTTTCATGATCAGAAATTATTTTAGAAAAGCAGGATTTAAAATTCAAAAGCTTTAGAAGGCACTTTTTGTCTCATGGAAGTCTTGAATGTGATGCACTTTTATGTAATGGCATAAATTCTTTTCAACTTGCCAAACTTCCTAAAGACCCTTAGGGGAAATTTTTGTTTTGGGGTCAAGGCATTGCTTATACGCAATTCTTATGTGGCCTTTTGTGGCTAAACTCCCGTTTTGGAAGATCCTCAATGTTCCAAATACAAGTAATGATATATCTTGGTAATATTTTCTCAAAAAGAAGCTTATACTTTTGTTTTTGTTGTTTGATAATTTAGGGTTAAAATCCAAACGAACATCCTGGACAAAAATGCCCTTATTTTAAAGCATCTAAAGCCCTCGGATTGTCATTGTTAATAAAAACATAAAAGCAGCAGATGTATGGTTAAGCAGGAGGGCCATTCTGCTGAATATTTTAAGGCAGGTATCAGCAGCGGCCAGCTCTCCCTCTCTCTCCGCGCTCGCGGGCTTTTTTTTCTCTCTCTCTCTCTCTCTCTTTTTATTTTTTTTATTTCAGAGCGCAGAAATCCGCTGCGGTGTCTGCAGCAGCAGCAGCAGCTATCTGCCGCTCTGCAGCCACGCAAGCCCGTCCCCTGAGCATTGGCCAGCGGGCGATAATATCTCAAAGGGAGTGGTTATCGCCACACATTATATTATAATCATTAGTGATCCTAGCCCTTTCACCCCGACTGCAGAATAAGCGCGCACTACCATTAATCTGAACTGGGGGAACTGCTTTACAGGCTGCTTCCCAGCGCCTCCTGCATGTGCGCTCATTTCTCTGGGACTGTGTTTGGAGAACGAGGGCTGAGCTCTCTCTCGGGCTCTCTCTCTCTCTCTCTCTCTCTCTCTCTCTCTCTCTCTCTCTCTCTCTCTCTCTCTCTCTCTCTCTCTTATTCACGGTCAAGGAGGTGGGGAACTCTCTTTGCTGTCAGTCCAAAATGACAGAAAAATATGACATCTTGCTTTTCATTCAGTTGATGCCTCAGTTGTGTTTGTAAATCAACTTATCTGCTTTGAATTTAAATATTGTATTCTGAAACGAATTCTGGTGCCCAAAACTTCAACTTTTTCCTCTTTTTATTTACATTTAAAACACAGAGAAAATAATTTTCGCAGTTTGTATCAATGCGAGGATACTCCCTGCCATTTTTCAATTTGAAAAACCTAAAAAACGACAGACTAATCCATATATTTGTGTGTTTTAAGTATGTGTGTGCTCGCTTTAGGCTTTACCACCAGATAAGGCATCACTGTAATGAAGCTGGATAGGAGTGTGGTGCGATTTTGTTGTCCTTCTCTGTTATAAAGCTGCATCATTTGGCTTTAAGAAAATATTAGTAATAATAATGGTATCTTTGCCTTAGCTCTGTCTTTGCCCGGGCTGAATTCGCCCCCTAGAGGACCGAGTGGGACTCTGATGGTGTTCGTGGCCTTGTTTCTGGCTGACCTCGGAGTCTCATGCAGGTTCCGGACTCCAAATCCCCTCAAATTCATTGAATCATATGATCTCTTTGAGAAACGCACAGACAGTGAGGAGGACAGAGGAGTTTGTCCGGCCTGTTGATGTGTGTGTGTGTGTGTGTGTGTGTGTGTGTGTGTGTGTGTGTGTGTGTGTGTGTGTGTGTGTGTGTGTGTGTGTGTGTGTGTGGATGCAGTGGGGGGTTGACTGACTGAGAAGGGACAGCTGTAGGGAGATGATCTATAAATCCCATTGGATTTCTCTCAGCACAGGCCGGGACCGGAGTTGGAAAGTCTGGAAAATGTTTGCGTAGAGTTGCTGTTGGCTCAATAATCCACGTCGAGTTCACATCGGCATATGTTTGGCTGCTGATCTACAGGAGGGAGGAGGAAAGGGAGGGGAGGGGAGGGATTGAACTCAACACAGCTCAGCCAGTTGATTGTGGGACTGTGCGTGCTTGGCGTTTGTGGGTTACACCATCACAGACTCAGAAATTCTCCAAATGTGTGTTAAAGTATACGAGGCCTTTTCTGCTGCGTGAGCACCGCGCGCCGGGACGGATGGATGGAGGAGGAATGGGGGGGAGAGGGGGTCGGATTTCGGTCCTGGGAGTGCGTGATAATGCGGTGGAGAATGATTGACAGACTGGGCAGAGTAGGGACGAGAAGACCCCCTCATACTACAACACACACACGCACACACACACACACACACACACACACACACACACACACACACACACACAGACAGAAGAAGCTTCTCTGGAAGCTCATGCCCTCCAAACATCCACAATTTGCTCAACTTTGCGCGTTTTTACGCATTTGGCGCAGCCATCCTAAGAGTCAGGGGGAAAATATTAATGGTGTACTAAGAATGCTGAGTGATTTTTTTTAAAATCAAAAGTATTTTGTTGTCTGGTCAAGGTTTTGTTCTCGGTTAAAAGATGATTATTTTTGAGACAGAAAAAAACGCATCCTTATACATTTAGTTTCAGAAGTGTTTTCTTTTTTTGCATTGGAATATATGTTCATGCGCAGTCTTAGTCCGAGTCACTTGAAATGGAATAAGACCAAAACGTAAAATACATTTTTCTATTTCAAAAAATAGCTTTTAATCGTCTGTCTTTCAAAATTAATCACATTTTTCCGCTCTTAAATTCTTTCCCAATTCCACCTTCTGAGGTTTTCCATGCAAGAATAGGGATAGAAATGTATCCAAATAATATTAACTGAGCCAGTTTCCCAGGGACGGGCTGTTTATTCCTGAAACAAACACATTCATAAAGCAGGATGATCAATGCAGCTTATTATGAATCATGAATGTTAGCGCCTGTTCGCAATAGAACCCTTTGTATAAAAAGAGGGGAAATCTGAGAAACTGTAAACAACAGAGCAGTGGACCAGTACCCCACCCTCCATGCATGTCCATCCCTCCTCCACCTCCTCCTCATCCTCCCTGGTTCACTCAGCTGATCAAAGCTCCAGTCCGGGGGAGATTTCTCTCTGTGTTGCCGGAGTCACGCTTGGTCCCCGGCTATATGGGACCAAACAGCCTGGCTTTCCCAACCAGACCACCCCGGTAATCTACACTAGAACGAAGAGGAACCATTTTGCTCCTATTTCAAGCTCCCTCCTCATCTTATCACCTGCCCGATTCAGGCTTTCTCCGGGAGTCCTCTCCCTCCACGAGCCGTGCACCTTGCGCATTGTTGTGGTGACATTGTCTCTTAACTGAGCCTGGAGGAGAGAGGGGAGACAAATAAACGTGTCATGATTAGAATTAATGATTGCATGCATCTTCACTGCCTCATTCATTATCTCAGATTAATTATCTCGCGGTGTACCAGTTCACTTGTCTGCACTTCATAAACCCCAAACCTCTTGGGCTGCTTTACAACACTGTGGCCTGATAGTGAAATACCCCCTTTCTTTAGCCGTGCTAGCATGGCCTCTTTAGTCGTGACTTACACTTTGTATTTAAAAAAAATACTTTTATAAAAATTAAAAAACATGATTTGTGTTTAAAATAATACTCTCTTTTCGGGCAGGTGTAAAAAACACATTCTGATAAGTTAACGTATTTGTATTTTTGGTTTTACGCAGTGATATGACTTTGTTTTCCCTTCCTGCACAGGCCTCGTGAAAGGCCTCCTGCTTTAAAAATCTACCTCTGATCACCCTTACAATAAATCAGCACAAATATGAAAATTATACACGTTGTTTTGTTCAACTTGAGCACACAGGCAGCTCCACAAATTCCAATTTGCAACTTCTGCCTGCGCCGGAATAAAAAATACAAGTGAGAATGAAATCTATTGCTAGTGAGGGATTACAGTGGTAAGGTTAAAACCATTTTTGCATTTAATAGTGTCTTTGCCTGGAGGGGAGCAGAGATATTTTTAAGCCTATAGCCCATATTTTGATTTCCTTCTATTCGTGGATTAATCTGCCTCTGTGAGCTGGCTTTTTCTCTCCCTGGTTTATTCCAAATCAGGCGGAGATTATCCCCACTGACAGACTATCAAGGCATCTTCTACACATGCAAACAACAACAAGTTTTCTTGTTTACATGCTGAATTTACAAGTTTGTGTGGAGGCTGAGGGTGTAAGACCTGCAGCCTGCAGGGCTTCGGGGGTTATTTTTCAAAAAGAAATCCTGTGCAGGTTCAAGTGCAGAAAGAAAGAAAAGTGGGCTTTGTGGTCCAGCAGAAACGCCATATTTCTACTGCTGGTTGTACTTTCAAGCACAACTATGAACCGCCCGGTTGTCATGGAGCTCAATGACCCGTCTCTCTGATGGAAACAAAACCAGATGCTCTGCAGAATGCGCCCAGACGCGACGCAAACACAAATAGAAAAACAGATAAAACCAAGAGGAGAAGGACAGAAATAATATAGTGGAAGAAGAGGAGAATTCTAGGATGAAGAGGTGCAGCAGGAAAAAAAAAAATAAAAAGAGGAGCAGGCTGAATGTTTTGAAGCCTTATCTCTCTTTTTCTCCAGCCAGTAACACATGTCCTGTTGAGGAGGAGCTCCCCAGACGCCGGGAGGCAGCTGGACGGGGACGGGCGGCGTTTTGCATGAGAAGCAGCCCATATGCAGAAGGATGCTGCCGGGCTATTGGTGGAGAATAAATGAGTGGTCGCTTTTTTTTCTGCCCAAGTACTGAGCGTGATTCATCTCGAGACTAAATAAATAATTTGACAATTCAGTTTCTGCAGCAAACACAAGTGCAGTTTTAATTTTAGTTACATATTATATTTATTACCACTACAGTTATATTTGTGCTTAAAAGGCCCAAATTAAACCACAAACTTTTCAAATGTAGTTACTTTAAATTAGTGAAATAGTCCAACGACAGGACTTTTTCTAACTTGATCTTCTCTCCAACTTGACAAAAAGACACACACCTCAGAGGTGTGAAGGAGTGCGGGCCTGTAAGTCACCACAAAGACGTGACTGATCTCTGAGATGGGAAATGACTAATAATCCCGCAGCCTGTGAGGCTCATGGTGTTATTTACTTAAGGTGGACTTGAAGTGGATTGGACCTCCCTAATGAATCGTCCGAGGTGTCTGGGCCGCGAGCTCCTGACGGGCAGAGCCGCGCGAGCTGTCAACTTTAGAGCCTCTCTGTCTTTCACTTCAACGCTTCCTCTCCATCATCACACCAAAGAGAAAACTAGCTGCTAAAGCGCACTGCCGCTAATGCGCAGGGAAACACGATGAAAGTCGACGAGAACATGACGGTGATTCTCTATCTCCTCAACCCTAAATTAGATCTTGACAGAGAAGTTCTGCAGCTCTTGGCTGTGTTATCAAACACTAAGCTTTAGACATGATGCATCAAAGCGCAAAGCAGGCGTAAGATCGAATAATTTAGCTCCTTTATTGTCGATAAAAGCCCCCGGTTATTCCTCAGATTACTAAAAACATACATGCCAAACTTGTGCGTAATTTTCTGGCGCGGAGTAAGTTTACATGAATAAACAGAGAGCCTGCCATGCACCATGCGCCTGCAGCTCCTTTATCCTGAAGATGCTGCTGTATCTACCTGCTCAGATTCCTCCTCCATGCCCCCCTCATGCCCAGCAGACAATTTGCTCGGCAGCTGAGAAGTGGCGTCTCTCCCTCCGCGCTGCTCGCCCTCCGCCGCGGCTGCTTCCTCCAAACACATTCACTAACATATGACAGTTTGCAGGGAAATTCTTGACAATTGGTGTCTTGAGTGTGTGGCATAAATAGCAGGCAGAGCCCTCGCTGGGTTATGATGGGGCGGCTTGATGGTTGCTGGCATGGCGCGGCGCTGATTGGTCCGGCCGTGGCCTGACGTCAGGAGGCTGGGAATAAGGCTGGGCTGGAGCTTTAGGAGCAAGACAGTGTTACTGGAGACCCAGCGCATCCCAGCATACACACCGTACTGGAGACTGAGGGCATCCCAGCATTCACACTGACTACTACCGGAGACGCCAGCGCATCCCAGAACCCCCCCCTCTGCCAGCACGAGCCCAATATCCAGGACCACCGGACTGAGCGCGAGGGGAAAACACTCTTTTTGAAAAATCTTTTGGGTGTGTGATTTTGTTTCTCGCCGGCTTGAAAACAGTGGATAAGCTGCCATGTCAAAGTACACTGATTTATTTATAGGCGTGCGTGTCTTGTTGTGTGACAGCTCTGCCCTGAAAGCTTTTTACTAGACGCCTCTTGCAGCTCTTGACTGGCACACGACGCTCCTCTCAGCCGATGCGTCACTTCACGCGCGCCGGGACAACCAAGCTGGCTCCGGTCTCTTCGCCTGAGCTGATCTGCAGCTTCCTCAGTTGAATTCTACATTTTGGTTTCGCCTCGGATCCAATAACGGACTGATTGTTTCATGTTTGGCTGAGCAAAAGGACGCGGTCGCATCCCCTTCCTGCTCCTTCCTTTCTTTTTTTTTTTGGACGCTGATTCTTTTTACGCATGCAGGGAGAAATCTGTGGTGACACCTGATCGACTGGCTTCTCCGCACACATTGACCCGGGAGCTCCAGGCGAATCAGGGAGAGGAGAAAAGCAGATACTCGGTCAATGCTCGGCCTTTGCTGTTGATTTTGTTTGTGTGTGTGCGTGTTTGTGTGTGTGCGAGCGCGCTCTTCATTTGTGGGGGTTTGTTGCCCAGCCAAAGCCATGGTCCACTGCGCCGGCTGCGAGAGGCCTATCCTGGACCGCTTTCTGCTCAACGTGCTGGACAGAGCCTGGCACGTCAAGTGCGTGCAGTGCTGCGAGTGCAAGTGTAATCTGACAGAGAAATGTTTTTCTCGAGAGGGGAGACTGTACTGCAAAAATGATTTCTTTAGGTAAGCTCGAGGAGGGTGAAAGACCAACTCCACAGCAGTGTTTTTTTGTTTGAGAATGTCTGTTTTTTATTTTTATTTTTTATTTTTTACAAGAAGCAGAAGTGAAGAAGCAGCAGCTTAAAAGGTGCCTTCAGAAAATAACGGAGACTCAAAGTAGAAAAGGAGAAAGAAAGGGCGAACGTGGCGCGTGAGAAGTGTGGGAATACTTACTTTTTTAGCTAAAATTTACGTAAAAACGTTAAAAATTCAGATTTTTAGTGTAAATTACATTTTTGTGCATTCTTTTTTGACAACCATATTTTCTGTCTTAACAAGAAAAGTCATTTCTAAAAGCTCCTATTCCAAAACAAAACCAGCAAATATGATCAACACAGGTCTTCCTAAATTTACCTTTTAAAGTACCTGAAAATCAAGAAGCACATCTGTTGACTGCATGTGAGTGCAGGTGTTTAAAATAAACGCAGATGATCCCTTTTCTCTATTTTTCCTCTCAATATGTGGATAAATCGACCTGTCCGTGCCTGCAGGCGTGAACGAGCACTCGGAGGCGATAAGCTTTGATTAGGAGCGAGTAATTAAAAGCTTGTTAATTTGGATTCTTATGCAAAACAACAACAAAAGAGGGCCAGCGACATTAAACGCGTGTGCACTCGCTCACAGCGGGGAGAGGGGAGCGAGGAGGGGAGGGGGTGTTGTTAGGAAATCGAGGAAATCACACTTGAGGTGTTTGTTTTATTTTTACGGCGTGCAGCAGCAGCCGGTCACTGCTCAGGATCAAACCCGGGCCAGGGGAGCCGCTGGCCCGGTGTGTTTGCTCAGTCCGGCTGAGGAGGACGTGATAAGTGGATTTGAATAGTAAACTAGTTGAAAAGATCAAGTCCGCAGACAATGCAATCACAGACGTGCAGTCAACAAGCAGTGCACAGCACTCAATACACATTGTTTAACGTGGAGTCAATGGCAGGGCTGTAATTTATTATTGCAAAGCAGACTGCTGAGGGATGGCGTTAATGGGACCTGGATATTAACTGGATTTCACCTTTGAAACGCTCTTATGTTTGGCTTTAAAACTGTACACACAATCTGTGCAAGAAAACCCTAAACAGATTAGTTGATGAGGAACACAAACAAGTAAATAAACAGAATCAATTCAATGTGTGTGCACGTAATTTTACGATGTTTATTTTAGAAAATAACGAGAAGAAAACCAAGTTTTTAAATGAATTTTGAAAAAAGGTGTAGAGTATAAAAACTGCACACGAGATTTCCCAACATGGTTTCATCTAAATTTTGCCATAAGTATTATTTTGGTGTACTTATTATTATTATTATTATTATTATTATTATTATTATTATTATTATTATTATTATTATTATTATATGAAACAAGCCATAAGGTAAATTTTGAAAATTAGCAATAGAACAACGTTTTTTAAAAGGTCTCCAAATCTATTTCTAATATTGGGCTGTTTTTATCTTCTGCCTAATTTTTTTTTTTTTTTTAATATATATTATTATTTCTTTTGCTGATTTTTAGCATATTTATATTTTATTTTTTTAAAGATGTTTTTTTTTTTTTTTCAACTTCCTATACCCAAATATCCGTTTCAAAATTTTAGGTCAGACTTTGTGCTTATATCACATTTCATTCAGGAGGAAACGACAAAATGTGCTTCAAAATTACAAAATGAGTGTAAAAGCTTTAACAATAATTAGTTTAAAGATACCGGATGTATGTGCATTATCAAAAAATATCAAAACATATAAAAACGCAGCCTTTCACACAGTTACGCATTATATAGGCTTAAAAACGAACCTTATGTGACTTTGTCTTTATCTGAAATTATTTTTTACTGTCCCTGAAATTATCAGTTCACGATAAATTCAATGATCAACATTTTAAATCGTTTATCTTTATCCAGGTTGTGCAAAATGAGACACCAGATCCCACTAAATAATAACAGAATGTAATCATTATCGTGTAAAATGTGCTTGTGAATGTGTATTTTAAAAAAGATAGAAATATAAAAATTCTGTGAAGCATATCTCTGATAATAAAAGTAAAAATCTCTCTCTCCTATTTCCTCCTGCAGGCGGTTCGGGACAAAGTGTGGTGGTTGTGCGCAGGGCATCTCTCCGAACGACCTGGTCCGGAGGGCCCGGAGCAAAGTGTTTCACCTCAACTGCTTCACGTGCATGATGTGCAATAAGCAGCTCTCCACCGGAGAGGAGCTCTACATCATCGACGAGAACAAATTTGTTTGCAAAGACGATTACCTAAACAACACCAATGTGAAAGACACCAACCTCCTCTCAGGTACGCTCAGTGTTTGTGTATGTATGTGTGTGTATTTGTAGCCTGTGTGTGCGTGTGTGTTAATGTGAAAGTGTAAGAGTGAGGAGGATAAATTGTGATGGATACGGTGTGTGCAGCCCCGCAGAGGCTTCATCATCTCCAGGAGCAGGACTTAGACTGCTCTCAGAGACATTCAAAACAAAGCGGATTGTCTGATCATCGTGACGTTTCAGATGTTTGTGGTTTAATTTTTTATGTCAAAGTTTTTACTCTTATCTAATCTCTCATCTGATAAATAAAATGTAAAGGTTTCAATCTTTTCTGAGCCTGAAATTTGTTCATAATTTGTTGAATTATCCGTCATGATGGCCAAAATATTAGTTTGTATTTTCGCCTACATGAAATCACAGAAGATGAAACAGCATGAAGTGCATTTATTTGCTAAATTTAATCTTATTATTATCAAAGAAATATATTTTTGTTTCTAAATAATTCCACTTTATAGATGAGTAAATATTTTTCGAAGCAGAATCGCACTAAATATCTGCTCAAATGTGGTCTGCCTTCATAAATGTTTGGAGTTTGCATCATTGGATCGGGGTCAGAGTTCAGCCCCTTTGACAGCTGATTCTGTCCTCTTGCTCCATATTTCTGCAGCAGTCTGTCTCCATATTCCGCTGCTTGACTCTCAATAATCCCTCGCATCTCTATCCTGCAGTAACGGCATGTAGCGACCCCAGCTTATCGCCGGACTCCCAAGACCAGCTCCAGGATGACGTGGTCCTAAAGGACACCGAGATCGCCGCCCTGTCCGACAAAGAGACGGTAAATAACGAGAACGACGACCAGAACCTCGGGGGGAAGCGGCGCGGCCCGCGGACCACCATCAAGGCCAAGCAGCTGGAGACGCTGAAGGCGGCGTTTGCTGCGACCCCCAAACCCACCAGACACATCAGGGAGCAGCTAGCCCAGGAGACCGGCCTCAACATGAGGGTCATCCAGGTAAAGCAGCGTCTGAATGTTCAAGATATGGGGGTCTTAAAGATCCAAACAATGGAGCATCATTCTTATTTCACCTTTAATTCACGCAGTCAGACTGAAACACTCCTGCTGCTCCAGATTTTTTCAGCAAACCAGAAGAAGAACAAATCAAGGTTCCTGTATCTGGTTTGTTTAACATGAGGGTCCTGAGGTTTGATCTGATCTGGTCTAAAATTTTATGGAAATGATATTCGGGGACACCCACAGGTTGGGGAGGTGGTCTCGCTTTCTGTTTTATAGGGCGTTACGCACCCATTAAAAGGTGTGATGTAACAGCTTATATTTTATGGAAAAATGTCCCTGCCCGGCTGCCACACTGTCATGACCGCGCAGGCCCTGCTCATCCCATCAGAGAGGCTCCACCTCCATCCCCCCTCTCACCTCCCTCTGTCACATCCTTCACCCCTCTTTAAGGGAGGCCTCTTCCCTTCAACCCGCGCGCTCACATTGAATTCATTAAGCTAGAGATTGGCCGACGCACGAGGTTGATTTGGAAACGGGTAATTTATATGGGTATTTTTGATTCTTGGCGCGCGTGTCGGGGCGAAGTCGCCAACTGGCGCCGGGCTGCTGGGAGCGCTGGGAGTCCTGGCACAGCGCTGCCATCACGTTTTGCGACCACATTTAGCCATGCTGTGCGCATTTTCAGCCAAGTGGAAAGAGCAAAATCTGTTTGAGGGGTCTTCAGACTGTCTGCTCAGAAATGAATCACAACAGGGCCGCGTCCGCTTAAATAAAGACCCTATTATTATTATTATTATTATTATTATTATCATTATTATTATTGTAGATTTTGTAGAAGGAATTACCTCATTTTAATGTTTTGTTCCGGATTGGTTCCGAATTACCTCTGATATATTTTCAAATTTCTGAGTTATTACCCAAACTATTTTAGGAAAACTAACCTTCTTCTATCTATAAAAGGTCGGCACAGAAACTACCAGAAAGCCGGGAGTTGTTTTACATTTTTTATCCACTAACCGGTTTCCATAAATGAGATTTTTGCTCGTAATGCGGATGAGGCTGCGGGGCAGATCAAAAGGTAAAAAAGGTTTAGCATTGCAGATTAATGGCGATAAAGTAAAAGTGTTGGAGCAGTGGTATCTAATATGTATGAGCACGAGGGAAAAGGGAAGAGCGTAATTAAAGGAAGCCGGCCTATAGATTAGGAAATGATAACCTCCAAGAGCCCGGTAATATATCGGTAACAACCCTCCTATTAAGTATTAATTGGAGATTTTAAGCCCCCGCTGCTGCAGCCTTCAGCCGGAGTAAATGGAGGGTTAAAAGATCATTAGGGAGGTTAGATGGGACTCTCGCTCCTGAAACGATAATTGGCCGCAGTCCTCTCCACACACTGGCGCACAGCCTTGCGGATTTTACGCACCGGCTCATCACGCACGCTGCAAAACACCCCTAGCACACAGAGCTCGGTTATTTACTCAAATCAGGTGCCAATGTGTCCAGGTGCCAAGGTAAATATGACACCTAATTACACGAGCTTTTGTACGGGACAGAATTTACACAGCGAGTCTTTATTTGCATACCCAGAAAATAATCCTGAACCCACTTTTAATGTTCGCATTTTTTTATATTCATTTATTTCTCACACCAAAGCAGCCCTCCCCTCCATCCCCTTCATCTCTCCCTCTCCTATCTCTCCCCGCATTCAATATTGACGTGCAATCAAAATGGCGTCAGCAGCAGGTTTTGCGGAGTGACATGAGGTGACCCGTAAATAAATATATAAGTACATATTTGTGTGTGTTTTCAGGTTTGGTTCCAGAACAGACGTTCCAAAGAGAGGCGCATGAAGCAGCTGAGCGCGCTGGGCGCACGAAGGCACGCGTTCTTCCGGAGCCCGAGGCGGATGAGGACGCTTGTGGACCGGCTGGAGCCCGGGGAGCTGATCCCCAACGGGCCCTTCTCCTACTATGGAGGTATGAAAATGTTTATTGAAGGACTAATTTTTTAAGACCTCAAAAGTTTTAATCTTTTTATGGAGAATTCGTTTTTAATCGTGTTTAAATGATTTTTCGACACTTTATTCTCCACTGCTTTGAGCTGCATTATCCAGTTGACCCCAGTCTTTACTGTGGTCATTTATCTCGACCTTTATGTGTTTTGTTTTTTTTTCCCATGGCCTCTGATAGGGTTTTAAGGAATATTCTACGCTCTGCTCTATCTCATCTATAGGCCTCTTTATCAGTGAAATAAAAACGGAAGCAGGTTTTATTTGTGTTTTTGAAGGCTGTGTAAATTTTCCCTTCTACCTCATTGAAATCTATGCAAAAATAAGGAATGCAGTCTTTATGGCCACATATATTGTTTTAGCTCACAAAAGTAAAATCATTAAAAACAAGAGTGCCATGCAGTGATTTTCTCCCCACACAGTGTCTGTATTTGTGATAAAGTCTCTTATCTTGTCAGCATATTCTACAGTCCTGTTCCTTTCAGTTTGGGTCACTATAGTCTGACTTTTAAAAACCACTGAGTTCAGTTTGAGTAAACTTGGTTTGGACAGCGGTGATTCGATTTGAAACTCTCTCTTCAGATGTTTGATCATTTTCAGAGACTTTCCTTTATTCTCAGGCTTTCTGTCCTTCCTGCTGAAGCGAAGAGCTCTTCTAATAATATTCTGCTGAGTTAAAAAAACTCAGTCTCAGTAGGTAGAATCACTGATGAAATGGGCCTCATTTTAATTAATTTTGTGGCCACGTTGTTCTCCCCACCCAATTGCAGTTTTGATTTAAGTGTAACGTGCTCTGTGACTAATGTAGTACGGCAAGGGTCTCTCCCCACTCTCATACAAATCAAGCGATGTATATTCAATGAATTCCTCGACGTTTCTGAAATTATTCCTGCACCGCCATTGTTCTCTCAGTGACGCTGATTTTTAATTTTTTTTCTTTTTTTACTTGGATCTGCAGATTATCAAAGCGAATACTACGGCCCGGGAGGAAACTATGACTTCTTCCCTCAGGGGCCTCCGTCATCGCAGGCCCAGACCCCGGTCGATCTCCCCTTTGTGCCCTCCTCAGGCCCCACGGGCACCCCTCTAGGAGGCATGGACCACCCCCTGCCGGGCCACCACCCCTCCAGTGAGGTGCAGCGCTTCTCCGATATCATGTCCCACCACCCAGGGGACTCTCCCAGCCCGGAGCCTGGCATCCCGGGGCCCCTGCACAGTATCTCCTCAGAGGTGTTCGGCCCTAGTCCACCCTTTACCTCACTGTCTCTGAACGGCAGCGGATACAACAACCACCTGTCTCACCCGCCCTCGGAAATGAACGAGGGCACCGTGTGGTAGCTTTCAGAGGGAGCGGACTCTGCTGGAGTGAGATCTGGTGACGAAGGGTGAGGTTTGGTGGTGTTGGGGAGGCTGGGGTCGAGGACAGGGGACACCGACAGGCGTCATTATTTTTTGGGGTGTTTTCATATTTATTTATTTATTCTCTCAGTTGATTTGTTGATCTTTTCTGTGTGGAACGGCAAGCAAATTATGTTCACGACATTGTCTTCAGTGATGTGTTTGGGTGTTTGAACCGCTTCTTTTGCCCCCTTCCACCTCGGACTTAAACTAAGAAAAAGAACTGGGTGAGACTGCTGAACTGGCCCCCTTTCATCCCCCTTTCTTCAGGCCCCTGGGGCACCCTGTCCCCCCTCCTGACTCCTGTCAGTGGCCCGGCAGAGCGACCAAACCCCCTAACACCCTCGGTGAGGTGAAAACAACCCTCAGAAATCTCCGATAGTATGTCCCGAACATGAAAACATCATTAGCTACAGTCAAAGACTCCAATAGCTTTACAGAGAAAAGGAAGCGGTCGAGGGTTGGCCGTATGCTGACCTGGCGCTGTAGGAAGGCTGAGCGGCGTTCAGACTGTGTTCAAGGCGCTCAACTCGTCCCTTGTATTTATTCAGAAGCTCCTCAGACCTCTTTGCCTCTCAAGGCTCTGCCATATTGACACTTAACCTTTTTGACACTATATTTCCCAAGGCCAGAGGAAATGACAATTTTTCCTCCTTCCTCCTGGACTTTTTCTTTTTCTTTCCTTTTTTCTTGATTTCACCAAATCTGAAGAAGGCCGCCTTCAAAAGGCAAACAGTCAAACCCTCTATGGATTGCAAACCCTTTATTTAAAAATGGAAATGAACTTGAAATGTTGAAATGAAGTCTACCTTCTAAAATCTTCTACTGCGGTTCTAAATGGGACTTTGAACAGTCAACTGTTTACGTAATCTATTTAATTCAGGAGTCCAGAAGTCTCGAAAACCATGTTTTAGAACCTCTCGATCCACATAAAAATGTTCCAAGCAACCAACCAAACTTTTGTATTGATTTCATTTATATTGTATGGAGGTAAAAAAAAAACACATTTGCTGGGGTTGTGGTTCACTGTGCTAGTTTGTACAAGATGTTGTTTACAAAAAAAGTTTTAAAAAAGAATAAAAAACATAAGTAAAGTAGACATTTGCCAAATTAAAAAAAGAATAGCACAAATCCTGTTAAAGTGCTTTGCACCATCATCTGCAGAACGTGTTGAGACAAAATGTACGTGTAATTGAGGAGTAATTGACTTCTTAATTTTCTAGTCTGCTGACGATACATTCATAAAATTGTTAATATAACATACTTAGACAGGTTTTATTTTTGTGTCTTTTAAGGAGAAAAATCCAAACTATTAAAAATTGATGGTCAAATATGCAGCGAGTAGCTGCTACATCTCTTTGAATATGAAGCCCTCATGGTATGTCTTTTATTGTTCCAATAAACCGAAGCTTATGTGACCTCCAGTGCATATTAGACCATTCACTGTATAAATACAACATGTTGACAAAAATGTGATTCTAATAAAACTAGAAAATATACTTACGGATTTTAACAGGTTTTCTTTGGGAGCAGCTACTTCCTCAAAATCTATGCGTAATATTGTGTTATTCTACAGTAAATCACTCAGAGTTGGGACATCAGAGGAATCTTTTATGAAGAATGTATCAGGCCGGCATCACTCATTTCATAATGAAAGCTTTTCGTCGAACATCTAATTTTCCTTTCATGTGACGTCTTGGATAACTGGCCTTTGCCGACAAGGTGACGGGTAAACATTTGTCAATTCTGATTAATTTGATTTAACAAGAGCTGCTGAAATGGAAACAACAGTGACAGAATAAGGAGAATTTTCAAGCTCTTTGCAGAGTTTCGTAACGTGTCATGGAGTCCTGAGTTCATCGTTTCGAATCTCTAACTGTCAACAAAGTGTGCGTCCTCTTTTTCCCCGCATGCTGCAGCATTGCACCAGAATATTTCATGGAGAAAAGGAACAAGGGTTTGAATGATTCAAAACTTTTCTGCTGATTTCACTTTTCTCCCAGCCAACCAGGGAGGCATTAAGTGGACTGGCTCGCTGCAGCCAACACAAGAGGGAGTGAATTTTCACTTATGCTACTTCCTTCCCCCAAAACCACTTTGGCTGCAGCCTCACAATCTCCTGTTCTGTTACTCGAGGTCGTCGACTAATCATAAGCAGTTAGCTGTGCAACTGTGAAGGACAATGATGAAATTGGCGTGACCGCGGCTCTCCTGCTTGTTATGCTTTTATTAGCCCGCTCCGACATTATTATTATTCCCTGCAGCTTACTGTTCGCGCCGTGCGGTCTGACGGCTGGGAGGGACTTCTTCTAACTTATTTGAGCCAAAGGAGTCGTAATAATAATCAAGAAAGCCCAAACAGTGAGGCGTGATCTCTTGCAGGAGAATTATTCACACTTGTAGGGAAAGGAGTCGGGCGCAGGGATTGTGGCGTGAATCCGGGGGAACCTTTATCTCCCAAACGCGGCGTGTGCAGTTAGGGCCGTATGCAATCCCAGTTTCTCCCCCTGCCTCCAGACTGTAATCCACCATGAATTAATCATGGTCTTCAGAGTTAACCAAGCTTGGGGAGGTGGGGTGGAAGGTGGGGGTGGAGGGTCTGTGGAAGGATATAGGTCTGTGTTGAGCCCCTGGGCTTAGCCCCCCCTGTGGTAACACCGTGCACTGGCGACTGACCGCCCCCGGGGCCACGGCTCTTTAAATTCAAATCTGCTATTGATCGCTCATCAGCTGTTGGTCCAAACTGACCTTGTAGTCTAACGCCTGCAAAATAAAACAAGCCTTAACAGCGTTGAATGGGTTTTAAATGACATTTTAAATCTCTGAGTCAGGACGTTTGAATAGCCCACACACCCGCTGGGATCCTAAAGGAGTGTACTGTATGTGCATGTGTGTGAGGAGGGGGGGTAAATGCTTAGAGGAAGCAGAGGGGGTGTACAAAATGGTTTACTTTAGGGTACAACAGGGGCCAAAATATTGAGCCAATAGGAAGCTCAGGCCCAGCAGGCAAACACTGAGATACTTGCGTTCAAACTGAGAGGGTTTTTTTTCGAGCCCCTCTCCATATGAGAGGCATTTGGCTGCTAGCTTTAAATGCAGAGTGGCTCAGCTGGAAGTGCACCCTCTCCTCGCAGTGAACGTAGCATAAGCACACAAACACATGGCGCCAGTCCTCGCCTCTCCTCAATCAAACAACACATGTTGGGGGAAGCCAATTTCTTGGCCAGGAATGAGAAAACGCTGTTAATCAATGGAGCGGGCTGGTTGATCGCTGAGCCACATTTCCCTGGCTCAATACTCAGCGAGTGGGTGATACACAGACATGTAGCCGGCTGATAAGCGGACCTCTGCTGACGAGCTGTTTGTTTTGCCACCTCACTACTCTTTACATTTCCTCCTCTTTCTCACAAAGACCTAACACAGAGGGGGATGTTCAAATCCTAAGACCATTTCTCTTACTTTTCAAGCAAAGTCCAAAAACATTTTCTTATAAATAGTACCTCATTTCAAGAAAGATAAGACCTGTGGACCAAGAAAACCTTCCTCTTGTTATACCCGCACCCTTACCGCTCTTAAAAAAAAACACTTCACTGCACAGAAAATGCATTTTAAGTTTCTCATTTTGATCACTCATAGAAGGAAGCAAAGTAAGTATGATCAGCCATGACCACGGTGACTGAACTGACTGAAAAACAAATGTGTGGAACAAAAATATGGAAATGAAAATATCTTCAGATGCTGATAGTGTTTGTGATATGACTCATTCCTACAAAGTGCTGTCTCTGATTCCTGACTGAACAGGTGAAAAAGAGGAGATATCGAAAGCTTTGGCTTAAAAAAGAAATATGAAGTTAGAAAATTTGCATCGAGTACTTACACCGGAAGAAGTCTCTAAAATGCACCCATACTTCTGCAAAATAGATTCTTGTTAATATTTGATTTCTTATATTTTGGTCTTAGGATGAGTGCCAAACTAAAAATTTGGAAGGGGCTTAACCAGAGAAAAACCAGATCCTTTATATTTGACACTAGAAGTCGATCATTTTTGACTTTGTAGTGCTGGTATCAGCTCATGAAATATGAAATACCCACCATTCCTATTTACTGGTAAAAAAAAAAATGTAACTACACCAAACCAAATCACCCTACTTAAATTCTCTGAAAAGAAAAAAATTACAGCAAAACTTACATAGAGCATGTGAGTAGGTGTGTTTTTAACAGTATCAGGTTGAAATGAAATATTGCATCCTGGGATTAAGCCACTGATGCTAATTTTTCAGATCAAATAAACACCAAATAATGCTGCACATTTATCAAGGTGGTCACGGTGTTGGATGTAGTGATAACAGAGCCATAAATTCGTGCTGTGACTGGACTGGCAGACATGACGCACTACAGATGGTATCCAAAATTGGTATTAACTGGCCTGATGACGTTAGAAGGGAAAATGGGATGGGCCAGATGATGTAGGGGGGAGTGTGTCTTTCATTTCTTGCCAACATTTCTCCTCTTTCACTTTGTCGTTGCGGTCCATCTACGACACATCATGAAGGTGGAGATGTCTTGCAGAACTGACTTTATTGTTCCTCTTCCGATTTGTTTTTTTTTTTTTGTTTTTTTTTTCCAGTTTGGTGGCGCTTGTGACTTTGCATGTGCAGAGCACTCTGTGTCTTTGTTGGTCAACACTACCAACATCAGCATGGTATACCAAACCATAAAAGACAGAGGGGAAAAACAAAAAATCAAGCATACTTAGTTCCGCTGGACATGACCTTGGTTGTGGTTCATGATGACACACTATACAAGACATGACATGACTGATTCTCAGGGCGAATAGGTCCCGACAGTTTAGGGGTTGACAAGACTGAAAAATCTGGTTTTGTTCCAGTGTTTGAATGGTTTGTTTTGCTATTGTTATGTTTTTATTCATCAGAAAAATCTATATAAATCTATAGCAAATAGTTCCGCGGATGGCTTTGTCTTGGGGATGTTAAGGTACCAATGTCAATATAAAATGTTGGTATTGTTGCAGCCATCTCTTGTAAAACTCAGATTTGAAGGAGCAGTGTATAGTTCTGTGAAAAGTAGATTGATAGATTGACGATAGATAGATACTTTACTCATCTCCAAGAGAAATTCATAAGTATTGATTTGGGATAGGACGCTGAATGACATCCAGCCCATTCATATTAAAAAGTCAAGGCTAAATAACTCCTCTTTTTTTACTACAATGCAGTCTGCTCTCTATAGCTGCTAGAAAAAATCACAAGAGACCAAATCTTTACCTCTGATGAAAAACAGAAAAGTGAATCCTCCTCTAAATGATCTGCATCAAATTACCAGCACTAATTTATGACTCACTATAAATCTTAAAAGGGTCTTGCACAATTAATCTACCAACAAGCAGTGGGGTCTTTGTATGTTGTAATTGACTAACCACTGACCTTTGACCCTAGAGTCATGACCAAAGCTTCATCCATCCTGATCTTTACCTCCTGCTTCTTCGAGATTGACCCCTATGGACGACAGTGTCGACCTCAATCTAGGTCCCACGGTCTTCTGTGTTGGGTGAGTACTTCAGCGTGTCTGTGCCATAGAGAATGTGCTACTGCCTCAATATTCCTGGTACACCATGGAGAGAGCACAAAGTCAATTTCAACAGGAATTAAATTTTGGGCGTTGGAGCTTTGCAGTGAGAGACAGATAAATATGAATAATGCAAAATTTAAAATCACATTACAGAGGTAATATCAAACACCAGTAGGAGTAAATTCAGCTCTTATCATACTTGTACATTATAGTGTTACCTGGATAAGCCAACAAAGTATATGCTGACTTCCTCAAAACTATCCGGTAACGTATGCTGCACTGAAAATATCAACAAAACTACCTAATAGAGAGACCGCTATCGACTCTTGCTAACCAGTCAATTCTGCCTCCAGTTCTTCCATTTTTATTTTAGGATTTTAATTAATAAAATAATCGAATTGAGCGTCATAATTCTGCTGTCATAATGTTGCCACAGTTACTGACCGAGATATGAGGAGGCATGCACTAATAAAAGGCCACCACTGTTTTTGGAATCAAATCTAAACAAACTGGACCAAGTAGATTTACATGTACAAGGAATTTATTTGGATAGTTTTGGTGAATGTGAAGCTGAATACTGCACTCTTACAGAAAATATAAATACACTGTTGGCCGAAACATCCCTAACTCAATAAGACATGGACTCTACCTGACGTCTGAAAGTGTGCTGTGCTATCTAGCACCAAGACATTAGCAGCGGATCCTTCAAGACCTGTAAACTGTGAGGTTGGGCCTTCATGGATTAGACTTGGTTGTCCAGCACATCCTAGAGATGATCTAAGATGATCCCCTGGGTTGAGATCTAGGGAGTTTGGAGAAAAAGACAACACCTTAGGCTTGTTGCTGTGTTCCTCCAGGCCATCATCTTTCATTGCTCTGTGACCTGATGCTGCTCACACACGTTGTAGGCACTTTCAGTAGAGATCAGGGGTCAGCATGGGCACCTAACTAGTCTGAAGCTGCAAAGCCCTACACACAACACACTGTGATACCCTGACTCCTGTCTATCAGAACTAGTATAGACTTTTTCCTGCAGTTTCAGTTCCAGTCATTCCTCTGTTGGGTCAGACTACATGGGAAAGCCTTCACTTTCCACACAATGTCACCAGCTCACTGGTTTTCCACTTTTGGTAGATACTGACCTCTGAACACAGTGAACACCCCAAAGGAACTGCAGTTTTGGAGATGCTCAAACCAAAGTTCTGGCTCTGATCAAAGTTGCTCACATGTATGCTCCCCCATTTTTCCTTCTTCAGACATGTCAGTTTGGAGGACAAAATGTTCACTAGCTGTCAGACATATCCCACCCACTGGCAGCCGCTATTGTGGAAAGATTATGTAACTCACTTTACCTGTCAGCGGTCACACTGTAATGGCTGACTTGTGATATAGTTAACAGGAAGAATTTGCCGAAGGAGTGTGTGAAAAAGCTTTACATGCACTGTGCAGAAATATCAGCCTTGCTGATATGTGTAATTGCACTTTTTGGTTTAGTACTCTACTCCACAAGTTATTTTTGTGTTGCTAACACAAGCCCTGAGAAGACAAAACCTGTGTGAGTTAAGAAATCCCTCATAAGAACAATAAACTCTTTATTAACATACAGTAATATAGCTTTGCTAATTAGCTTCAGTGACTTTCTGATCACACAGGTGTAGATATCAAATTGACCTAAACTAGCTAAGGTATTGAATTACTAATGTTCTGGGCATCACTGGGCCCTTTCTTTGATATGAGTTTTCCATGTAGCTTATTTTCACTTGTTTATACCTCTAACTGATAAATTAATCAGCTGACAGTATATATTGAGTTTATTTCTGCCTTAGGTGTAGTTTGCCCCTGAGAAAATGTGCATAAACGTACCTCTAATTTGCTATTCAGAATAAGTATAAAACTGAATGTTTTAGTCATAATTGGAATGTAACCCATTGTATTACAATTTACATAAAGAAATTGGCCATGTAACAAACAATGCACTCACCCAGGGAGGAAAGTATACTCGTTTAGCAAAGTGGAAAGCACTAATTTCCCCCTGGAGGATGTCCTGATGGTATGTGAGGTCTGTAGGTTGGCCTGATTAGCACAGAGCATGGAGTGTGTCTACACCATCTGACCTACTGAGTGATATTCATTTGTCATTCACATATTGGAGACCAACTGCTGTGTTCTTTGCTCAGGGCAAGGCTTTTCTCAAAGAGTTGTTTGTGTATGATTGCACTGGCAATTTCCCATCGAGATGTTGCATGGAATACACACTTAAGAGAAAAATCTGTTTACGATTCACACAGACTGGTCGTTGAGTCGGTGTATTTCCTCTCCTAAGTAGGCTGTTTTGTTGCTGATTGGAAATGAATTTTGTTGGAAATAGTTTTAGAGAGTGTGTCTATTATTGTATAAATTAGTTACGTACTTTGAAAACAACAGGAAACCCAAACTTTATTCATATATTGTGTGTGACTTTAAAATGACATTAGGCATTGAACACATCTCTTTTGTTTTCTTTGATTTAACAGTTTATATCACATCTTATAAAACTTGACTTCTAAAGTTTCTCACAAGTATATTTTTTCGGATCATCACAGGTTGTCATTTCCTGCCTGTCCATCAGCACTCCCCTCTATCTCTACTGTATGTCTGTTCTTCAGCACTCTCTGGCTTTATTGTGCCACAGGCTATGGGGTTGTTGCATCTTTCTTGTTGCCCCGCATGCCAAACACTGGTCTTTTTTTCATTGGCAGCACACAATAAAATCACAGGGAATGCCTGAATGTCTGTCACTGCGCCAGCGTTACGTTATCCACTAAACCAAATAGTGCCACCCTATTGCTGCCTCAGGTTGCGATTGAAAACAGACTCTAAGGACTAGGGGTAGACTGATTTCTTGCCCACAACATTATCTAAATGGCGAGACATTGTGAAACATATTATGAGAGCAAGTACAACACAAGCAAAGATCTGGGTGAAAGGAAACAACATGAGTAAGTGCGAAAAACAGCCATGAGTGCAGCTGGGCATAGTGTTTTCATGTGGTGTATAAAGTAATGTACAATTTTTTTTTTTCAAAGTAATGCATAATCACCCCATCAACTAAAGTGCATCACTCACCATATACAGTCATAATAACACTGTCACCATTGCCGTCATCATCACTATCACCATTACCATAATCAGGTGCACCAAGTATGGAACTGTTCACAAAGAGCTGGGCTTAAATGCATAGCTATTCTCTGCGGAGCCGAGTCTTGAGCTTTTTACTTAAAGGTAGAAAGGGACTCTGCAAATCTGATTCAAATTCATTCCACCACTGAGGGACAACAGAGGAGGAGAGTCTGGCTAGTGACTTAGGGCCCTGATGTGAGGGGGCACTAGGTGCCTCTCATTGACAGACCATAACAGGCAGGAGGGAGCGTAGACCTGCATAAGGGACTGCAGGTAGGCAGGAGCTGATTTGATTGCAGTTTTATAGGTAAAAAGTGGAGTTTCACATTTGATGTGGGCTGTCACTGGAAGCCAGTGAAGAGAGATAAACAGTAGAGTGACTGTGCTGTTTTGCGTCAGTTCAAAACCAGATCGGCCGCTGCATTTTGGATCATCTGCAGTTGTTTGACTATGCATGCAGGGAGGCCTGCCAGTATGGAGTTGCAGTAGTCAATTTGTGATTTTTCAAGAGCCTGCATCAGGAGCTGTGTTGTTTGCTCTTGCAGGTAGGGTCCTATCCTCCTGACAACCAGATTCTGAGCAGACTTAGTGGGCGCAAGTTCATTTGATCTTATGTGCAGCATACCTGCTTTTGTATCCAGCTGAATTCATTAAGTTTGATTGCACAAAGCTGAACGCACTGCAGTTAGATTTTTCTGCAGCAAGTAAATCAGTCAGCTGACCTTATCGAGACTGAGAGAGAATGAAACTCCATCGCTCAGCCTAAACAACTCAAAGTTTCATTTCCCTAAACTGTAACCTTATATGTTAATGTAGCCCTGTCTAAAATTCATTGTTTTAGACAAGTAGCTAAAGATGTCAGTAATATGTTTTTGAAAATGCTAAGGTGTAACTTTAATAAACATGGTAAAATGTTATCCATCCATTCAATTATTCCATTCAATCTAGTAAACAAAAAACGAAAAAAAGAGTCAATATTTTGTTTATTTGTTTTTCTATATCACCAAAAAATAAAAGATTAGTGTTTGTTTTCGTATTTTCAGTTCAAAACAGAATATATAATAGAGATGGAAAGGAAAACCAAAAAAATTAATCTACTTTTTGTTTTCGGACAGGCCTAAAACAGGCCCACTCAAAATCAATAATAGTAAATAAGATTTATTATTTTGTTTTCGTTTCCTTCTCTATTATATGTTCTGTTTTGAGCTGAAAATATGAAAACAAACATTTTTATTTTTTATTTTTCGTTATACAGAAAAACAAATAAAATATTGACTGGTTTTTCTGTTTTTCGTTTACTAGATGGAATGGAATAGTTGAATAGAGGGAGAATACATGGACCTATTATGTAAAACAGAATTTAGTTTGTCTTAAAAACAGGAAAACAGGAAAAAACTAAGGCATCTTTGTCAAGGTGTTAATAAAGTTTATTGAAATTCTGACAGGTTTGTTTACAGCGCCAGTAGTTGTTCTCCGTTTGCAACTTTACATTAACGTGTTGAGCTGTCAGTCTCATGTTTTTGATAATTGGTTTTAAGGACTCTTTCAGCCCGATCTGAAATGCAGAGGGGCGGAGATTAACAAGGACTCTGGAGAGAGGAGCCAAGAATGACGTTAGACGAATATAGCGCAGGTTAGGCTGTAGAGGATTTTAATGTCCAATACCTTAGTTCAAGCAGAGTCCAACGACTTCTAACAGATGTTGAAGAGCTTGCTTAAGGTAAATATTTTTTAATACATGTATGATACTGCTTTGACATGACGTAGTGTGTTTATTTGACATGCTAAGCTAACTAGCCCGCTAACGGGAATTAGCATGCATTAGCATTGTAGTAGCGGCCAATGTTACTGCCTATCATTATACAAGTGAATGTTATCGATTAGTTTATGCTCACACATACTTTGTGTGGAAAGTAAATGAGTTAATGGAAGAGTAAGGAGAGACTGAAAGATATATTGTGCATGCAGTGGACCAGGAAACTCTTTTTGGACCCACTGGAAGAGCAGAAGTCCCCCAATAAGCTACCCTTGCCTTTCACCTTCGCACTTCTCATCGCCTTTCAACCCAGCCGGGATGTGAACCAAAGGTTTGGTGAGTTACATGCAACCAGTGCAGTTTGTTCTAAAGAACGCATGAGTGTTGAATGTTTAAGTTTTAATTGAGAAATGGTTAACGACATTGAAGCAAATTATTATGTTGGAGTTTGTATACCCCACATTCTTGATTGGGACAGAAAAGTTCTCAGTATCACAGTGTATATCAGTTTCAAATATTAATCTTCAGTCTCACAAACTTATTATAATTGATAATGACTCTGAGAAATCAATATCGGTATATTTCTGATAGACCAGTGGTTCTCAAGTCCAGTCCTCGAGGCCCACCATCCTGCATGTTTTGGATGTGTCCCTGCTCCAACACACCTGATTCAAATGATCAGCTCGTTATTAAGCCATTACAGAGCTTGATAACAAGCTGATCATTTGAATCAGGTGTGCTGTGATAGACCAATGGGGAAGGGGGATTATCACAGGCACCCTGGCAGTGCTTGACTAATGTCATGATAGGGTATAGATGGGTTTCTTGTGTACAAACAATATGAGGTGTGCGCGCAACCATGGGACAAAGGCCTGCTTCGTAGTAAACTGATATCAATTAAGATGTGTATTGTTTGTAAGTTCTCCCTGACACGTTTCATTGAAAATCGCTTTGTCTTTTATTGCATCAAAATCAGGAAAACATGAAATGTCCATGAATTTCACCCAGTTTACCAGGTTGTGACATTGTTTTAGATGTTTCTAATATCAGGAGCAGGGTCGTAATGTTTGCAGATTGTTTGTATTGCCGATTCGTGCAGTTTACAGCACAACAGCTCCTTGTCATTTTCTTTCTCCGTTGACTTTGCCAGTAAACAAATAAGAAATGTCCCGCTGTCTGCCCCAAGGCTGCACGTGCATACCTGTGATGACGTTGCACAGAAACCCGTCTATATTAAATGAAGTTAAAGCAGGATACAACATAAACTGCTAGGCTATAGAAATTTAAAACTTAGTTCATCATTAGTGTGAGTCCTTCTTTTCAACAGAGCTAAGGTGCTGGTAGCGTGGCGTCATGTCTTTTGGTAACAGGCACACCACATTTGTGTCATTTTGTTGACTGTGGTGTGATGAAACTTAAGTTGATGTAGCAGTCGTAAATGTACCGAATAAGTATACATGGGATTGGATTATATTGATGGGTTATCCTTTGTATTGTATCCTTTGCCATTAGGATACAAAGGCGGTGTGAATGTGACATGAAGTGTAACAGTGCTATGAATGGTCAGAAGACTGGAAAAAGTGCGATACGAGTACAAGTCCATTTATGAGTCCATTCTTCACTCTGCTCTGGCTTTGGCCAACATAATGAGGGCTTGGTCAACTTATTACATAAGATAAGCCCGCACACTTACTCAGTTCAACAGAAAGTTTAATAATCTCAGTGCTTCACCTCAGTAGTTTTCAATATTTTTTTCTGATGCCTTTGTACCCAAGTCCCTCGTGTAACCATCTCTTCAACCTGGTTTTCAAATCTCCTCTTTATGCTGTTGGTAGTCACAACGCTTGTAATGATTGTAGAGATAGACTTGTTAGTCAGTAGCAGAAAATGGTTTATGCTCTTGTTGTGACTGCTGTCCATTACAAAACCTTTACCAATCACAATCCGCAGCACTGCCAGGTACTATCTGTACACTTGTAAGTACTTTCACCCACCAAACAGTGCCAAAATTTACTTCCAGGAGTCCCTCCAAAAATGGGCAAAAAACAAAGCAACACACCCAGACAGGAATGTATAACTTTCAGTGTGGTAATTTACAATTACACATAACTTTCAGACACAACCAATGTAAATAAGAACAAAGAAACCCTAAAACCAAAACACTAAAGCAGTACCACTCATTTTTAGGATTGTTCTCTGCATATAGTGCCTACTGGGCAAATTGATTTTTGCTATTTTCTGCCAGCTTAGCATTTTTCCAGCGTGCCATTATCTGAGTGTGTTTGAGCAAGTGGCTAAATGCAGCAGTGTAGAAAGCCCTTATCAACACAACACATTGTAACTTCAGCTCCAGGTGTTTGCTGCCATGTTACTGTACCCAACACACATGGCCATGGTGCTAATTAAAGCAATCCTGTGATTATCCTGAGAGGGAAATACCTGGATTAGAGGGAGATTTGCAACTCAAACCCAAGACATGCCTAATCAATTTAAAGCCATTAGACAATTAATTCACTTTGGTGGAGGGTGGATATTGCACATGCACTAATCTGGCCCCTAAGATGTCACTGTGTGTACTGATGAGTATTGAGTGCTCTGTGTACAAATACAGTGATGAGAAGGGTAAAGTCACCCATGCAGAGGGGAGGAATCAACACATCATGCTTACTGTTTGAGCATCAGGTCAATAGTTTTAGTGGATTACATCCGTTATGAAAGTCACACCCTGACTCACCATGTGATTAAAAGGAGTTGCCAAACCACATGTCCAGTTTGTTGTGCTGATTTCGATAAATAAATGAAAGAACATCCTGGTTAACAATTTTGAATAAGCGTAAATTTTTTCTTATAACCCCAATTCAAAATAAATTTGATCACTGTCTGAAATTTGAATAAAAACAGAAAGTGACTATGTGAGAACCATTTAAAGCCTACATATAATTGAAAATACACTAAAAACATTTAAGGCTGAAACAAATAACAAACAAACAAACAGAAAATCGATTTCCTTACGAAAAATCAATAAACTTTGATTCAGCAAAAGGTTTTTATAAAGTTTGAACAGTTAGAACAAAACTTTGAAAAAGTTGTGTACTGCAAAAAATAACACCTGGAGGAACATCTCTCAACTCATTAGTTTAATTTGTAACAAGCTGGTGACATTACTTAACATAAAAAAACTTTTGAGAGGGACTGAAAAGTTCATCACACTGTGAGTGAATGTGTGACAATTCAGTTCAACAATTAATAATGTGCAGTGATGTAAAACTGTGCAAAATTTGGGGATTTAATCCTCTACAGTTTATAACACCGTTAAAAGAGTCTGAGATTCAAGTCTCTCTTTAAAAAGGACAAGTGAAAAAAGACAACACTGAATGACCATAACAGACATGACTCTGAAGTGGAAATCACTGCATGTGTTTTCGCCACATCAGCTGAATATAAGGTTTTGACATTCCAACAATATACAAGAACATAAGTTATTTAGATATTTTTTTAACATTAATGACAATAGAGCAAATATTTCATTTAAATCATTATTATCTACAGTGCTTTAACACTGGCCACAATAATAATCAACCAAACCGTGCAGCACATGTGAAAAACAGTTAGAGTGGGCTTTATGATAAGGAAATTAACAGTACCATTGGCAATATTAGAAAAGAAAGGAATACACAATAGGAAGTAGTGCTGGGCGATATGGAAAAAAATGTATATCACGATATGGATCATTTTATATCACGATAACGATATATATCACGATATAGCTATGGTATGCTTTCAGTTCTATGAAAAATTTAAGTGTATACAGCTGCACTAGTACAGTACCAGTACAAGACCAGCACTTAAAACTAGAAAAATGAATAAATAAACATGTGGCTGAAGTGCGTTCATGTCTGTGCTCACCCAAAGTTATGCAACACTCACAGAAAACGCCGATAGTGTGAGCCAAAGCACTCCATAATAATAATAATAATAATAATAATAATAATAATAATAATAATAAATTTAATTTGTAATGCACTTTACATTTACAAAAAATCTCAAAGTGCTACAGTACGCAATAAAAAAAGAGCAGCAACAATAAAAAAGCAATAGAATGACAGTCACAGATTAGCATAAAAAAAGAATTTAAAAAAAAGTAAAAACTATAGAGTTGCAATGTAAGAGGCTGGGTAGTAAAAGCATAAAGCATAGAGGAAAACTAACCAAAGGCTTTATTAAAAAGGTAGGTCTTTAGGACTCTTTTGAAGAGGTTGTTCCCACTGCTAGATGTTTCTCCTCCAAAGCTGCTCTCTGCCTCCATCATTGTTTACTTTACTCTTGAAGCATGTAGCAAGACTCGAGCATAAATCCGAGCGCTTTATTCGCCTATCAGGGGCAGACAGGTAAGGTGATTTGATTCGCCACGACTCCAGAAATGATTGAAAAACTACAGAATGTCACAAAATTACGTTTCCTCGCTGCTGGCTTGAAGGGTAGAAATGCGCAGCCGCGTTCCCAGCTGACAGGAAGTCATACCACTGTTGTAGTTCTTTTGTGTTGCTAGCGCGGTCAAGAGTGTTGGCTCTCACTGAGAGATGACTACAAAAATGGACGCACCTGTTCATCTGGTTGTTAAACACGGCTGAAAATGATCATCTTTTAATGTTGTTCCCGCTCCTGCCCACTCCCGTTGCCTTTTTTTCCCGTCCCGTCCCGATCAAGGGATTAATAAAAAAATGACTCCCATCCCGTGGGATTCCCGCGGGAATCACGTGACCCACGGGAATTTTTCCGAAAAATGTCATCCTCTACAGGGAAGGTCCCGGAGCAGATGAAACAGGTGCCGGAGCGGCTGAAATAGGTCCCGGATCGCGCTCCGACTTGCTCCGGCACAAATTAAGCATTGCTTACAATGATCCCCTCAGGTGTGTAACTCAGGTAACCCGCAACGGCGGGAGACGCTGGACACGAAGAGGGCACGTAAAGCGGCGTCATGTCGCAAAATCGATAGAGAAATGCAAGCCTACATGTCAACGCATCCTTTTCTTTGTAAGAAAATATTGTTTTCTTTCCCGTTCGACACCAAATACACTTACTGAATGTGCAATTATTGTTGTTGTTACTATGAATCATCTGATGGCACAAGCCCTATGGATAAAATACAGCCTATCGCCCGAAACGATAAAAATAAAAATGGCACGATAGACATTTTCTATCGTGCCCACGATATCTATCGTCCTATCGCCCAGCACTAATAGGAAGTGTGAAATTAAACTCGCTTAGGATTCAATAAAATTACAAAAGTCAATGGTAAAAACAAAAATTCATTTTTATGTATTTTTAAAATATAATTTGAAGTTGTTTGTATTTTATGTTTAAGGTTGCTGTGAGGGACTTAGAGTCTGCATTGATTTTAGCACCCCCTGTTGTCAAAGGGAAATCTCGTATTACTTGACCTGTCTGACTTTCAAAGTAGGGTTTTCAGACAAAGACCTTAACCTGTTAACGTTTCACCTGCTGTGAGTATTTGCTGTGGAAATTGTCAAAATAGGTGGTTTGACGGCCTGTTGTCAGTCATGAAGTCTAACATCCGCCCCTCACTGTGCTTCAGTTTCAGTCTGTTTTTCAACCAGTTATTAACTCTTTACGATGCCTTTAATTAGAGAAGCTAAAAAAATGTATGGTTCAGAAATAATCTCACATGTCCAGTGATTTTGGCCCAAACTTACTAATGTAAGGAGTCACTACTAATCAAAGTCCCTTTACTGATATTATAACAGCAAACTGAGTAAACAGAGCTGCTGGGAGACAAAATTTGAGCTGCAGGACCTGACGCAAAGCACACTGAAAATATTTGGTTGAGTTTATATACTCTGAAATCTAGTCAGTGTAAATCTGTAAACAATTGTGTTTTGGCCAATCCTTTCCAAAGAAACAGTGTAATGAGCAGCTAAAAAAAAAAGAGTGAAGAGTGCATTTTTTTTTAACCTTCAGTTGTCTCTTGACAAAAGATAAAAGTTGGTAGATAAGTTATCCTGAGGTCAACACATTTAATTCTTTAAAAGCAGTAGTTTGATTGAGAAAAATATTTAATATTTCATGGGTAATCAAAGCAGGCTTGGCATAAATGGAATAAAGTCTGCTGCATTGAAATCATTGCCAGAATGGCGATGCCAAAGTTTGGCAGAGGTCAAACCAGAGTAAATTATTGATTCAATTTTTGTTCTTCTTTTTCCAAAATTAAAGCAAGTCTGTCCTCTTTAAAATGCTTCTCTAAATGTTTAGCAAAAAAATCATTTTATATATGAAATCCGAAATAAATAGAAGGTAGGGTAAGCCACGGGCCGGTCCCATCACGACCCAGAGACAGAAATGAATCCAGGTGGACCGCTTCCTTCTTTTCAATTTTTATGATTCCTGCAGAGCTCAGAAATCCTGATATTAAGTACTTTTTCTGGCAGTCAACCAGAGTGCATACCCTTTAATCAGACAGTATGCAATATGCAGTATGTAAAGCTGAACCTAATTCTTTTATTTGCACACACAAAATATAATGTATTAACAAGCATACTGGATTTCCACTCCACATTGAGCTGTCAGGGGGCATTTGTCCATATATGCAGTCTTTATTTTGTACAGCCACAGAAGGGAGAACCTGTCTAATACTTGAGCCACACATTGTCTTTAAGCAGAAGAAAATTGGCCAGAATATTCTGTAAAGAAAAAAAAAAAAAACATTCATTCCAATTAAAGCAGGCCTGTGCAAGTGCAGCCAAGCAGCTCTGTTATTCAATTCCATTAGAATGAACGATGCAGCGGCATGCAACCATGCAGTTAACAGGAATTAAAACCATAGGCAAGATGACGGATTACACGAGAATAGAGGTGTGTGGGTGTGTGTGTGTGTCTGGTTGTGTGTGTGTGTGTGTGTATTTTTGCATCCATGCACACGTGTACTTTTTCTCCTCCTTCGCCAAAATATTGTGTATTGGATATTTTTTTCCAACACATGTACTTGAATATTAAATCAAAATAGCTTGAACATTGAAATGTGCTATGAGGTCTATGCTGTGGCATGGCTTCAGTGTACTTGTCAGTGTTTGCCAGCTGTAGTTATTGCATGATGTATGGCTCTGTTCTTGATGCATGCATGACAGTTGGCAGTCATTAATCATAGTTAGAAGATAGGACATGGCTTAGGCTCCATTTTCCCCGCTCGCCGTAAGTCTCATATAAGTTTACCGTTGTTTTTCTTCAGGTCCAAGCTGCTTCGGAGATGGTGACATGCACAAACAAATTTGATATCATTCATTGGTATGAGAGCTGTGAAAAAAGCTTTTGAATAAACAGTAGCAGGCAAACACCGAGCCTTTGTTCCTGTGATGTACACTTAAGCCACACTTTGTTTGCTGCCATGAAAAGGAGTCTGCAAATGACTGTGTTGGTATTTTTGTTGAATTCTGATGTTGTGTACTTAAATCTTAGAATTAGTGCAATCCTAACTAAAAGACTATTAGTCAGTTGGAATCAACAATGATGGAATCAAACCAGTATTTACATCTGATTTTGCTCAATCAACTCCTTTCAAAATTTTGATTCAAAATATTTGTCCAAGTACAAACATTATCCTAAAATTTAAAGATACATTATCTTAAAGCTCCAGTGAGGAGACTGAGATTCATATTTGCTTTTTTTTTTTTTAACTTTCAAAAGCATACAAAACTACCATTGACAATTTTTATATCCTAATTTTTCATGCCCAAAACAAGTGCAAAACAAGGGGGGAGGCTCCTGAGAGTTTTTTGTAAGCAGACTAAGGGGCTAAAATACCAGCCATTAACCCTCTTACTTGACTAACAGCAGTAGACAGATATGTGAAATATGACAAGCCTTTATAAGAAGTTGAAAGCTAATCCTGTAAAATCACAACAGTGACATTAAGTAGCATAGCATCTATAACATCTTTGTATAATATAGTGGTGCTCTATGCAGCTCTCTGCTTGGGGAAAGAAACCACACTGTTTTCGGACATGCCTTAAAAAATGATTAATTAACTCTGGAGTAATACTCCGCTTTGATAGCAATTTTTTTTAACAATTCAACAAATCTTGACAAAATACCAGTGTCTCCCTCTCTTATAGTGATTTTTCCACACTATTCCCTGCTGTGTTTACACGTGAGCTTCCTCTGATTTGATGTACCCATTGTAGAGGGGCTCTGGCAGGAAAAAGTCTGGGTGAAAGTTCTATGTGGTTAAATCATCCCATCTCCAAACAAAGGTGCAGTTTTAAGGAAAGCAGTCTAAATGTAACAGTTCAGTCTCCACGTTATAACACTGCTTTTAACAGCATCTGATGTAATGAAGAAACTCATATCAGAGTGACTCTATAGAGGGAAGCCTTAGCTCTCAGCTGTAACATAATTAGAGTCTCGAAGCTTTGATTGTTTTCATGTTTGATATTTCTAGACAGGATCATGACTCCTGAGTGTCAAGGCTGCCATTAGGACGTCTGTTTTAGGAGGCTGAAATAAGAACAGCGTGTGGTTCACTTTCCTTCTCCAAACTTTCCTTTGTTCTGCTGCTCACTACATGTTTCATTTTCTGTTGATGTGTGGGTGTGACAGTCAGAACCAGGCTCACCCGGTGTGTCTGCTCTGGTAAAACAGCATTGTCGCGACACACCCACCTTCACAGAGTAGACTAACCATGCATTTAATTAGAAACAAAAGCTGGAAATAATTAATTAGATGGCAATTCCCTTTTTTTTTTTTTTACCCTTGCCAAAGTTTATAATGAAGTAGATAGGCTGCAGGAATTTCACGGAAAATACTTCATTAAAATTAAAAAGTGAGGGGGGGCCATCACAACAAATGGTCACTTTTTATACTTTCTGTTCTTTTGGGGCATGCATGAATGTGGTCCAGTCCCCTTGACGGTAATACATATAAATAACAAGTGGATTAAGTTTACAGTTTGGTGATGTTTCATAAAAAAAAATTAGAGTAAACCTCTTTATTTTCCCTTACAGTGAAATCTCCAAAACCATTCAGATTTCTTCATGCCAGGGCTTTCATAGAGAGAGATTGGGTTGATAAAGGGACAGCGTTGTGTGTGGATGGAGCATGTGTAGGTGTAGCAATTCTAGCGCAGTACTTTAGTGTGATCATCAGAGGCTGCAGCTGCATCTCCTCATTTAATGTTTCATACTGTTGAAGTCAATCAGCCGAACTGTGCAGCAAATCAGGATGTGTGATTGCCATCAAAGGTGTTTTTCTTTTTCCCTTTTTTTGCATGATGTTGCTGTCTTGACATGATGAATCACACAAATTGAGACAATGGCACACTCTTCAAAACACTTTCAGGTGTCCCTGAGTGTGATACTCTGCTGTAAACACAAGAACTGATAGAGGAAGAACATAATGAAGGCACATTCAAAGAATTCGTCAATCTTTGTGTGGTGTCGCATGATTCTTAGACTATTTTAGAAAGTCTGTGGATTTGGTCCAACTGAAAGATGATTTCACATTTAAAACACTCCAACAACTCTGAAGAATATTGTGGTTTCAAATGATTTAAACTTGATTTTCTCAGCCAGGTTTCGTTTCTTTTGTAGGATAAAAGTAACAAAAGAAAACGTGAAAGCAGGCCAAAGATTTACACACATGTGCATCAGTGCTGCTACTTTAGAAACAATGAGCGTTTCAAACTGAAAAAGGAAAACTGCGAATATTGAAGTCCTCCACAAACAGACGATCTAAAGCAACACCACTGATAAGAACAATAACAAAAAACATTATTGGCAAATGTGTCATGCTTCAGTAGGAGATTCAGGGATTAAACCCAAAGTATTTCTAACGGCTTCGACCAGGACTCAGCATCCGGGGGGAGCATGGACAGAACAGGGATAATGATGATGGAGAAGTTAGCATCACTTGGCAGCCGTCTCCACCAGCTTTGCTTTATACATAAATCTCTTTATTACAAATAGCGATAAAACAAGGATGATAATTAAGGCAAGGTTTGTTGATTTTCTATAAAATATTTTTAATGTCTCAATACGAAATCATCACAGTTAAGAAAAAAGATCAGGTCTAAGAGTAGAACTCAAGTACTAGTACGCAGAAAGAGCACAAATCTAATGAATGACCTTAACATGTCAGCTGATTGCAGATTCAGCCTCTGATTGGTCGGTGGCCCAAAACACAGATGGCAGCCTCTGTCCAGCATGGTTAGCTACAAATAAAATGATGCTGTTGTACTAAAATCCCTTGATAAATCGTCACAGATTGGCTTTATTTTTAAGAGATTGGGTCAGGGCAGTCTCTAAAAAAACACTTATTTCTGTCATGCCATTCTATTTATAGAGCTGCTTTTGCAAATACAGCAATGTAAAGTTGAAAACAGCAGTGTTGACCATAGAGACCTACTCTCCTAGACTCCACGGTGACAGTCGGTAGTACACGCAAAATCCACATTTAAATAGGGCGGTCTGCACCACTTTTGCACCTGTTATCAGTTATGCATGCAATCATAGTTGATCACCCGCAACACACCCACTAACAGCATGTGCATTTTTTTTTTGCACATGCAATTTTGCGCTCGTTATTTGGGATCTTAGCAAATCAGGCCCTAGGTTCGTGAAGCCACAATCAAGATAACCTGAATATGTAGAAACTGTCGGAGACGAAGAGCATGGGGGAGGTTTTCAGGAGTGTCTGACATTACTCATCCTCCATCAGCAGAGGTTTGATGCTTTCAGTTGTAGTGCCATTAACCATACCTGATGAAACAACCACTGCAATAACCCTGTCACTGTACTGCCAAGTTCAAACTTACCGTCATTTACAAACGTGTCAAGTTTCCTACAGCTTTTTCAGTTTTTGCATTTGTAGCAGTTTCATCACTGAATTGAGTCTAGACATGTGCATACTTTTTAAACTTAGCTTTGTTTCTGGATGTTTTTATAGCTGGTTCAAAATGTCTGGCGTTTTTTTGCAGGTTTACTCTTGTCAGCTGCTGCAACTAGGTGGTTTGTTCAACAATACATGCCAAAATTAGCCTTTTCAGAAAGAAATACAGGGATCGCTGTCATTGCAAAAACAGCCAAAGCAGAGCCTCTTTCATTCTCAAATAAATGTCAATCTAAATAGAGAGGTTTTCTAAACATAGTAAGTGTTTTTTTTTGTTCCATTTGACTTGTTGCCTCTTCTAAAAATGTTGTGTAAACTTCAAACTGAGATTAATGACCAACCTGACACAAACTCATTTCCGTAACAAGATAAGAACAAACAAAACAGATGCAAGAGAAAGGACACATTTACACTCCAATTAGTGCTTTTAAAGGCCGGTGCTGTATCAAATGCGGAAAACACAGCCCGTAGCCTCCTCCATAATGAGTCATTGAACCATGGCTTCCAATGGACCTCCTTCGTCAATGTCATGTCCACTGAGTGCCTCAGTCACATTCAAATTGGCCCAGGGTCCGCAGACATTGATAAAGGGTCTGCGTTTGGTGGGAAGCTTGCAGGCCGATTCCTCTCAGCCGGGCTGAGGCAGTCCAGTCTCTGTCCATCACTTCCTTGTTATTTGCATTGGCCCCAATCAGTCCAGAGTGTTGATCAATGCAGAGTTAAAGTGAGCTTTCGCCAAGCATTAGGAGGTGCTTTCCATTATACTGTTAGGTACAGCGCAGTAATGATTCGACACGGGACAGATGTCCAGAGGACTGATGGCACTGGTGTATAAAGAGATGTATGTAGGCAGCAAAAGGGAAATTCTAACAGCTGTTTAATCTAATCTGCAGCCTTTTATGAATACATTAATTGTTGTTACTCTTTGTTGTGACTTCTTGTCAAGGTGAGACGTTTTATTGGCTCAGGGCCTAGCAGAAATATGTGCAATAAAGTTGGGGTTAAAATAGTGTTGGGCGGTATGATGGTATATCATCTGATGGTATAAAAGTGTCTACCGGTAGAAATTTTGTTATACCTTTTATACTGGAGAGAGAGATCAGATGTCTGCTGCATCTCTCTGAGTCAGTGCGTTGGTGCCTGCGCTCGCTAACAGGAACACCGGAGCGCATCCGTTTGGGTGCATTTCCGTATATTCACCAGCATGTCATGCAGAGTTTCTTCACTCCATTTGATTGGTCAGGTTTGGGTGCGCTTCCTGGCAGTACTGAGGCAGCCCGGCCCACCCAACATGAGGAAGAGGAGGAGGAACTCGTTCTGAATAAGGGGGGGAGTCGCGACATAGATTGTCTGGGATTCTTTAGATTTCAAAAATCCGACAGTGATCAAAAAACAATAATATACAAAAAGTGTCGTGTGGCTGTCATTGCTGGAGGAGGAAACACCAGCAACTTCTTCCACCATCTAGAGATGAAACACGCCAAGCTCTATTATGAGAGCCAAAAGATGTGTGGTGCACCTGCCGCACCAATAACTAAAGCTGCAGCAGCTCTTCTAATACAAAAGAGCTTGGCAGAGTCTTTCACCAAAGGTACGCCATACGATAAAAAAACAGCAGACTGATCTGGCATTTTGTTTGCATCTGTATACAAATCTGAGTTTAGAAATAAAAGGAAAATTAACAAATGTGACAGCATGGTTTTTTTAAGCCATTAATTGAATTTACAGGGGGAAAAACATACCATAATATATACCATTACAGTGATCTGAAACTACTCGTACAGTGATGTAAGATTTTGTTCATACCTCACAACACTAGGTGGAAATTATGGCTGCTTGCTATTCTGCACCCTGAAAGTTTGTGGACATTTCCTGGAGTTTTTTGCATATGTGAATACAGCCGCTATAAACCAAAAATTTACCGATACCGAAATTTACGACAATAACCAACGTCTTTCTGCTCATGCCAATATATTGGGCATCAAATAAAAGTTGGTTTTTAATGTGTGTAGGTTGGCTATGGTCTCATGTCCCTTTAAGACGCTGTCCTACGTCAGAGACGTAACTTCGCCCCATCCAGTCCATAACAAAGAGGGAAAGTTGTAGCAGCTGGAGTGGTGGCTGAAGTAGAAGGAGGTAATCGAGGTGAACTGCTCAATATATTGTGACATTGATTTGAGGCCATATCACACAGCCCTACATTGTAAACATGTAAGCTAGAAAGAGGAAACACCGGTGCAAAAGTGAAGCCCGAGATTTTAAATTTCTATTTTTAATGTAATTGATTTAGTCTTTTTAATTCTTGTTGGTCTTTGTTGTGGTGCCTCTTCTTGCCTGACAAAGGGCATGTGAATGGGAAAGCTTCTTTGCAAATCTGAGAAGGGCTACATTCATGTTTTTCCTGCAAAGATCTTTGTCTTGTCAAGCTTGTACCTCTGAATACCAAGAGGAGCTAAAGCATCAGTCAAAAGAACAGATCAGACATATTTCCTTTTAATCAGTCCCATTTTTTGTGTCTATCAGTGATTCATGAATTCATACGATTTAACGCTAAGTTTACAGGATTGTCATTGAATTTGTAACAGGATTTTTAATGCCCTATTTAATGTTGACTTTTATATCTGTATTTATTTCTTCTCTATTGTCCGTGTCCCTCTTCCTTCCCTGGTCTCTATATATCTCTGTTTCACTCCTTCGTCACTCTACATACCATGTTGTCCTGTTTCCTAAAGTGGCCAGTTCTGGTTGATGATTTACAGTAAAATTGCTTATAAATTGGAGTGGAAAATGTTTTGCAGACCTGGCAGCTTTCAAGTCCTGCGCCCATTTGTCACTCGACATTTCCTTTTGTGTAACAGCACGAGAATTAATTAGGCTGCGTGGCGGCAAAAGTTTACGGCTATAATTTATGGGGAGATGAGATTCCTTGGACACCATCTCGGACCCATGTCGATTTATTATTTTTATTATTGTGAGTGTGTGTGTGTGTATGTGTGAGTAGTTGGACTTATGAATGAGGTTGCCCTGTGTTAAAAGCAGTAAAGCAAGATTCATTTAAGCTACTTGGGGCAAACATATTCACCGTGGAGCAACGACAGGCTAACAGCCAGGCATAAACAAAGATAGACTCTATAGAAATACATTCAAAAGCACATTATGCATGAATTTATGGACAAATAAGCAAATATATTGGATGGACATTCTCTTTAAACAGCTACACACAGAAACTGGAGCATGTTAGCTGGTCGCCTGCAATTTGTAAATGGAATGATTCACTTAATCACTATTTTTAAAGCAATCTTTGATTTAAAACCTTTTAAGAGTTCTTCTGGGGAGTTTTTAGCTGGCTTTGAAACAGACAAATTAAAAAAAATGACACTTTTTTAAGTTTTAAAAGCAAACAAGACGGTCAACAAAAATATTAATTATTTCCATGTAGTAATTTTAAACTACAGCTGTAGGATAGGTGTGACCTAATTGTGAACTTTTTAAATGTTGAGTTCTTGATGAATGGTATATTTTGCTGCTAAGAGAAAGCAGGATGAGATTTTTTTGAAGAGGGACAGTTTACACATAATGATAAGCAAAGGGATTAAATGTAGAGCTTTGTCCACAGGAGGCGCTAAACACCAATTTACTCTCATACCTTCATTTAATCCCAAACCTTTATTTTATAATAAATATAACAAAAGAAGGCCAAATGAAGATGGAAAACAGAATTTATCAGATCCCAGCTGTTTTGGTCTGGGCTATCAAAACATTTAAGAACAAAAAATAATCACAGGAGTAAACTGTGATCATTGGCATTATTAAATCAGATCCAAAATCCAAAATTTTTATTTCAATTTTAGTTTCAAATAAATGTTATCAGTATCTTGATCTGAAATGAAAGGAGTGAAATGTTCGTTATGATCTCTGCTTAAATCTCTGGTTAGGACCTTTTGTTTGGTGTCAGTTTTTCCTCCCTTTGAAGTTTAAGCACTTTTTTTGGCACATTTTGTCCTTAAAATGCTCAAGTAATATCTTTTGATAAAAAAAAAAAAGAAAGAAAATCATCCTGCTGACTTTTGACAGCTAGAAGTAGTGGTTATCATTCATATTTTGTGTGCGGCTTAGCTGCTCATCCTACCCCTACCCCCTTGCACTAGTGCTGGACAGTGAAAACTTCAGTGTCAAAATGAGCAGACCTGTCAGTGATGGTCTTGTTTGCTTTTGTACGTTAGAAATAGTCAATATGAAATTCAGTCATACTTCATAAATGTCAAAAAACTCCCCACAGGAGCTTTAAGATTTATAATATGAGTTAATGCTATACAGTTACACCAGCAGGGCCCAAAACCACGGCCTAGAGGCAGGAGGCACCTTCAAGGTTAGGGCTGGATATGATACCTGAATCGACTCATTTTGCTTTATATCGTCTGGGTCAAGGAGAACCAAGGAGAGAAAACTTGTACTCTCATACAAGAGTTATTTGACTTTCCATACATAGAAGAGTCTGAATCAGCACAAAGATCTGTTCCTCTGTGGACTGAACTGACCTTACGGATCTTTGATGTTTAATCGGTGAGTTTGACACATGTTTTGGTCAGCTGTATGGATGTGATGCCAGTCTTGTGACACTGCTTGACAGATCACTTCTACATATGCCTTGGCTGCTCAGCACAATATGGCAGTGCCCATGAAATGATGTAGTCCATTAACAAAGTCACCCCTAAGATTCACCCCTAAAACCCTGTAAATGTGAATACACAGAGTTCCATTGATGCTGAACACCCTGTAGTGGATTCATACCTGTTCTGGTCCACGCTTGTGTTTTCACAGAAAACGCTGTGGTGCATCTCAGCTCTGTCCTAGAAGCAACTCTAAGCTCAGCTCAAGATCTAAGATGAACACATACTGGGATAACATGATAACATATCGACTAAACCACGTGACTGACCAACAATCCATGTTGACCATGTCTAGTCTGGTGGCAACCCATCCGTTTAATTCACAATGACGTGCAAACTCCAATCTATAAAGGCCAAGGCCGGATTTGAACCAGGAATCTTTTTGCTGCTCTTGTAATGTGTACAATTTGTATATCCAATTTCTGGATTTGTATGTTTAAATGTGTTACCAATGTCATTGTCAAAGTAACACCAACCTGCATGTCTACAAATAAGAGATATATTTATTCCAATCAGTCATCATGATGGTCAAACCTGAGGAGCAGCTCTGCTTGAAAATATCTCCAATGATCCTGTAACCTTGAGGGAATTTCTCCCCAGTGTCTCCTTGCTGCATTTGCAAGAATGTCCATTCGGTCTCTCCCTTATGGAGGTGAAAGCTGTGCAACAACGAAACACACTCACACACACATTCTGGGCTGCTCTCAGAGCTGTAGTGGAAAGTGTTTGAGATCAATTGTGGATAATTGGGTCTCCACGCGACATAATCTCACATTAGTACGGCCAGCTGTGCAGCAAGCATCCCGCTACCTGTTTAAAGAGGTGTTTTGGGGTTGATCATTGGGCTTTTACCTGCTTGCATCAGTGGAATATATCCTGAATACGACAATAACGAATGTTCACCATGTTTCAGCCACTCTGTATGTGTGAAAGAATCTGACCTACAGCACAATCTGATGTATCTATACTATGATAAACACTGGGGTTATGTGTAAGTGACATCACTAACACTATCTTTGTCATTCCCTATCTTCCACTTCAATGCACACACATCATACAACCAGTCGTAACTTTGCAAAAGAAATGGCTGCTCGCACCAATTTTGTAATCAATGCCCACAGAAAATGGGATTCCTCCGGCCGCCGGCAATTAATACATTTGTGTCCTTTTTTAACACTAGTGAGCCGAGCTTGAAATTACCAATGACTGGCTCCTGCTCATTTCCATATTTATTGCAGAGGAGGACGAGGTGGTGGCGGCGGCGGCGATGGTGGTGGGGGTGAAAACTGGGGCGAATGATTGATGTGGAGCTCGCCTCCTGCATTACAAACAGCCCATTATTGGGCAGACAGAGGAAGAGAGAGGGAAAGACAGAGAGAGAAGGAGCGAGAGACACTGAGAGGGGCTGACAGAGAGAGAGGGAGGATGAAGCGCGGTCTAGCATACAGTTGATTAAAGTTGAAGACAGTGGGATCAGTCTGCGCCGGAGGTTTTTGTCCTCCACCCCTCCTTCCCCCCGCCTGTTTCCCTTCTCCCTCCTTTTTTTTTTCCTTCCCCCTCCTGTCTTCTCACTCCATATTTTGTGGGGAAGATGGCCTGGGCTGGAGCATTAAAGGCCTGTTTTAATAGATGTTGACAAGGAGTGGACCAACAAAAGCCCAAGCCTGAGGATTTGCTTGAAAAGATTCAATCAGACATGTTTTCACTGCGATTAATTGGCGGACTCCGAGGGGGAGGGAAGGGAGGGAAGCAGGGATGAAGGGATTGTCGACGGAGGTGTGAATGAGTGTGATTGTTCTGAGCACCCATCCCACCTCCCCACCCGCCCCTTCTTCCCTTTTGCTCATACACCCCCATGCTTCCCTCTGTCATTTTGAGCGATAGTTTGGAAATGTCCTTTGAATGATGCTAAAGAGCAAACTCCTCCGCCCTCCCACTTCCCCTCCTCCTCCTCCCCGTGAATTATGAGTATTATTTCAGGGAGGTGGGATGTGGCGAGCCAGAGAGCAGGACGACACGGCTTTGATTGGATCTGACCTGCTTCTACTTGTGTCAGATACAGATTCACATTCACCCACACTGATAAAACTGCTGGTACGAGTGTGTGTTTGGAGTGTGATTAGCTTTGACAACCAGAACCTGATCGTGACGCGGCTGGAGAAGTAAAGGTAGTAACGTTGACCTAACTGTAGCCTTCATCGCTCTGCACGCTGAATGTAAGTTGGACTGACATCTAAGCTGATACCATACTCACCTCAAACGCTGGGTATCAGGTATAGCTGTCATATACACTGTCCAGTTTTAGCCAGTATGTGTAAGTTGACATGAAATGTCATTAATGAAAGAAGAGAAAACAAAAGACACTTAAAACACTGAAGAGTCTGTGCAAACCATAACCTGTCCTTGTTCTGACTGCCAGCCCAAATCCCTTACTTAACATATCCAGATTGAATTCAGATTCATTTAAGATCCCCAACTCACATTGTTCTGACAGACTGGAAATGTATCCGCTTCAGTCACTCTCAAACTGGTTTTGACCTTATGTGCATGCGCCATGGTTTAACAGAGCCTTATCTTAAGGTCCTTACACATCAGGAGCTTTTTTTTCGTGTGATTATTGGATGTCAGGTTTTTTTTTTAACCCGTACCCTGTCAAATCGCCCACTACCATGGTGGGAAAGGACAAACTTTTGTCTGCTAAGAAATACTCACCCGGAGTTTGTATACTAGAATAAAGACAGTAGCTGGTCCAATAAAAATACCTAATTCAATCAAGCTTGACTGTTCATGTCAAGAAAGAAAGTCAAATGAAGTCAAAATTGCTTCCACAGTCTGAAAAAAGTTATACATGACAACTCTAAGGTGTGGTTGTTGGAAGTTGATATAGTAGTTTTCCATTTCGCACTGTTTAATTTTATTTTAGGCATGTGCATTGCCTTCTATGTGCCAAAACTGGTGACTAATACATCATAGGGTAATGGTTAGGTATAAAGAAAAAATAAACATGCTTGACTTTCTGTGAGGAGGTTGGGAGTCTCAGACGTAGCTGTATTTGTTGTTTGGTATGGCACACTACACTTTGGAGTAAATATGCAGTCACAGCTCAAAATCTCAGTTTGTTCAATCGTTTGGTTCATAAAAACATGCTAAGATGATGGCGATGGCCAAAAGCAATTCTAGCTCTTCAGCTAAAATGCCTTTATAATTTTGAAATTTTTATTTATCTTATTAAAAGTATGATAGCCATTTTAGCTCACATCTAAGAAACCATTATCTAAGGGGGAAGCTGAAGACACATTCCCACTCAGGTGGAAATTACAGTCAATAAATCAGTCAGCCATCACTCAATGTGACTGGCAGCTGTCTAGTTTTCAGTCATTTATGCCAGTGAAAATAAAATGTGCAAATTTTCATACAACTTATGTAAATTAAGAAGTTTAGATCTCAAGAAGATTAGCTTATTCATGGTTTTATGTTGAGATAATACTACGGCCACATAAAAGTGACCCAATGAGAATAAACTTTCCACAAGGTTCCAGCTTGTGAAAATACACCTGTAGTACCTTTTGATTCAGAGAGTAAATTATGCAAATCCGGACGTGACATAAATTCAGCAGTGACATTAGCTCTGTGATCTTAAGCTTTGGGGAGGTAAGGGATCCAAGGCGGCATCTGTGGCTGCTCGTCCCTCCTCCCGTCATGTATCTCCGCCTCTCCAAACTTCAGATCCTCCTCAGAAGTGTTGCAGCAAAGTCGGCTTTGGTTCGGGGGAGGAGGGATAAGAAGTGGGGCAGAGAGAGTGCGCATACAGCAAATTGGCAGCTCCATCAAATTATACTGGCATTAAGGGGGTTTCGCAGGGCGTAATCCACACGCCAAAGCCAGAACGCCCCTCCCTCCCTACAACGTTTAACTTTTGTCGACGTAAACGCCACATTTCATGCTCCGCCATTAATCTGTCGGATTACAGGATGCAAGCAGACTGAGCAGGGTTTTGGTTGGGGCATAAGAAATGGGGTGAGGGGTTGATTTGTAATGAATTCTCTCGATCTTGGCTTAATGTCGAGCGGTGGAGGTAGCCGGATCAAGAAGGTACCTTGAGACTCCCTGATTAGTGATTTTTGTCTTCACCATTTCTACAACTGGTCAGAGTGTTTGGCCAGAGCATTTTTTCCAGCTACATACACAATACAGGCCTGAAATGAATCCCGGTCTCCTGTGTTTCCTTATGATGGGATCGTCTCCCATATGACGGGGATGTTCCCGGGCTTCGCAGTCAGAGGATAACCCACCTGAGGACAGCGAGGGAGAATGAGCCTGTCACACAGAGGGGGGATTGTGCCCTCTCTCCCCGGGGTGTGGAGGAGCTCGCAGCAGGGGTTAAGGAGGATCCAGTCGTGGTTTCTAATGGATGAAGTGCTCTGGGAATAATTTGACACATGTGGAGTGTGAAGATGCCGCTGTATGGCCCTCATCCCGTGAGTGAAGACATGAGAAGAACAGCTGGTGCTGGACCTTGAATGAAAAAGACAGCCTCTTATTCTGATCTGTGTAAACTTCAATAAGGATAGAATAATAGTCTTCATATTGAGAATACAGATAGTTATCAGTTTGAGTACTATCAAGACATATCAAGTGTACCTTGCTTTTCTTTTTTTTAAAGACAGAAAGGTTGCTGCAAAGATTGGCCTCGATCCATTTACAGACAAATTGACCTGTTTCTTCAACACAGTGGTACTTCACATGCTAACTTTAGTTTGCTAAACTGTATGCAAAGACACGCTACAATCACCATTTCAGTTTAGTTTGCTGGTAAAGTTAATTTGCATATTTGTGATATTCAAGTAAAGTGAAGAAAGCATTTGATTAAGTTGTAGTTAACCACTATTTGGTAATGATTCTGCATACACAACAGCTAAGATGCACATGCCTATTCGGGAGTATCCGCATAACTTTTAGTTTTTATTGCAAAAATAAGGTTAGAAATGTCAAGGGATGAAAGGATATCAGTTCCAATAAGTTCCTCTATCACATTTTGCAAAGACCATTTTTTGTTCAAGACCACTAAATCATAAAAACTTATTTATCTCTTAGGGACGGGACCATGTCTCACTCCAATATCTTTTCAATTTATTGCAGAATCATCATATGTATGTTTATAGGGAGTTACTTGATGACCAGCTAGGATGCTTATAGGATGGTTACAGCTTGGTTGCGTAGTTGGTGGTCCCCCAGTCCGATGGTTAGTGGTACATCCCAACAGTTCACATGGTTAAGGGTTCTTAACAGCAAAACCCCAAATTGCTCTTTGTGATGTAACCAGCAAATGTGAATGCGTGTGAAGGGGGATTAATTATTTCTATACTTTGTAACATCCTTTTCCACCAGTGTATAAATGCTCTATGTAGATACCATAAAAGTGCTGAGTGGAGGACTGTAATAATAGTACAGCTTATTTAACCTGTTAACTGTAGTAAATTTGATAACAGTGCAAATCACAATGTATTGAGATATTATTATTTGGATGTAATCTTAGGACAGACCAACGTTTCCATCCTTGTCAGAGATTTGAAAAAAATGTGCTGCACTTTGACGGTCTCATCTTTTCTTTGATGAGGACATACAGTGTAACACCCACATGCACCAAGGGGTCTGAACACCATTTTAAAGTAGTTCAAAAGAAAAGTTTTCTTGAAGACACTCTCATGGAGAAAATGTTTATTTGCATTGATTCAGGTCTTCTCTGGGGGTTCCCCTCAAGCACAGGGATTTACACAGCAGTGAAGTGAGACTGGCATCTTTCTTCCTATGGTGCTGATGGCCACTCTCTCTCACAGCTCTACCCTGTCTCTGGAATAAATTGAATGTCTGTGACCACACCATAGATCAAGACAAATAATAAATCGCCTACTTACTCCTTCTCCCTCTTGTATCTCTTCACCTCCTCTGTGGATATGCATTCTGCCGGCTCCCCCTCCCTCAGCGTTATGCTGTCTCTATCAGCCCTTTCAGCCGTCTCTGTTGTTCACTATCTGTGTTTCTGTTGCAGCCTCAGCCCTCACACTCTATCTCTGAGCTGTCCTGCCAGCTTGTACTGTACAGAGCAGTCTTCAGTTAAAAAGTGAGGGAGATGTTGAATCTTCTGCCACCTCTTCTTTCTAATTCAGATGTCTTGCACATCTTTCTTCACTTGCAAACATACGTTTTTGTAGTAGAAGTGTAACTATTGTCTCTACTTTGTACCCATTTTCTCTCCACTTAAAATGCAAAGGAATGCCTATCCTAATTTTACAACAACCTAGCAACACCACTGGCTCCACCTTTTGGCAAAGTGGTGATATATCTGCTTTTTTTCATCACTGAACAACCAGAATCAAGAAGGGAAGGACTTTAGATATCAACTTAGTCAAGAGCAATTGTAGAGAAAACAGCCACCACATTTTTTAGTTAAAGGTACATGTCTTTATTTGCTAAAAGTGCTCTGACACAATTTTTATCAATTGTTTTTGCATTAGGGTTTTTTAGATGCATACCAAGCATTGTGAAACAAACCTGATGATCACTACTAAGGGAAGCAGAAGTGACGTAGAACAACTTTCAAAACTGCAAATACTGGTGAGAAGCACTCTAAAATTGAGGTGGTGGGGGCTGTCAGAGAAAAAGGACACAGTCCCATAGGTATAATACACTTGTTATTAGGGGTGTCCCGATATGATATTGATATCAGATATCAGCAAAAAATCGAATATTGGATTATATCTGCTTGCATCTAAAATCTGCAATATCAGCACTCTGATACAAGCAGTCCATTCCAGACTCCACTCCTGCACCTCTATCTAGCAGCACCCTGATCCAGCAAGCTGAGCCCACAAAATCACAACAACAGTGTGTACTAAGGTACCAACAAAGTATCAAGGAGTAAGAGTGATGTTGGCCTTATGGCAGTATTTTTTGTTTAAGTCCGAAAAGGACACTACAACTGAGTGAAAAACTTGGCATGCACAATTTTGTGCCAATGTTGGATCAGTATTGGTCTCGGTCATTGTTGAAGGCTACAATATCGGTATCCTATCAGAAGTCAAAAAGTTGTATCAGGACACCCCTACTTATTTCACTTATATGTAAAAAAAAAAGTTTCCTGACAGAAACTCTGCAAAGCAGGGACAAATAAATCTCCTTATCTTAAATTTAAAAGACACTGTAGAAAGCCACAACTCAAAACTAAAGGCACTAAACAAAGGAAAATGAAAAATTTGAGAAAACCACCAGCAGCACTTTGGAAAACAACCAATACTGTCAGCTTGATATTTGATCCAGCAGAGGGAGCTCTTATTGTTGCCTGACCACTGAGTGGCACTCTTGACCTCAGTGAATAAATGCAGTGATGATTTAGAAAAACTCAGTTTCCCTGGTTATCTTATAATTTATAACATTGGAAGCACAGAGCATAAATTAACAATATAAATAAGAGCATGAATTGATGAAGAATGGTTTCTTTGCACAGGAACATTTTCACCAAGAGAAGTTGTTTGTAGCGACTTCAGGTCCATCGTTACCACCATTTCTATCTCCGACACAGATCTCCTAACGCTCATGAATTCTTATCCTTGTACCCTTTTTGGAGCAGACACCTCTGCCATTGATAAATGTCTCTACCAAGCCTCCACGTCCTCTTTATCTAGGAGGTGAAAGAACCCACCTCTATCACAAACATATTAAGCAGACCTAACATCTTGATAAAACCAAGATCACCATCTCAATGACCTGCATTGATCCAGCTCTCCTGGTGGCCTGGCCAAACTCCACCAAGGACTTTTTTTGACTCACCTTTTCTTAGTGAACTCCAGTTTCTCTCTTGCTACCTTGAGTTACTAGTAGAATTGTTACGATAAAAGCCAGGGGACAGTTACTCTGATACTCCCTGACAGAGGTTTTGGTAAACTCAAAGGGTTGAAACCACAGAAAGTGAAATACAGCAAGCAGAAGTGAGCTCCCAAAATGTTATTTCAATGAGAGATTGGAGGTATCCTTTTGTGGTACATGGCTCATAACAGTGGTATATTAGTATACATGGGCATCAGAGCACAAGTTATGGAAGAGCAGCCCCTATAACTACATCATTCAGCGGTGTTGAAGCATAACCTATTTGGGATATTTAACTAGTGGCTTGATTCTTTAACCAAACCATTGAGGCCTTCAAAGTTGAAGGTAGCATTATATACACAGTAATGTGATTAAAATGTATTTGCCTGCATCTTAGAGTCATGACAGGCAGCACACAAGGCCCCACAATGTTGAAGAGTTTGCTACTCCTCAGGAACGCTGGGGCCTCTCTATCATATTTTACCATGACTCAATTCTGGAGCTTCGTCACCCCTCCTAACTGATCTGAACACAGAGAGGAAAAGTATGGCTACAGGGCCGAGACTGCTGGTTGGAACCGCACGGAACAAGTCTTGACTGCTTAAATCCGCTTTGATCTGCGTTTCCTGGAGAGGGGATTGTCTGCTTGGTCCTGTGGTAACACTTTTGTACCAGCCTGTGCTCTTTGCATCATCTTACCCTGCGTGAAGAAGTCTTGCTTTGCTTTTTTCTCTCTCCTTTTTCATTTTTTTCTTTATCTCTAACACGGGCGTGTGCACAAATATGTATGCAAACACACGTCCACAAAATCCACATACACACATTTTTTTCTGTCAAACACATTCTCTTCCTGTCTTTCTCAGCCCCCCTACTCTTTCTCTCTCTCTCCATTTTCCCTTTGACTTCCACAGACACTAATTCCCTTTCTTCAAGGACAAGCATCTCACGGCACATCATCTGAATAAGACTTTGAGTCGCCGTGGCCTCCCAGGGCTTAAGTCCGCAGAGCCCTTCTTCCCGATCCCCTTTTTAATGTTCTAACACCAGCCTAGTGCCGTCAATAAATATTAACATCCAGAGGGATGAGATATGCTCTGGTTAGGCAGGCCGCTCACCACATGGGTCTCAGGGTGGCTGTCTCTCAGCTGATACTGAAGAAGGATTTTTGAGCCAGTGACCCACACTGAAAGACCAAAAGAGCTTTAGGACTGTGTAGCTCTTGAAGATACCGTGCAGGAAATGTCTTCATCAATCGGGACACTAAATCAGATGGTGTCAAATTGTTGTTTCTGCATGGGTGGGAAAGATTTCTTTTCTTTGGTGTCATTTAGGACAAAGACTCGCTTTGGCTTCAGTTCTGACATCCAGAGTCGATTAGCTTTGAGCAAAGTCATGGCTCACATTAACAATGATGGTAAGACTTAAAATGAAAATCCATGTCTATTCATCTCATAATGCCACCGCTGCTGCCGATGAAAGTGAGCAGAGTAGGTTTGGGTTTAATGACCCAGCTGTTGTTTTCTTACTCTGTGTAAGTTTGAGTGTGGAGGATTTAAGTTCAGTAATGTCTGTGGAAGATGCAGTGTCTAACAGTTAGCAGCATTTAGGAGGAAAGATGTAAAAATGGTTTATAATTTTCATTAGCTGGTTAAATTAGTGTATAATCACATGGATGCAAAAAAGTCATTTTGGTTTCCCTACCCTTGATGAGGCCTTTCATACAGAGTGGGGCGATATAGGCTAAAATATTTATTATGACGAGATTTGCCATTTTAGCGATAACGATTAAAGTCCCAATAAAAAATATAATTCCAATCTATATTTTTGACTCATTTTGTCTTGAAAACAGCAGCAGCAGTTGGAGTAGTCAAATAAGATACTTAACCACAAGTTTAAGTGTTAGGTTACAGAGAAAACTGATTACATCAAACAAGTCTCAAGTGTAAAAACATTTTCAACATTTGTTAAAAACTCTTATTGCACAGAGTGAACAGCAGCAGATCCACTGTCCGATGTCAGGCATACCTGATTGCACTCATCTAAGCCCCAATCTTGAAGGAAATCCCTCATGTGGAGCCTCCTTCAGTAACAAGCTTCTCAGAAACGTCTTCTTTATTACCTTCAGCCACGTGTGTTTGTTATTGAGCTCTGTGTGGGCTATGGGCTATATTTATCTTGGATGATTTTTCTGACGATATATCAAGAGTGATAATTTATCGCCCATCCCTAATACAGAGGCCTTCTCGAACAGATAGACCACTTTGTATTCAGGAGTGGCAGCAGCTGGGGGAGGTGCTGTCACTCTTAAACCAAAATTAGAGTCTTCATTGGAACCTGGAGGGTAAAAGTTATCAGTGGTCATCGCTGACCACTGAATGGTACTCTTTACCTCGGTGAATTAGTACAGTGGGGATTTTCTTCAGAAATGGAGGGTATATGCTGTAATCAAGGCCATCCTGAGTCGACAGTCACAACAGCAAAACATCTGAGAGGCACCTTCAACACCATAGATGGTTTAATAAAGCCTCGGGACTGTACGTTAACTTTGCTAACTCAACAACAACAACAACAACAACAACAACAACAAAATCTGAGAGCTCATCCTTCAGTTGGCGAGGAAGGAACCACTGTGGAGCATGCAATGTCAGCAGATGACGTTAATAGGAGAGCTATACTCGGTCCTGATAATGACACAGACTGTTATTTCTGTTTTTTTGGAGGGGCTTTTTGTGCATTTCTTAGAGAGGATAAGACCGGATTGAGCAGGAAACGAGGAATGAGCAGAGAGTGACATGCCACAGGCTGGAATCAAACCCTGTCTGTCTGCCTGAGGCAGAACCTCCATATATGAGGCATGCGTTTAGACTGCTAGACTCGCTGTGCCCCAAACTGCCAGTATTTTAATAGAAGATTTCACCGACGCTAGTTAACAAGTGCCTTGTGAGGAAAGACAATTCCACCAGAAATCATTGCAAAAAGCACAAGAAAGCAGGTGAAACAGAGTTTAGTCCTTTTTTTTTTAGGGGAGAACAGTAGATTTTTAATTTTGAGGATAAATTTCAATTCACATCAAAGAAAAGCTAAAGAAAATGTTTGTTTTTTTCTTTTTAAGTCTGATTTTCTTCATTGAATATGTCAAATTGACACGTAAAACAAACTAGAATCAGCAAAAGAACTTTCACGTATTGTATCTGTAATCACTTTAATAATGACAAACATTTAAAGTCTGTATTTTGCCTCTAAGATGTTTAGTTCATTCTGTTTTCTGTGATGAGAGTTTGAAACTCAATGAAAGCTCAAATACCTTGAACAATAACACACACAAAAAAAAGTTATCACACTGTTGATTTATTTCTATGTTGCCAAAACTGGGAATAGTTGTGAATAAACTATGTGTGAAATGTATCGTCTTTTCACATTTACTTCGATGTACAATTTTCAAAATAATAGAGTGCCTCAGACTAACTTAACTTAGCTGTGAGGATGGAGTGATCAATCTTGAAAAGCCTAATTCTTGAATAAAGGTTTCTGGTAAAAACAAACGTTATCAGGAGCTTTCCTTCTGTAATCAAATCAGTATCTGATGGAAATTCAGACAAACCCAAAAAAACAGTCAGCATTTACACGTTTTCCCACATGTACAGTACCAGCCTGGGTCTAATGACTGTAACTCCAGCAGCCACTGCCACAGGATACTGTCACACTCAGTCCTCTTCCCTCGTCCCTGACTCCCAGCTCCCACCCCTGAGCCCAGATTCATTACAAGCTGTGGCCAGGGTATTAAGATACGGCCGCATTAACAAAGTTGTCTCTGTATCTTAATTGAATCTACCCCCGCCAGAGCTGAATCTGGATTATGTTTACCTGAAATATAAGCGGCTCGGCAGACGGAACACGGCCCCACTGATAAAACACTGGGTTGGCCCCCTCCCCAATCCTAATCCCCAACTGTAATTTGTTCCTCGATGGATGTAGTCGTAGCGATGGGAGCCCCTGATTGGGATTCATTCCAAAAACAGGGAAGGCAACTGCAGGTAAGTTCATCTGTTAAATAGTGAAGGTGTGTGTTTCCGTGTGTGCGGGAGACTAACCTGAACTGTGCATGGATCTGCCTCTTTATCAGCAAACTTAAAAAAAATGTCCCTGTCATGAAACATCATCAGGTAGCAGCTGTTTTCAGGTAAATACAGATTTGTTATTGCCTCCCAAAATGAGCATATGAGATTTCTAATGTAGAGCTCTTGTTGGCAGGAAAGTAAAACCATTTAGACATATCTCAACGAAAAACTACCTTTTTAACACATTTAAATCATTTCAGGTCAAGGACAGAGCCTGGTCATGGTTACAGGAAATACAAGTACTGTTGTCCCAGTGCCCTTGTAGTCAAACCTGAATCCTATGTAGCTCAGGGAGTCAAAATGTGGGCTGGGTAAGTGGGGTTTTGGTGAAGGGTTGGACAGGGTTTTTTTCTGAGTGGTCAGAAACTGTTAACATATTCTGAATCCCCAAAAAGAGGACACTACTTCGCAGGGCGGAGTCACGGGGTCGCGTGTAGTAAATTCCAAAGTTTTTTGGGTTGGCTCAAGTGTTTTTTTACGCACTTTTAACTCAGTTACTCCACGCGACACAAACTCAAAACTTCCATACAAAACCCTGGACATTTTAAGGATTTTATAAACTCCCCCAAAAAGAGGACATGTCCAGGTAAAAGAGGGCGAATGGTCACCCCTAGTTAACAATACCAGCTTTCTAAAATCATTTCACTCAAATTTTGTAGTCTTATGTTTGAGTTAGCAGGACGGAAGTAGAATTGATTATTTTTTACACACTGTGATGAAAACCAGAACAAAAGAAGGTGAAAGTAAACTAAGTGAACCCCCCATGACTGAGGTCAGCTATCACTTACAACCACTATGTCAGGGGGGATGAAAGAGAGAGAGAGACAGTGATGGTCCAGAACAAAGTGACTCAAAAGTCTGTCCAGTTTTTCCTCAGCAGTTATAATGCCAGTTCTAAGATACGAGTATCAATACAGCTGAGATATTAAACTGTCAAGCAGCCAAAAAGTATGTTTTCACTGTGTAACATTTAAACACGGTGATCCCAGAAAGACCCTCTGACAAATCTTACCATGACTCTTGAGGCAGACACCTTCAAGAGACTGACGGGAACTGAGAGGTTTCCAGAAAGCAGATTGAAGGTTACCAGAGTTTTATCTAAATACTGATACAAGTGCTTAAGTTGGAGTGTGATAAAAATGTGAGAATTTAAATTAGATGATATTGTAGTCTTTCAAAAGTTTTCACAATGTAATTTTGTTAAGAAGTCTTTCTACAAGTTTGTTGTTAATCAAAGCCATCAACCTTGTAATAAATATTAAGGGGGGCAGCCATCTTTGATTTAGTTGGGATTTTCTCAGTGTTCTTTATCCCAACTACCTTCTTGAAGAGTGAAATTCAAATTGAAATTTCTGGCCACAAAAAGGAAATTCTGATTTCCCAGCTGTTAAGTTGCATCAAAGCATCAGCGTGGTTCAAACGTTAACTTCAGTTTTACATGAATTACTCCTCGATAAACTGTGTTTTAGATTAGTCTTTTTTCCCTAAATATTTACAGTCTGACTCTGTGAAGTGTGAAATTGAGTCATGTCAGTGGTCATTTTAGTAACTAAGTCTGTTTTTTGTGGGGGATTGCACCACTGTTGTTAGCTCTCCATGAAAAAGGTACATTTCTCTCAAATCCACTCACTGTATGTTCATTGAAATAACTCTAGCACTTCTTCAGCACTCAAATATGCTGCTGTAGATTTCAGGATTCTCCAGGCCAAAGAGAGAGCTCCAGTGTAAGATCACCATCCTCACTCTTTAAACCTGAAACCAACTACCTTCTGCCCAAGCCCAACAGATAAACACCCACACACACACTTAGACCACTCACACACACAAAGGCTGGCTGCTGACCAAAGGCCGACAGTGGTAGGGTCTCTTCTGGACAAGCCACCATTGGGGGGTCTCACATGAGGGATGGCTCTGGATGGTGACAGTATTCAGGGGCCAAGTCCTTCGCCTTTTTGTCCTTCACAGGGCACCATCCCAACACAACTCATTTCTTAACCTTTCTCCTGTAAAGACTACCCACTTTTTCCGTCTCCAGACCCCAACCCCCCATCTTGATTCTACATATTTCAAAGGGTAGAGCAGTGATGCACTGCCAACCTTATTTTGAGTCACTACAGCTACAACTATTAAAACCACTACCCTTTAGATATGCTTTAGCAGGAGCTCTGTGCAGTCTTTTGTTTTAGTGGGTCAGCCATGGAAAGAAAAGGGATAAACCAAGTTAAAGAAGTTAAAGTTGAATTGATCTTCAACAGCCTGAATTAAACTAATAGAGTTTTTAAAATTCAGATCTAATTTTGCTAAAGAGTTCTTTTTTCAAGACTAATGAGAAATTTGAAATTGCCTTAAAGTTTAAGTACTTACATTTCATAAATACACACTGTAAACAAGTGATCAAGAAAACTCCAACTCATCGTATGTTTTACCAGGAGTACTCTATGTAGATTTTGTATTGTTGCAAAGCAAGACCACATTTCCCATCAGCCCCCTTTTCCCTCCCAGCCAGAAGGAAGTTATTTAGAAGCCCCTCCCCAAACATTTCCTACCTGTTTGTTTTGAAGTGGATAACAAGTCTTACAGCCTAACTAACTGACAGACTACAGAGAGACTTGGTGAGTTTTTATACTTTACCTCTCCAAATGATCTTTGATAGAATTAATTTGTAAACTAGATATGACTTTTGCTAAATATGCCATAGATTTTTACATACAACATTGTCCCTGCACCATTTTGCCATCTCCTTCATGATTGATGATTAGTGGATCAAGCTTTTGAAAGATTAGGAACTCTTTTTCAGATTGTGTTGAAATAAAATCAGTGCTTTGAAGCTTCAAATTTAGCAAACAAAGAGACATCTGGCAATACTACAGGAAGCCATTTAAATGACAGTTTGAAGCTCCAATATAACTCTTTAATATTTTGATCTGAAGTTTGAGAAGCTGATGAAAAGAAACACAAGATTCCTGTGGAAATTAGGTGTCGATGTATGCAAAGATGCAGTATATGAGGAGTGCAATCGTTTTTCTAAACCATATTTTTTAGTTTCATTCATTCCTGTTCCAAGTCATGTGGTCCTAGAAGTTAACAGATACCAACTTAACTCATTTTCACCTTTCACCATGTCTGTCTGGGGCACCCATAGAGTCACTTTGCATGTTTTGCAGCTCAAAAAACTATTGAACCAGCATCTGTAAAATCTGTCATTTAAGCCTATGCGCAAAGCACTTTTGTTTGCCTGCTTCTCCGTTGATACAAAACTTGAGAAAGCTTGTGGGTGTACTACCTGAAATACTACCTGACAGTTATGCACTTCTCAGAAATTATGGTGTTGTGGTGCAGTTTGCCTGACCATGTCCTCCAGTTGTGTAGAGTAATATGACTGTAAATGTGGCCAGGTTACAATGAGAGCACCTTTCACTGGCTCATACAGCAGGCTGTTTCACACATCCTGATACTCTGGTTTACTGCATTATTCAGAGTTTAAGCGGGTCATTAAAGTTCCAATATGAACTTTTCCTCCAGACTTTGAATGAGGATTTGAATGTTGGATATAAAGTGATGAAGGGATCTTGCAAGCCACTTTCTTAGCCCAACAGTATCAAGAGAGTGCATTGTGAAGGGAAAAGACAAGTGTTTCTGGCTGCCAGGTTTGTGTTTTTTTGACAGAGCTGTGAGATGGGCTCATCCTTGAGCATTGTTTTGATAGGATGGCACTACCTGACCTTAAGTTGAGGCCATGCTGCAAAATGTGCCGAAAAGAAACCTGGAAAACATGTCCGGGGATTACGTTTTAGTGCATTTGTAACAATTTATGAAACTTTGCTGCACTTTCATGTCTGTAACAGTATATGCAGGTGTGAAAGAACACGTCTGCACAGTCGGTCCCCTTTGAAGTATCAAACTTTTCAGAGACACTCGTGAAGGCTGCAGTGTGTTTGTTTTACGCTCACAACACAAAATCAATGTGGAGTGTTTCTTGAAATTCCTTCAGCTCCTCCTAGTACAACACTTGTGATGTTGTGATTGTGCATGTAGGTTTGTGCTTTAGTCACTTTACAGCTCTAATTGTACAAATACTCTTAAGGGATGAGGAAAGGCTAAACAAAGATACTCCAGCATGTCTATGCACTCAACAGTCTCCGCTCTGAGCTGGAGGGGACACTTTGACAGCTTCCTTACTCTACACCCTCCACAGGCGAGGAAACAGGTGGAGGAGGACACTCACTCACACACACACGTGCACACACACACACACACACACACACTTGGCACTCCATCCACACACTCTTATCTCCAGCAGGAGGGCTTAAGATAGAAAGCACGCTGTACAGTAATTACCACCTCCCCCCTCCCTCCTTCATCTTCTGCGTCGTCTTCTCTCTCTCTCTCACCTTCCAAACTTTCCCATCTTTCCTTTCTGTGACTCTCTCCCTGTGGGACAGCTTCATCCTCCTCTCCCCTGTTTGAGCTCATCCTGCCACCTTCCTCCCCCAACCTCCCGCTGGCCAGGACTAAGCCATGTGTAGCCTCGCCGCTGGGATGTTGTAGGCAGAGCGACAGAGGGCCCCCCGGGGCTTCACGGCGAGCCAGGCACAGTCGGCATGCACTTGACGTGATGCTGCCTCTCCTCGGGTGACAACACTGCATCCCCAGCAGTCGCGCTCACCATCCCTCCCCTCCGTATCCCCGTTCTGACTCCCGTTCCCCCCACCCCGAAACAGATGCTCGGGACGAGGGCGGCGCCAGTCAGGGGGGACGTGGGTTAATTGGGGTAGTAGTGGGGGTTAATTTCAATTAAAACTTCAACTAATGGAGGTCAGGGAAGCGTCTGCAAACACCTGATTAAAACAAATGGTCCTGCCAGTCAAAACTTTATCTTGGTCAGCCTCCGGCAGAGTGTCCTACGCTCAGAAAGGAAGAACAAAAAAGGGGTGCAGGCAGAGAGAGAGAATGACTAATTGGGGGACACTTGTTAGCAGAACATCTGCAGGCAGATCAGTGAGTTAAGGTTGTGTGATTGTGTGTGTTTGACTGCTGAAACATGTTTATTATGGTTGCTGTGATGGAGATTTTCTTTTTGCAATCAGACTTGTAGATTTTATTGTAGATCTTGGCTAGTACCACTTTCATTTCCTGTTTTCTTTTCTGATCAAATGATTTTTTCAACCACACAAAAACTGTTAGAACTGTATTGAACACCACACATTTCTCTAGATCACAGAACCAGGTTACATGAGTGTAAGCTGTAAACTAAGATTTCTCTTTATATGACCCCTATATCTGTATCAGCTCTATCTTTTCATCCTGATACAATTCCTTTTAAAAAACAAATTTAAAAATATGAGTGCAGCAGCCAAAGAACCAAACTTGTATCCAAAATAGTGGTCTACAGAGTGATCAGCTATGTTGTGTCACTCTGTGATTCATCAGGGTTCCTGTGGATCCTTGAAATTTCTTCAAAGGTCTTGTATTGGATTAATGAAATTGAAGACTCTCTAATATATATGCAAACTTTTGTTTTTTCTCATACTAATTTTTGTTGTACCATATTATTTTGGCGTCATTCATGGAGCGTTTAAACTGGTAATTTTTGTCCTAATTTGAAATAAGTAAAATGAATTTCACAACTCTCTAGCCAGTGGTCAGCAACATGTGCTGGAAATCAGCCAGACAGAGGGAAGAGAAATACGTTTAAGTTTTATAAGTAAATTTCTTCTTATCAAGAGAAATAAGTTTATCAAGCAGCGATGAATTTAAAACTCCTGTGAGGAACTCCAGGTTTGAGACAATATTGGCCCCCTGTGGACGGATCAGACTTTGCTTCAAATGTGTCCTTTAAAAAAAGACTTCTCATCATGGCAACTTTTGACAGTCAAATATATCTTCATTCATTGAGTTATATGAGTGTGTGTGAAGGGTAAAGACAGTTTACCAGTTTAGTTTGTTTTAAGTTGCTCAGTTGACACCTACTCCCTTACATCAGTTTTAGACATTAAATATTACAATATAAACATCATCAATTTTGTCAATCATGGTATTGTTTGTTTTTGTATGTCATATAAAACCATTCATATGAGTTTTGGTCTTTTGATGAATATAAAAATCCTTAGAGGAGCTTTAAGTTTAGGGGGATTCTACAACTGGATTTCATGTGCCAATGCCTGGTTATTCCTGACGACACTAATAGCTTGGATCATACAGAATGTACTAAATATCTGCTTTGGATAATTACAAAGGTTTGTAACGAAAATCCAAACTGGAAATCTGCCAGTGGAATTATTTAATCAAACAGCCACGAACAAATAGATATCACTTAACATGAAAAGCTTACATCAAATTTGATTGGTCAAACATAAGCAACAATCTTCATAGAATCTCAAACTTGGGTGACACCATTTTTTAAACTTTTTTTTATTGAAGATAAAAATGTGATACCTTTTTGTACTGATCATAACTGTAGTGTTTTCCTGCCTGTAAGTGAATGAAGGCAGTTGGCGGGTGGCGGTGTTATCCACACTGTACCCAGGCCTGCTGTGCCACCCTGCTGCCAAGCTGCTCTGCCAGGCGTGCCGCAGCAGCTTTCGACATCTGGCGCTGAGCCTCAGGGAGAAGGCAGGGGACGGGGCGCCCCGCCGTGGCTAAATATGGCGCAGGGTTACGCCACACGTCCCTAATCACTTAGCCGCTGTCTGGCAGCTCACACCAGTACTAGTTCCCCAGATCAGTCATATATCACCGCTGCTAGACATCTGTACAGCCGGTAGGCATTTCTTTTTACTGCCCCCCACCTCCTCTTCTTCCTCTCTGCCATCCGATGACAGGTGGAGTGTTCGTCAATTTCTCATCCCATTTGTTTTACAGTTGGAACCATCGCTGTGTCTGTGTTGTGCAACTCTGACATGGGAGATAAAGTTGTATCATTTGCCAGGTGTTTGCTTCACACGTGTTTGGGAGTGAAGACTGTCTTCTCAACATGGGCTCCTTATAAGCCAAAGTGAGCAGAGACGCTTTAAGACAACTGACTTCAAACTGACTGTAAAGTTGTTAAAACCTGTAAGTCAGCACACTAGTCTTTTTAAAAGCAGTAACCAATTAAAAAAATGGCAAAGTTTGATTCGTGATGCATCAGCTGCTGAAGCCAAGTATTGTTGCAACAACAACCAACAGCTGCTAAGTCCCTGCTGAAGCTGATTCATAATTGGGTGGATGAGTTGGGTTGGATGTCTAATATCACATGATTGAAAGTTCATCTTAAGAAATTTTTCTTCCCTGCCAAAAAAAACCCACTTACAGTAGAATTCCACCAGATCCACGTTTGGTTCGTCTCTCCTCCACTCTGATTCAGTTCAGCTCTATTGTCCCTCATCCAGCAATCTGGACTAGGACTGAACAACATTTCCAGAGAGCTGGAGACATGAGACCAAGAATTCCCCCCTTTGAAAACAGAATCACTGGTTTGTTGCATCAATAATGAGCTCTGCAAAGCTGCTGATCTTGATAAGCTAACTGTCCAGAGACACCAGGGATCATGTTCGGGGATCATGGCAGGCATCATTTGTGTGTGTCATGAACTTGTTTGGCACGGACTTCCAGAATTCGAACCTTATTTATGTTTATGTACTAAAATACAGGTCAGCAAAGGTACGCTGTACTTTCACATTGGAGGACAGTAACTAAAATGAACTTATCCTTCTTTAACCTTGTTTTGTCCTCCAGATTCCCCTTTCTCTAGTTTCTCTCTCTTCACTCATCCTCAAAGATCTCTGCTCTCTTGGTTTCAAGCATTGTCCTCTTCCTTCTCTGTCTCCTTTATCAGTTTACTTCAAATGTCCTTTCAGTGGTCTGTTAAAGTCATTTGCTCTTTTTTATCTGTAGTTATATGTCTATCATATCCTTGGTTTTAATATTTTTATTGAAGACGTACTCAATGAATCACTCCAAGCTTTGAATCTACTCATTGTGACTTTCTGCTCAGAGGCTTCATGTCATGGTCAAGCAGATCAAAAAATGTCCCTCAAATGTTCCTGGTTAAGCTGCTGCCATCTTGACCTCTATATGTCTTTGTCCCGATGATACTATCTGGGACTTTTGATACTTTTTCTTTTTAGCTCCCTGGCTTTGTTCACATTTTAACCCCTGACCTTTGCTTCCTCTACCATCTTCTCCACATGTGTTCTCTGGTACACATGAACATTTGCCAAAGATGTTAGAAGCCCTATATGGTTACTGAGTGATAGTTTGGATGTCTTATTTTAGATGCATTCCAAACATGAGAACAAATTTACCACTACACACAATATCTTTATTCTTAAAGATAAAAATCACTATATAGACATCATGGTAATTTTCCAATCATAGTCTTGCAGGAGCCGAGTGAAGAGGACAGAGTAGTGTGTGAAATCATGGAAAACCCATAAGGAGTGTCTAAAAGAGCCAGGCACGGGGTATTCGCGGGGTCTTAAAAAGTCTCAAAACATCTAAAATCCAATAATTTGAATTTAAGGCCTTAAAATGTCTAACATTCTCTTAAAATTACGGCCCGACGTCGGCGACTTCATGACAGTCTGGCGCAGCGACTTCATGACAGTCTTCATCCACTAACTACCTCACAGCAGAGTAACGGATCTGCAGCAGGCGGACTGGGGTATGCACGGAGGAGAGCGGTCTGCTTCAATGGTAAATAAACTAGTTTGGCGCAGGCGGAGTGCAGCTGGCTTATGCCGCGCCTGCGCCACACTGCTGGGGAGGCACAAAAATAGAACTCTTAGTCTGTGTCTGCTGTAGTATGTAGCTAATCATCAACCAACAAACTGAAATGACCACAGAAGGTCAGAAAAATCAGGTTTTTCCTCTTGATTAGATGGTAGTACAATTTAAAGGGATAAGCTAAAAAGGGTTTGACATTGTTGGGTTAGAAATCTGGAGTTCCCCTGGTTATGACCTTGTAGTCGTTTCGTGCTTTTATGAAACTTCAGTTTTAGAGAGAGCTGCAGAAAAACAGAAGTATGACAGGAGGGGGAAAATGGGACCAAACAGGAGGGAAGAGGTACAGATGACATTTAAAAAAGGTGAAAACTGGAGTGAAAATAAAAAAGAGGGACATTTGAGCATAACAAGTGGTAGTAGAAAGTGAGAGTTGGGAAAAAAATCTGCTCTTCCCTGTGTTTCTGTTGTTGCAGAGCTGTCATTGTGAGTAGTTTTAACTGATGGGATCCCAGACCTGAGGCCCACCAATCATTATCTCTTGTCACAACTGGAAAACATTTGTAACATACCAGGGCACAGAGATGGAGAGACAAGGCAGTGCTCTCATGTCAGCATGATATACTGGACTGTTCTGGTCCGAGGAAAAACTGTGACCCTGCAAACACATTTAAGGAGCCATTTATCATCTTTCATCCCAGATGCTTTTGGACAAGTAATGAAATGCCTCTTGTTTTCATGTTAAGACAGTAAAAATACAGCTCTGTCATTTGCCTGATACGCTTCAACAGAAGCAAACAGTGCATTAGTGTTGGGCTGGAAGTAGTCCTTAGTTCTGTTTTGATCTGGTTACCATTTAATTGGTGAATAGAAACAAATCATCTCTTAGTGACCGGGTGGAAATGCAAATCAGAATATCAACTAGGTGAGTATGACCCTGACCTGAAGTCTTGTCTCACCCAAACGGGGTTGCTTGTCCTGCAAAGTGATTTATTTATACATCGAAACAAAACTCTCTCACATGAATGGATTCGAGGGAGAAGTTATCCCGACACCGAACATTTCAGTCAAGCCAAGACTTTCATCTGCTTGTTTGTAATAATTATCATCAGACTGAGCCCTTCTGTTAACAGTAATGTTAGACAGGATGACTCCTGAGGAAGCATCGATGTTGACACTTCTGTCGTCATTTCACTCTCCTACAGTTTCCACTGGAGTAGGTGTCAACATTAACCCTTTCAGACTGTCACTTTAGGGCCGTCCCTTGGTTGACCAACCAAATAAAACAACCAACTGTGTTAACAAATTGCTAACGGGATGTATGTCTTATAATAGAAACTCTGTTCTCTTTGCACCTTTGCGCCTTCTGTTCGTATGAAAGGACAGTTTTGTCTATTTTATGTCCTTTCTTAGTCCATCAAGATTTTGGCATACAAACTCTTAAGCATGCTGAGAATGTTAACATTTGTTTCAGTCCAATGAGAGAGTACACATGAGAGAGAGAATTGATCTCCAGCTGTGTTATCAGGTATCCAACTGTGAAAGGTTGGATTTAGTGCAATTTCAAACTGATATTTCAGTAAAAATCTGATCCAAATATAATCAAATCCAAATTTGAGTTGCATGTACAGCATGTTGTGTGTCTATTGCCTGTAAAATCCCTCTTGTGATGATCTTTTGGTGTCAGTCATCCCCTCTATCAATATTTGTGTCATCCAAAACATTTTAATCTTTGCCTCACTCTCCGGTCCACAATCTGTTCTCCCATCCACCCCTTCCCCACCCCCGCTGCTCCCCTCTCTGCAACCCCCCCAACCTCCCTCCACGCCCCAGCACAGATCGGGCTCCCATTCTCCACCAATTCCCACCCATGATAGTGTTGCTAATCCTGACTGGGATCGCTCCGGTACACCTGCCATCGCTCCACATCTCCACCCTGACAGAATGGAGACGATGAGCCTGAAATCTGCTCTCTGTGGTGGAGGATTTAGCTGTTTTAGTGTGTGTGTGTGGTAGGCGGGGGTGGATGGGAGCATGTGTTAACAAGCCTATCTGCCCATCCAAGTGTTAATCTGTGAGATGCCAGCTGATACAGTAGGACAGGGTGGGCCTGGCTCCCTTCATGCCTACCTGCTCACCAGCCTGTCCTCCCTGCAGAGACGCGCTGCTTTGCCCTTCGATCTCTCTGCGCCCGGGCACAGGTGGCACTCAGTGTGTGTCGACACCCCAACCTCCTTGTGTTTGTCAGAGCTCAGACTGTGTGTGGCTTTGTGCACCTGAGTGCGTGTGTGTGTGTTAGCCTCAACTTGGTGACAGGGAGGATAATCTCCCATCCCCCTCTGCAGGTGGTTTGTTTGTGTTCTGGGGTTGGACGGTTGTCTGGGTTTGATGAGAGACCAGGCAGGTATATGTTCCCTTATGACAAACAAGCAACTATTAGGCTACAGCTACACAAATGTGAGTGTTATGATAGGTGTTGCATACGAACAAACAGAAAGTTGTGTGACTGCTGTTGCTACGAAACTCCACCATTATCAAGCAGCTGATACTTTGCTTTAAAGCTTCTGTGAGGAGTTTTTAACAGGTTATGAAACGAGCTTAAGCAAATACTGACACCTCTTAATGAGCAGAAAAGCAAACAAAACCATTCACAGCAAGATTGATCAGTTTTAAATAGCTATATTTTGTACCTGAACCTGCTGTAAGACGCAGGTTCTAGCAGATACAGTGACTTACAGCATGCTGCCAAAAGAGCTGTTTCTGAAATTTGTATGCAAAATTAACTGTAAGTGACAAGATTAATGCTGCTAACAAAAACCACGATTGACACGAGTATATTGCATGCTGCTGCTTCTTAAATATACCTTATTTCTAGTTATTCTGATTCTGTTAACAAGAATCAGCTCTGTTTGGTGATATGGATAGTTTGACCTATGTATTATTTGTCAGAATGAGGCTAGCTGGAGGAGGGATTGCTGATCATCATTGACCCCATTTGTCTAACTTTTACTATAGTTCAGTCCTTGTCTGTCACTGTAGTTTTCTTATTCAATCAGCAGAGCCCTCTGTTCAGTATGGATCCATCCATTGCTAAAATAACATACTTAAGTCGTGGTACATGTTAACATATGGGGGTGAGTCCAGACCTCTTTGACTGAGGTGGGCCAACCTCCGCAGTGACACTGCTGAGATGGCATGGAGTATGTGAGCCTACATGCCAGTAAGTAAATAATTATTGCATCACTAGCAATATTACACTAGCAATATAATTAATTTTAACAAGGGTCTTGTCTCCGATGAAGCAAGTGTTTTGAATTTTTTCAACACAATGTTTATTTTTGGGGGTCATGCCCCCTGACAAGGGTCCCATGTCACAAGCAACTAAAACTAATTAAAACCTAAACTGAGCATTTTTTATTTAACTAAAATAAAGCCTTAGAAACTAATTAAAGTTAAACTGAAACTGAGAACAAAATGCCGAGATGAAACAAAAATATAAACTAGTGGAATTTCAAAACCATTATAACCTGAAGTGAGTTATGTATTTGGCTAATAAAGTAGTTTTGTAGATGTAACATTACTGAAATCAGGCTGTCAAAGGTTAGTTTTTGAGAGTTTATAGGAAACTATGGAAGAATGTTGAAGCTAACACAACTCTAAGTACAAATATATTCAGCGCCATTCTTGATACAACAACTGTCAGGTTTTTCGGGACTCAGATCTACTAGTATCACTTTCACAAGCTCAGTCCTTATGCGGGCGCAGGTGTGTATGTGTGTATGTGTGTGTGCAGCTCAGCATCCTGTGGCTTCTCTCCATACCCACAGTGCTTTGCTCAGTGCAGCCTGTCCTGGCCATCTGCCACTGTGGGCCCCAGGCAGGAGGGCGGCAGGTGGGGCGTCAGAGCCCCCCGTGGACTGCTGGTGGTGGGGTGGTAGGTAGAAAACAGCAGGACAGAGAAGCTTACAGCTCGCCAATGAGGACTACACTGACAGACTGTGTTCTCCACTGACTGATCAAGTTACGCAGGACAAACTTTGCACGTAATATTTATCTTCCAAATGTAACATATTCTAGCAAATTTAGCAGAAACCACCAAGTTCAGTAACATTTTATTACAACCTGATGGTAGTTAAGTTAGTTCTCAGAAATGACACTCTCTTAGAAAGTTGTAACACATTTTTGATCAGTTTATGTAGGATTAGTATCACAATTAAACATATTTTTGCTGATCTGAGTAGTATATTCTGATTTAAAAAAAAAAAAAAAAAACTTATACTGCTGTTTTGTCCATAAAATATATCACTTGATGGGATTCACTTAGCCTGTGGCAGCTTTTGCATGCATTAATAATAATATCATGGAAATGTCTAATCCTGTCACCGGTGGTTGGGTTTGCTTTATCAGGTCATGCAGAAGCACCAGGATTCATTTGAGTCTATTTGAACTTGCAGCTTTAAATGCACAACAGCTTTAAAACTTAGTTTGCAAGTAGTAACAGGCGGTTTAACATTACTTACCTTGTACAATCTGTCATATGAATGATCAGTGATGCACATGCCAAGTTTGAAGGGGATACCTTTGACCCGCATCTTTACAAAGAGAAAGCTTAAGATGTATAGATTCTTAGTTTGAAGGCTAAATGGAAAAATGACCAAAAAACAAGTAAGAAATTCATAAAGAGGAGCATCACAGAGAAGAAGATTATTCATTCAGATCATTTTCTGTTACCTGGAAGATTTTACTGCATGTCTCTGCTCCCAGGGGCCATGCATGTCCCTTTACCGCTGTAAGATAAGTGTCAACCAAACTGTACTTAATATTGATGGCTTGCCCTAAAGACATTAGTCTAGCCGTGTTCACTTCAGGAGCGACCCATATTAATACTGCAGGCTCCAGTTAATTTTCCATCCGGTACAGTAGAGCGGCTGAACCGTGACCCGCCTTCGCACGACCAGCTCTGTAAATGTCATCCATATGGCCTGCTCATTCATTTCCCACAAAACAAATTCCCACAAAAGACTGACTGTAAGTGTATTTAAAAGGCAAAAGCAACCAGAAAGAACCCTCTTATCCAGCTCTCATTTTTTCCCACGAGCTAGAGGTGCTCTTTTAATTTCCCTCTCTGAAAGGTCAGTCCCAATGTTCTCCATCTCCACCTTAATTGATTCTTTAAATGCAGCTCGTCGTGTGCAGGGGGAGTCTGGGAGGAAAACTAGAGAGGTGTTTGCCTACCTTTAGTCACGGTTAAAGGCCCTAAAATGGTTACCCATCTCTTCCTAATTGTATTGGCTCTCAGTGAATGTATGTTCCTGAAGCTTGAAGCCTGGATATGTTCTCCTCTGGCATATAAAAACCTGGACACAACAAGTTGCAAATAGAAAGAAAATTGCCTTTTTACTCAGAGAGGCCAGGTGAGCTTGTTTTCTGATAACTACATTGAAATTGGGCTGAGCTCTGGTAATACTAAATGTCAACATTTATTAGAATAAGTCCCTGATATTTTCCATTTGGAGTTATTGTAATTTGCCAAACAACCGAAACACTCTGATTCTGCAGGCATATACAGCAGCTACACCTGGAGGATTTTGTTTGAGTGAATAAAACCTTTTTTATATAGTGACTTTAATAGACGTAAGATTTACTGGCAAGTTTAGGTGGACTGTTTTTTTGGCACAGGAGCAAGGATGCCAAACTGAACATTTCCAGTAAAGGTGACGCTAATCAAGCTGAGTGGGTTTTCTTCAAGATTATCCCTGTGCTCATTCAGCTTGTTCTCAGAGCTGGCAACATAAAAACACTTTACAAAGATACTATATAAGGCAAATGTGGCAGCTTTTAACACAGTTGCTGTTAGGAGAAGCAGGAGTATGTGTTAGTAAAGCAGAGGGACAGAGTGAGCAGAAGGTAAAAACATTAATCTAGTTAGTTTAAAAAGTGAGTAAGTTTTGGAAGAAAAATGAATCATGTGCGGGACCAGATTCTGGTATCATAAGTGCTCTGGAGTACTGTGTTAAGTCTAAGTCATATTGACTGTACACAGGAAAACTATAGTTACTACTGCATCCTTTCCCTGGTATCCACATATGTGACAGAGATGAAGACACCTGAAATGTTCAAGAATTACGCTCGCTTGCAAAGCAGACTCAGTGTGACGTGAAGCAAACCAGAAACTGAGTGAATCTGGACCTAATCCACATCATCCAGAGGTCCCCGGTCTATTTGTCAAGTTGTACCAGTTGACCAGTTCTGTCTATTCCTGATCCGCTGCAAATTAAGTTTATCTAGAGCGAGTTTTTGAAATGTTCAGCAGCAGCCTCCTCCACCTGTTCCTGCGTTCCCAAATGTTTATGAATGATAATGGCCATTAATTTGGGTTTTACTGCATCGCTGTGTGTGAGAGGAGCATCTGGAGCATTTAGACCCACCAATAAAATGCATGTGTAGACAATGAGGCTCTCAAATTTGACCATAAAGCTTCATCTTCTTGAGCTTGCTCGGCCATGCAGTGCAGCTGCACACACAGGTCATGAAACAACCATCTTCTGTTGAGGGCTACAGGCCTTTTCCTCTATTCTCTTTGAATTAATTATGTTTGATAGTCTTATGAGGATATTGTTGTAGTGTTTTTGTCCTTTATTCAAGAGAAGAAATAGTAATATGTTTGTCTAGTCAGAATTCCCAGATATGCAAAATTGCCTTTTGTTGAAACATAAATCCCCTGTGCCCTGTCAGTTATTGGTAGTTAAGTTGACATTAAGAACAAGTTTCTTCGTTAAAAGGGTTGGCAGATGAGACCCATGGTCAAGTATGTGGTGGATGCTTGAGTAAACTGTTTTATTCTGAAAAAATAAACATATTTCTTTCTATACTTTGACTGTTAGCTTCATCTCTGCTGGGGGCAGATGATGTGATATTTCAGTCAGGGACACCCAGCAGACATCGGTTCAGTTTCAGCCCAATGTGGGCAAGGATGGCAGTCAGAACCTCTGAGTCTGAGGCCATAGTTCCCTGATGAAAATGTTGGATTCCTTCCCCCAAATGAGGAGTTAGTGAAAGAATTCAAGTATGGTGCTGCGTTGGGCATAGTACTGGATCATTGTGGTGAAAATGAAACTGAGTGTAACGGTAAACTTTAGATTTTCTAGTCAATCAAGGTCCCAACTTTTACCTTTGGTCATGTGCTGTGGGTAATGACCGAAAGAGCAAGATCTGCTAAGTACGCCACCAAAATAGGTGTTTGAGCTCCAATAGGGTCAGGAGCTTGCACCCCTGACGAGAACTCAAAGAGTTGAAACACCACTCATTCCCATCAGAAAGAGCCAGCTGAGGTGGTTCAGGCATCTGATCAGGATACCCTCTTGACCTCTCTCCTATAGAGGTGTTACCTTCTCACCTTAGAATCCCCCAAAGAGGAGCCCAAAGAAGTTGTTTGAGAGAGGGACTTGTGGGGCAATTAGCTTCACCTGCTGTCAACAGGAGCCAATGCCAAGAAAAAAAATTGGATGGTCATTTTAGTTTCACATTTATCCAGTAGGTCAATTCAAAATCTGTGGCGAGTGATCTAAAATTGTGTAGAATAACATAACAACATGTAAGCTTCCCACCTTGGGCATAACATCAGAAAAAATTGGCTGCAGTGTCCACACGGTCAATACAAATTAAAATAACTTGGCTAAAAGTCCCAACATCACATCCGCCTTGTCAACAGTCTGTCACTCTTTGCTCTGGAAAACTTAAAGAGTCAGCATGCTGTTGAGAAATTGGTGTGATTCACCACAGTAGTAGATCTTGGGTTTCCTCATCCATTGTCTACTCATAGGTTTCCACTGGCTAGTCAGTGAGTGAGGCACCGATTGACCATGTCCCGCCATGAGTGATGATTGGTGCCAGCCTGCAGATTAATGACGTTCATCAGCTCCTCTCCACACAGCCACTCTGCAAACCTTTCCTTTACCACGTCCTCCATCTCCGCTTATCAGATCAACATTTGTAATAGTGTTGTTCAAACTGTTGTCGTCTCTTCCAGCAGCAACCCTGGGTCAACTTTCCTCACAGGCACAAACACTCACACACCCTGACTGTAATTACGGCTCTTTTAACACTGCAGGGGTCCCTTTAACTGTAAAGAATGGTTTGGGCAGTTTTTTTTGTTCTTATTCAAACCATTGAAAGGATTGTTAGTCTTGGAAATATTCAGGCTTTTTATGTTTAGAAAGCTAGAACAGATAATTACCATACAGCTCTAATCAAACAAGTAAGCTATTCCTGATTGTACGATGATGTCCCTTGTCTCCATGTGTAACATGAAAAAGTCAGCCTTAGCAGTCAGAGATAAAGTCGTTTACCAAAACCAATCAATGGTTTCAACAGTAGCTGTCAATTTATCGTTAAAAGATAAAAACCAACCCCTTTTTCTTTTTGGTCCTCTTGTGTTAATTTAAAACCAAAATGGTGAACTTAGAAAGTGGCATGGTTGAGGGGGGGAGTGGACTCCTGTTGTTACATCATCACAGGAGCAAAATCAAATGGCCTCATTGAAGTTATGTTTTCCTTGCAGGTTGGCCACAGAAACAATGCAAACAACTTACACATTCTCAGAGTTTCTAAGCTGAAGGAATAGATGTTATTCTAAATACAGTTGATAAATAAATGCTTAGTAGTGGTGGAAAATAATGAAAATATAACATAGATTCAACCTATAAATTGTACTGAGGATGACACGCCACGCCATTCCATGAATTTTATCAAACCTTTCACAATGTGATCTATACACTTGAACCTCGGAAAACCAAGCCTTTATAGAAACCATTAAATCTCAGAAAAAGGATTCAATTATACATTAAATATTACACTAGCATCCTATTTTTCCAAGTAAAACATGAACAGGTTGAACTCTGAAATCTTCAACACCACCCCAACATCCAGTTGAGATACTGTGACTGTTATCTCCACACAGTAATTCAGAAAACCCCCAATCTGACTTCACGGGGGGAGCATTTCCAACAAATATGATCTATGGCATACAAATGAGCCCTGTAATTTATTCATAAATCATCATGGCTGCCTTTGCTGGCAGGGCCTTTTTTAATTGTCTTTGATTAACAGTGGCGTGTGCTGGAGATAGCCGCTCGGCTGCATTCAGGTCCCCTTTTGTTCTCCGGTGGTATCGCAGGCTTTCCAGGGAAATCATGTGTCAGAGTGGAAGGAAATCAGGGGCTCAGCCTGGTATCCATGCACTTGTGAATGTGTATGTGTGTGTGTGTTCATTGATTCACACAATAATGCACATGCTCATATTTGGCACCCTTCAACATGAGAGCATGTGCAGTCTATAGAAGCCCTGCATGTTGATGGACATTCACACACAACCTGTTCATTTGCATGTATGAACACAGCAGTGGAGTGCAGATGTAATCTAAAGCATACATGCATATGGTGAATGTTGCACATGTTCAGGTGAACACATCTGACAGCATTTCCTCTAAAGGGAATAAATTATTAGAGCCTTATATAAATATCCAACAAAAACAAATTTAAAAGAATCGAGGCGACATTGGTCCACTTTCAGGTGTTTTGGATCAGACAAACCAAACTGGACAACATCACAGAGTTGTAATGACTGCTTGTTTATAGCAGTATTGTCCTAGTCAAACACTGACAAAGAACAAAAAATACATCTCCATTCGCTCTCTTATTCACCCTTAATAATGGAACAACATTTATTCATGCAGTCTCAGGGTTTCTGTGTTTGCAGAACCATTCATGCAAGTGTTTCTTAAGAGGATACCCAGCATGAGAAGCAGGTGATGCAGGGAGCTGTCCAGCATGTTGTTCTTTACATGAGATGAGTGAATCAGTGCTAAGAGGAAGGTGAGCCCTGATGAGCACAAGAGATTACGAAGGAATTGCCCAGGGTATACAGAGGCTGAGTGAGCTATTGACATATAGATATTGACTAGTACATTGCATCGCATTTTATGCCACTCTCTGCCTTTGGTCCATATCTGTTAGAAGACGTACAAGAAATACACCAGACTCTTAATGAACAGAAATTTGATCAGTAGTTTATACTTTTTGGTCTTGGAGGACTTCATCAAAACAATTCAAGGCCAAAGTCTTCTTGACATCTATCCAACATAGGGGCAAGATGAGTTCAAGAATGCACAAAATAAAAGTCCAAGTTTGTGTTTGTGTTTGTGGTTTGTAAAATTCATATAACATAAATTCATAACACTTGATGACTACAATTACTTCTCCATCAAAACTAACCTTACATGTTCTTCTGAACAGGACAGAAAAAATTGAGTCCCCCTCAGTACACCAGATTCGTGCATAACAAAGAGCTCCATAAATCTACATTTGTTTCCTCAAGTACACCCATGTCTCTGAGGCAGTTTCTTTTTGTCGTATTCAACATGCAGTATACATTGTCTTAGGCACTCCATCACATCACAGCCAATAAAGAAGTGTGCTGAAATTGAGTATTGAGATACAATGGCCAATATTGATCAAGTGTTTGCAGTGTGGTGATTTTCTTTATGAATAGGAATGTCGTCCTGATTGCAGCTTCTGTCTTACAGCTCTGAAAAAGTGTATTTTCTATCGCTCCCCAAAGGGAGTCAAAGCAGATATTACAGTGATTTTATAAAACACTTTTACGTTTACTATGTGAGTTACAAAGGCACGTCTTTAGTCTGTCCTTTTCTTTATTTAACGGCTTCACCCTCTGTGTGAGAAAGTATACTCAGACAGGGTAGTCAAATTTTATGTATTCATATTACTTAAAAACAATATTATAGGCTCACTGCCAGGTTTTACTACTTCCTAAGGATCCTCATTAGGTTTAATAGGAGCACATTAAGACAGCAGATAAAATGACAGTGTCACTGACTCCCTTTGAGTAGTATCTATGTCATATATTAAACCTGTAAAGCTGTATTTCATCACAACCAAAATGTGTCAGTTGATTGGTCATAGACCCCCTGAATCACTCTGGATTACTGAGGCTGCTTATATTTCTGTTTTCTGGTAGCTGATGGTTGTTTGACCTTAAGCCTACAGCAGTGAATAAACTGCTTAAACATCGAAGAAAGGCATGATTCTTGTGTAGCTACTAGAAACATGAAAATAATTGCTTTTGGAGTCTCATCGCATGGCCAGGAAGCACCGTGCCCCAAGACCAATTTTGTCAGTTTTCACCATTGTTATGCCAATCTTGGGCTAGGGTTAGGGTTAGGGTTAACCATGGTTACATGGGCAAAATTTCTTGGTCCGATTAAAAAATTTGAGGGATCGGATAATCTGAATCCACTGTTATATGGGTGCAAAATCAAATATTCCGATCATGACGTGCGTATACATGCACCAAGCTTTATTCAGATTAGAAGCATTTGGACATGCGCAGAGTTGTCTAATTTCGCTAAAACAACCGCCAAAGAAGAGCTGTATTTACGCCTGTGCTGTCAACAAACCTGCAAATGCAGTAGTGGCTCACTCCATCAAATTCATGATTTTTGACGTGATTAAATGTTGTCACTAGATGGCGCCCTACTTATTTTACTGTTTTCTCAAAGGTTGCAATGTGCATACATATGTGACATCATTGCACTATATGTATGCCTTATTCTGTTATCGGGGGAGCAAACACGGCACCTGCAGTTGTGTGTTATGCCAGAGTTAATAATAAACCCTCCTGTACTGGCCTCAATTAATAAGCCAAAGTCTGAAGAGTGAAGACCGAGTCAGGTTGGAGGGTTACGATCAGAATAAGGGTTTACATGGACGCGCTTCAGAATAACGATCGGCATAAACCATCCCTCTTAATCGGAATACAATTTCTTTCCTATTGAGTCGAATTGGATCAGAATCTTTCGATCGACATGTTTACATGACACATTTTTATTCTGATCGGGCATTTATTCTGATTATTTGTGCCCATGTTAATGCAGCTAGTGTGTGATGTACAGCTCTAAAACCAAAATAGCATTTGTGGAAACTCTCATTTCAGCACTATTAAGCTGCTGCCCAAAACGCTTTGTTTCGCTGCTTTTCCAGTCATACGTACATAAGTGCGACACAATTGTGGGTGTTACGTTTTACACAGTTTTTAGTCAGGAAATCACCTGAAAGCTATGCCTTCACAGAAAACGTCTTTCAACTTTTCAAGACATACTGAATCAATCAAGTGCAGATCGCAGGAAAAGCCAAGTGCAGGAATTGACTTTCCAGGCAAGGAAACGTTTTATTGAGCTTGGAAGAAATGTATTTCTTGGAAAAAATACATCAGAGCTACCTGGAGGACTTGTCCTTCAACATTGTCCTGATAGGATGGCAGAGGCTGACATCAGGTTCAGGATAAGTCTGGCAAAGTTGTTGAATGAGCCATTCAAGAAACCAGTGAAATGCTGTGTACTGCTGCTGAATGAAGCAACCCAACAAAGTCTTTCCAAATTATCTTATTTTCTTACAAAAATATAGAGCCCAGGCTCAAAATCTAAAAATTTTGCGCTGAATTCGTGTGAAGACTGTACCTTACATCTATCTGTACACACAAAAAAAAAACGGCCTCTTTGATTAGGATTAGGCACTTTCAGCTCATTCAAAGGAGGCATGAATGTTTTTCAAACATTTTGTGTCAATATCTAAGCTGAGCAATAAAACCTTTAACACTCTTTCATGTATGCAGTTCATCTATCCCTGACATAACCACTTGAACCTTTTAGAAAAGGCCATTCACCATTTTTTCCCCTTTTTAGTCTGCCATGAAAGGACAAAGAAGACACTTTCAAGAAAAGTCGCCACCACCTGAATATGTCTGCAACTCTCACCTGTACAAGGTTATGTTGCTGAGGGGGGTTGGGGGTTATTCAGAGCAGCTTGGCTCTGGCTACAAATGAGGAAGGAGCATTAGTAAAGGTGTGAAAGGTTGCTATCTTACAGTGAGCATGATTGATGTGGGCACAGCAGTGTGCTGCAGCGCTCATGCCGAGCACTCGCCGACTGTCGCCACAGCGACAGGCAAGAAGAGGAAGTGAGTTGACCCGGGGGTCATCGTGACAAAATGCTTAACAACAGTGGCAAAGCACTCTGAGTATGGGTCAGGGTCGTATGCGTGAACATAGCAGAGACTTGCTGTTGCTGTGTATAGTTTGGATTCAGGGGCTGAATGCATAAAAGTCAGAGCTTCGTGTCTGAGAATCTTTGCAGAGTTTGAAAGCGTGCGTCTTTCATTTCGTATTCTTGGGAGGACTGTTGTCATTGTTATTCTTTGTTGTTTGGCAGATTCAGTATCTCATTGTCTAAATCTTATCTGAGATGGTTTATCCCAAGAATGGCACTGTTATCACTCTTTATCTTGAAGCCTCTGGAATCCCCAAATACTCAACACCCGCCCTACTATGTGATATAGGGTTTTATGTACAAGATTGGAAGAATCTTTAAAGTATTGGAAAAAGTTTCTACCCAAATTCAAAACATAGTTATTTAAGTTTCTGTAAACTTTCCTGGAATTGGGTTTAAATTGGGCGTAGTTAACCTTTGGCAACTATGTATCTATGACACAATTAAACTTGAGAACCCAGTCGAACAGAAGTTGATTGCAGCCCCGCTCTCCAAGACTCGTTCAGTTGCAGCTAAATCTTTCTGAGCGAAATGAGAGTCATTGTTTTATTTTAAATGATGTCAGCCAATATGAGGAGAGGCATCATGGGTTGGGTCTGAAAACCTACATGTGTTTCAAAACAAAGGCACTCCTACAATATAATAGGTGAGGACTTTTATTGTGAAAATTTGAAGTAAATGAAATAATTTCTGAGCTACATTTAATTGTGTTTCCAACAGGGCCTTCAGGGTTACAGGTAGGGTTGCAACAAACAACTATTTTAATAGTGGACTAGTCACTGACTATTGAAACGATTAGTCGACTAATCAGATAGTACATTCAAGCCAATATGTTTTGTTTGTGATGTCTCAGTCTGCTTGTAATGAAGCTAATATCTGGGGTGAGTCTAACTGTTCATCCAACATTCCGACGTGCCTTCTTCTTCAAATGCTCGTGCATCACCGAAGTGCTGTCATGATACGCAAGGTCTGCTTAGCAAACCTTACAAGTTATTTTTTTTCTGCCTTATCTATGCTACAGTGCTCCCAACTGCTACCCTACTGCTCGGTGGAGACGTTATTACATACTGTATGTGTGACTCTATGCAGAGATCACAATGAAGTAAGATGCCTCGCTCCACTGGAAAAAACATGTCTGGTGACGATAGTAGACAATGGAATTCAATGTCGAAATTTTTCATTATCGATTTTTGTCAACAACGTCGACTAATCGATGCAGCCCTAGTTACAGTATTTACTCTCAATCTAAGAGTTCATCATTTTGGCATCCAGGGGTAAGTCCTGAGTTAGAAATGCACCAGTTATGCAGATGCAACCCTTACAATTGAGAAAGTAGTCCCTGCTGTGTTTGGTCCTAGTCAAGTAGTTCCAGCACATTGTTGGTGTTAAAGCCCTGGACAGATTTTTATGATTGAAGTAAAAAAAGAAAAAAAAAACATCCATGTACAGTCTTCTGGGCTTAAATCTATAAATCTAAAGCTTATTTCTTAGTATCGATACAATCAATTTATTACGTTTTAAAGCGATGTTAAATCGATATTTGTCGTCCGGAAGGCGAACTTGCCGAGCACAGATCGATGTAGTTGGATCATAGGAATATAAATCGTTACATCGATACTGAAGATGAATCATTGCGCACCTACATTAAACCTTTGATGTGAAGGGCGCATTTTAAACATTTCTAACAATCACCCAAGATTGTGCCAAAAATTGTTCTTATGTTAAATATTCTTGGGCCTTTAATATAAAATACAACACAAGAAGACTCTTCAAGCTTCAATACATCACCAATAGCATCAGCCTGCAGAGCCCCACGTTACCAGAGCCCTTGCAGCTGCGGCACATGTGTAATCTGTTTGTGTATGTGCATTCATGCCTCTTGTATACATTTCTGTGTGTCCTTCAGACCAGACTCAGCATGCTGAGCAATAGGTAGCAGTTAGCTGGATTTTATATTCCAAAGCAAAGCCAGAGGAGGCAGACCCTGACCTCAGCCTCAGTCACCCAGAACCGCGGCTGCAGGCCTCATCTCCATAGGAATCAATAGACTACAGTAATAATGGTGATCTATGGGGCCAACATCAAAGAAGGCGCTGACCTTTCCTGGACGGGGGGTTGGGGGATGACCACCAGGCTCCACGAGCTGCTGTGTGTGCGCAGAATAAATATTTTGTCAGGGACAAAGCTCGGAGATGTGCAAGATACACACATGTATGTACACACAGTCAGTGGCCTGCATGAATATGACGCCTGGATGTATAGATGACGTTGCATCCAGGCTTATGTACATTTACACATGAACCAGGGTCATTGAGGCTTCTCCCAATCCATAAATGCCCCTCTTTAGAAGTTAATTTTCATGGTTTTCAATAACAATTATGTTTATTAAATGTTGTTGGCTTTATAACATACAACAGCTACATTTTGACTCATGGCACCTATAGTTAGGATCATAAACAAAATAGTGGTACAGTGGCAGTCTTTTGATGGAGACTGATGCATGTGACATGTTGATAAAACGTCACAGGTTTAGATGTACCCCTTCTCCTCTATATTTCAGTCCTATCCAATGATATTAGACTAAAAGGACTAATTGCTTAGTGATCGTGATATTGGTTTCACGTCCGTCTTTTCTCGGTTATTAAACACTGGGTGCTGCTCTTATGTATCCTGGTGTATCGCTTCCCAGGTTTTCCTCCTCTCTCCTCGATCCTCTCTCCATGGAGCAGCAGTAAGAGACCCAGACTGAGTCAACTTTTCTAATTCAGCTGCTTTTTCAAAACAGAGCCCAGGGCAGGCTGAAATAAATGCTACAGGTACACTCTCTCTTACTGAAACGATAAACTGCCATATGTCACATTAGGATTAAAAAATGTGTTGGTAATTTGGTACAGCTTAATCATTTCTCTTTGGTGCTTGGTGTTGAAGAAAAAGTCATTTGCATGGTTGAATTCCTCTCTAGGACCAAATTGTGTTAAAAGGCTTCTAAATTTGTTGATTAAGTGGATTAATTAGTGAACAAAAACCCTTTGGAAACATTACTTTTTTGTAACGCACACACACACCTTGTCAGTTGACTCGGTACAGTTATTTTTCACCTCTCTCCTCCAGGCCTCCATCAACACCCAAACCCCTAGGCACCTCGTCGGCCCTCCCCCAGCTCAGGGCCTCTCTCTGGGGTCATTATGGGCTCTGACATGCCCTGCTGGCTCCATGAATGTTAATGCCCAGCGGAGGGAGCAAGGGGTTTTCACATTCACACATACATGTATACACACACACACATACACACACTCATGCAATTACATACAAATGCTTTTGTGATTTCATAAAATTCGTTCACAAGTAGAGGAAATGATGCATACACATATACAGACGTAAACATTCAGTTTCAAAGGGTCACCTCAGGCACAGACACTCACACACACAAAAACACACAGACACACACACACACACAAAGAAAAACACACAGACACACGCACAGAGTATTTTTTTTATCTGATCACAGATCATACAGATGGCAGATAGCCAGTCCGTGTCATACAGGCTGCCTCAGGCTCAGCAAAGATCCATGTTAGTGTAGAGATGGAGAGATGGAGAAAGGAGGCATGGAAGGATGGAGATGGGGAGAAGGAATTCTGCCACCTCCTTTCCTGTCCTCCTCAAGACTCTCTATCCTTCCTCATCCACATCTCTCCTCATCATTCCTGGATGTCTCCTTTTTTTCCCTTTTCTTTCTGCTTTACTGGTTCCTTCTCCATTCCTCAGCTGATCCCAAATTTCACCATCTCATCTTTCACAGTTTTTTTCTCTGTGACTTTTTTGTTGTCACACAGTTGTCAAAATCTCAATTTTAGTAAGGCAAATATGGCACCAGTTTTAGGCATTAAAAATCACTGTATAGCAATCAGGGCTGCCATAGTATCCCTGTTGTTAAGTACAAAGCGATCCTTGTTCATCTTGGCGTACACTTATTGTGGTCATGTCCTGTTATGGTTTAGGGATTGAATAGGACTGCTGTCATTTAAAGACCCGAGTGTGCCAATACATCACGAACTGGATCAATTTATCAATATGAGCTCACTCTTCTGAATATCTGTTTAACTTAACGATAGACTTTTCTCACCAAATACCTGTTTGTTTTCATTCATGCTGTTTTTTCTATCTTCTGTATTTCCACAGTCATCGGTTTCCTTCTCTTTCTCCTCTTTTATTCCTGCCTCCCCATTGGTTCTCATCCTCTTCTCACTCCCCTTCTTCCATTTTTCTATTTTTTGATTTAAAAACTCCTCCTCTCCCTTATCTTTCCTTCCCTACTCCTTCTCCTCCCACATTTGTGAATATCCCATCCACAAGCTCCCTCCCTCCTTCTCGTCCTCCTCCTCTTCCTCCTCTTCTTATTCCTCCTCCTTCTCTCCTCCTTGTTGAGTATTCTGGAGTAGAGGCGATCAGCTCCACTGGAATAAGAATTCCTGCATTATTTGATCATCAGAGTTTATTGTAATCCCTGACCCTGGCCCTGCATTTTAAACACAGATTGTGGATTAGGGTGCTTAGATGGCCCTCTGTGTGTGTGTGTGTGTGTGTGTGTGTGTGTGTGTGTTATCTACAATAACTTGATATTTTATGAAGTAATCAGTACATTTACATGCACTGCAAAAGACAATTGGTGCAACTGAACAACTGACAGTGAACTTTTCAAATGCATGTGAACACCTTAGACTGACTGAAATCAAAGTTCTCACAGTCAGACGAATATACCTGGATAATGTGGATGGAGATTGATTTGTGCTGGGCATGTCCTAGTGTTATCATGCCAGACTCTGAGCCAGTGGTTGAGTAGCGTGGATGTGTAGCTAGTAGGCCAGATGGTAAACAAAATCATGACCAATGAAGAAAGGACATAGAACAGGCAAAACTAACTGAAAGTGCTTGTCTTATCCTGTACAGATGTCACATTCTTCAATTTGTGTTGGATATAATATATAAATGAATGTGTCCCCACGGCCCATTTTTGGATTTACATTTTGGAAATGAACATTTTTGTGAGTTATTGCATTTTGAGCCTGTAACGACCCTGTCTGCTACCTTCTTTGTTACTTTCCTTTTGCTGCTTGTTTAGTGTAAAAACATCTGATCATAAAAATAAGGTATATATATATTAAAAAAAAAAAAAAAAAACAGGCAAAACTTTCCCAACAATCAGCACAGAGATGTAAAAGTGACATCCCTCTCGCTAACTTAGTTTTGCCAGATTTGTTACTTAACACATCTACCGGAAGATATGTAACAAGCCAGAAGGGACATATCGTCACCTTTTGTAGCAGAGGCATGTAGACATACTGAATGATCACTCCTGTCTGCTTTTAGTGGGAGTGTGTTTGTCTGTGTGATCAGATTAAAAACACAGCTTGTCTTTTAGCTGAGGTTACAGGTTAGAGAAAGTTCTGCCAAAAATGTTTCTACATACACACACATACACTTCCTATTCTACTACATTGACCATACTGGTGTGTGTGAAAGCGTGAGTGTTTGTGTGTGTGAATAAAAGATGGCTGCCCCCTGGTTGACCCTGGTGTTGATGACGGTGATGGACTCTACTAGTAATGGCAGACACACATTAACACACACACACACACACACACACACACACACACGCATGTGCAAAACCCTAGTGCCTTCAAGAGTGCTTTTTCTGTGACCTCAGATCAGACATTTTATTCTTTATTAAGTCTGTCTTTTCGTTAATAATCCTCAAAAATATTTATACTTTAACCAACAAATTCATCACTTTTTCTAAACAGGTGTCCTCAGATACACTAATAGGTTAAGACTTATTTTCTTTTAAATATTAATTTCTATGATATGACTTTATCCGCCAAGCTACAGTCACATTCTTCACAGTTACGCAGCCATACTTGTCAAAAATAGATGTGTAAACAAAAGATATGATTGGCCAGGAAAGACTTTGAGTTTATGGTCATTACATACTGAGAAAAAAAATCAATCAAGTGTAATGCATGTATCTAAGAATCCTAAATTAACCTGATTTATGTCCAGAACCTAGTGAAGAAAAGACACAGTGCAAAGTCATATCTAGAGACTGTGATAATGTGAAGCAGACAACTGTTTGACGGAGTGGAAAAATAAGTGTTCAGTTTATGTTTGATCTGTGTTAATGTCTGCATTATCAGTCAGACTGTTTTTCCAACCTTTTCATTCAGAGCAGATCAAACTCACAGATGACCCCATGAATAGTAGTTTGTGACCATTAAGTAGTCAGTCTAGTACTCTTTGACTTTTGTTCCTTGTAACTTCACTTCTGACACGGCTGCAATCAATGACTGGACTTCCTGAAGATCCCAGAGAGACTTGAGTATTGATCGGATCTGACACTGACCGTTATAACAAAATATACTCAGTCCCAATTTTCTTGGCCCAATAGCTATTGGCAGCTATTAGAATTCATGCTCACATTACATCTACGACAATATCAAACCAATGGCTTTGCCAGCTAGTGAGCCAAAACCACAGAATGATAAAATAATTGGCTCAGTTTATGTTTCAGGGATCTGTGTTAAATGTCTAAGCATAAATATCAGTCAGACTGTTTTTCCAACCTTTTCATTCAGAGCAGATCAAACTTCATGTCCAAATTTGGCTATGATGGACACTGATGTGACAGGGTCATAAAGTATGTTGTATTTTGTCTTTTCATGTGACTTATCGACACTAAGGAGTGGGTAAAAGGAAAAAAGAAAAAACGAGCCTTTTTCATAAATTAAGAAGATTAAACTCTAAAAATGAGACAAATTGAGGGTGAAAGAACGAGTGAAAATACATCCACACTGTCTGACTCCTCCAGCCACCATAAAACACACTAAACGAGCTCGCAGGGAGGAAATCTTGCTCCATTCACACACACTCACACACATGCACACACACTATATTGACACGTCTGACAACCAATAGCAGGACATTTTTATCAGCTTGTACACCAGTCTTACTTTCCCGATAACTTTGACAGCTTTCCATTGAAGTGTGCATGACGGAGAGAAGGAGAGAGAAACAAAAGAGAGCGGGAGCCGCTTTAAAAAAAACACATTCAGAGTGAATAGTGCAACGGTAAGCCAATTGAGTGAAAGAAAAATCACTCCTACATGCATAGTGGCAGGCAACGGAAATTTCCCTGCAACCCCAATGACTGGCTATTAATAAATGGAGTAAGAGCCTAATGAGAACAGAATCCTCTGGAGGCAACTCTTCTTTTCTCTTTGCTGCTCGCCCTCTCTCTCTCATCACTCGCTCGCCAACAATCAGAGGTGTTAATAAAGTCAGCTCCATTTAGACGTCATTTCAACAGCAGCTCACCTCTGACTGCATTGTTTCCTAACATTTAGAGGACCGCGTTTGATCCCAATATCCGAGCAGAGAAACTATTCCTAACTCAAAGTTTCATTTGTGCTACCAAGTTTTCTTCTGAATAATTTAGTGGCTTCGGCAAAATACAACTGCCTGAGGTCCCTGATTTTTCTGAGGACCCTTAAAGCTCCAGACTTGATTTTTTTTTATCAGAAAGTTTTAAATCCACAAGTCACATTCATACGTCATAGTCCCAAAACTTTGTCAAGACATGATCAGAAAATGTGTCTGGATGTTCTGATTTCTACGATAGTCAAGTATCAAAATCAGGAAGTTAGGAAAAGATCTGAGACTGAAATCACAGAAGTTTACTGCAAGCCTCCAAGAACTTTTTGGTTTCTATGTTTTCAAAGTTTTATTATATTAATTCCATATTATTTGTTATTATTTCCCATTACCTTCTTCTTTCTCAGTCTTTTTTAAATGCTTCAGTTTATTGTTGTAACTGTTGTTGTTTTCCATACGTCTGTCCTGCTGTGAAGCACTCTGCGCTGCATGCTTTTATAAATGAAAGTTGTGATAGGAAGGAAGTTGAGTTAAGTCTGAAAGAGTATGAAATATTTTTAAAGAGTGGCAGCACCTCAAAAGTTTTTCCTGTCACTGAAGGACTGTCCCAGGAGTATCTGCTTTTTATAATACTTTTGTCCTCTTCAAATGATTCAAGTTTTAAGACTTTTTGGCATACATGTGGCATAAAATAATAAACCTGGGGGACCAGTCACACCTTAAACAGAGGTTTAAACATTTCCTCATCTTTTGGAAATGGGATTAAGATTTTGTCCATCAGGGACTTCTTCTGGAACAAAGGCAGCATCAACATGTATTCATTTGATGTTGGTGAAAATGTTAAATGAGAGGGTTGATGTGGGAGAAACTGAACCCAGTGCTGATACAGGAGATCACGCACAATGCAGAGGATCTGGTCTCAGCCTTGAATTTGATCATATAGGATCAGGAGAATCGGTTGATTGAAATTGTGTGTACTCCTTGACAATAATAATCACTCAATCATGTTGGTTAATTTTACTGTGTGATTTGTCTTTTTAAAAATAATCAGTCATTTATGTTTGGTTTCCTACATGCAATCACCACCTAAAACTTTCATATTTTATTGGTTATTTTAAACTTTATCAATTTCTCTATCAAATAAATAATTGATAAAATACTTCTTCGATCCATAACAACAAATATAATCTATGGTTGCAACACCCAATCTTATTTTAGTAAAGGCTGTACTCAGTTGTGGAAGCAGACCCAATCAAGAGGGACTATAAGAGGGTAAGTGAGAATTTTTTTTACTCAGTGCTGGCTCTGGTTTTTATTTTTTTTAATTCTTGTCTCTTAACTTTAGACCACGTAAATCATTTTATGTAAAACAGAGTCCATACTTTGGTGTAGTCGTTCTGTACACTTCATGAACCCCTGTGCCTTGTCACTGACCCGCAGCGCTGTGCTGTAACACACAACACTGCCATCTAGTGGAGCCTAACAGTTCCTGCTCTGGTCATACAAGAAGCAAGGACTCACACACAAATGCGCACATGCACACTCAAACACACTCACACACACAGGTGACAGTATAACCATTCGTTTCAGGAGATTTTGTCCCTGGGAGCCATACACCTGCTAATGCTAGGACAGTGGTTCTCAAAGTGTGGTATGGGGACACAAGGGGGTCCTTTAGGAGGCTCCTGGCAGGTCCCTTTGAAAGACGATTCAGGTAATCCTGTGATCTTTTTATACATTTTATTAGTGTATGAAAACCATACTGGTAAGGTCCAGTTTTTAAATGCATTGATTTCTACAGTCTGGTACTCAGACGTTAATCAGGAATGATTCCTGTGCAGGTCTGCAGGGGTCCAGGGATTAGCATGCATATATGTGTGTTTGCAAATATTCAGATTCTCTTCACCACAGCCGCCACTTTAAGTGTCAAACCGAAGAGCGTCAATATTGCTGCTCTATAGAACATAAATGCCACGCAAATATGCAAGGCTGCATTTTTAATTGCTCAGTGTGTGTATATCATGTGTACTAAGTGTGTGTGCGAGTGTGTGTGTGTTGCATGCTTTTTGAACTGTATGCTTTCTGAATTGTGACTAACAGGGAGTGTGTAGGGGCTCAAGTTAATGAGGTTGGGTGAGCGATGGGGGGGCCGGCGCTGGTCTTCAGGGGCCGATAGGGCCCATTGGTTCCTCTCCTCTTCTCAGAGAGAGAGAGAGAGAGAGAGAGCAAGAGAGAGAGAGTGAGAGAGCAAGAGAGAGAGAGAGGAATTTAATTTGAATCTAAATCTGTTTCTGATGGGAAAGAGAGACATGAGCCAAAGCAGTTCAGTGTCATTTATGACGACTCTATATTTTGAGTAGAGTCAGTTTACATAAACACAAGGGAGATGCAACCGTGTTGGAGAATAGCAGAAAAAAAAAAAACTCAGAGATGAAAGAGAAAGTGAAACACAGAGGAGTTTATGTGTCAAAATCTGAATTTTTCCTCCAACAGCTGCAGCCTGATGAATCTCACTGACTGACTGAGTTATGTGAGGACTCAGAGGCGCAGATTTACTGCACAACTTCTGAAGGTCCTTGAGAGAATAACTAAAGCCTGATATCGTATATCACTGTCGTTCAATCCTCATCTAAAATTTTATGGCATTTTTCTAAGAATCTGTCAACTGTTAAAAAAATCACTGAATATATTTTCAGATTTTTTTTAATGTTCTCGTTGTTTAGTAGAAGACAAAGCATCCACTGTTCCTTTATTGTTTCTAATGAACCATATAAGGCTGCCTTTATCAGCCATTTATAATATCACTGCCAGGTCATGACTGATGCTGAGTAACAAGTCTCTGTGTCTCAAAACAGTTACTAATCCTGCATGCTATTTTATTAATTCATCGTTCTTCTCAAAATTATGTTCACCTTAAAAACTCTGACAAAAGCGAGCGTTTGGTTTCACAAATTGAAGCACTGATGTTTGTCAGCAAAGAGACTCCGGAACCAACCTGTTCTCACTCATCATATCAAAGATATATCTGTTAAAGGGAGTCTGACACAATTCATCTTTGCCTGTTGACACTGCGGCAAAATAGGGGGGTTTGTTTCAGACTTGTTTTGAGAGTTTATGTTAATTTATGTTAACAATCTCTCACCGTGGAAGTTTTACTGACTAATTTAACAGTGTAAATACTCCATTTTTGAAACAGTGAAATCATTTTTAAATCCAAGAACTCAAGGTTGTAGAATTATTCTATTTTGTCATTTTCCGTAAATGTTTGCAGACTTGAAAATGACTAAGTGCTGTTCTTGCAGCCCACAGCTATGTAACAGCAAGACAGCAAACTATACAAACACACAAAATACTGGAACCATTTAAAATACACTTAAAATGTGCTAAATCTCTTACGGTGTTAAGGAGGTGTTGCTTTTAAGGAATGGAGAGTAATTTACTTTTTGTGTTTTCTTCATATTCAGCCACTTTTTTTCAGAAGATGTTAAAACTATCTCATCAATATTGTCAATTGTGGAACAGATTTGGGTGTTAATGTCTGAATTTTTTGCTAAATTTTCTTCAAGCAAGCTCATTTTTAGTGTGAGCTCACACAACACTGACCACCAGCAGTAAGACATTTGAGGTATGCCGTAAAACAGTGTACAGAGAGTCTGTTTTAAAGGCTGAAATTTTCATTAAGTAAGTAGGAAATCAAGTTGATATCTGTTATTTCTTGAAGCATATGTTTGGGACAAATTCAAAATGATAATTAACAAAATCAGAGCACAAGCAGTCTGAGGTATCAGACCTATGTAGGGCAGTTAAGACGTACATGTACTTGTGTATGTATGTTTGTTTTCTCAGCTATGAGATCATATGATCAGTTAAAATATGAATCAAAAAAGGTCACGAAAAACTTTTTAAAATATTTAATTTCTAATTTCTAATTTATTTACATGTGCACCAATATGACCACATACAGTATGTATGCAAACACATATAAACAAATATATCGTTACACAATACACTTATTGATATGCACACACAGAGAGATATTTAGTTGTAGATGTACAGTTTGAGTAAAAGCATAATATCGTGGAACCAGCCTGTAAAAGACGGCTGCTTCAGAGTTGTCCGACAAAAAGAATTTGATTTCTAAACTTTAAAATTGAAGTGAAATAGCTTGAATAAGTTTTGCAAAGGGTTGAATAATTGATTTAATGTCCGGGGGAAAACGTTAGGTAAGGTCTGAGTTGTTAAAGATGTGAGTTTTAAAGCAGTGTGTGATGCTGTTTTCCTGTATTTATTTGTGTTGCCTGATTGACATTTGCAGATCTTTTATTGTGATTCACATTTATTCTGCACTGACACTCAAAGGCAGACCTCATCCTCTCTTACACAGCGTCCTCCTGTTCTACTCTTAATTTTTTGACTTCACACAGACCTCACTGATAATCCCCCCCCTCCACCCCTCAACTCCCTGCTATCTCCCCCTGACTTCTCTCTTCCCTCCACTTCATCTCTCCCTCTCTCTCGTGCCGTGATATTTCTCTTCTATTTAAAGGCCACTAAAGATCAAGCTTTAGAAAGACATTTCAATTTACTTACTGGCCTTTGGAAAGCACCTCCGGTTAGATTTGGATGCCATGGTACAGTTAATGGTGTATATCTGTTAAATGGCAAGCGTGAGCCGCAGCATCGATCACATCTGGGAGAGGAGATGGCAGTAGATATAACAGCAGGTACAGAGCATTATCCCTCTGTCAAGGAGAATGGAGACTTCTAGTGGATGTGGATTATCTGTTTTACTGCCAGCGTATCATCCCACGCCCCCTTAAAACAAAAGGGTTTCCCTCTGCCGGCTCTCGGTCGCAGGGACTCAGGTACAGAACAGCCAGCTGTGACTTTTTCCCTCGATTAATCATTGGAGAGAGCCTGCAGGCTGCAGGCATCAATAATTTTAAAGGAAAGGGCTTTACAGTAAAGATTATAAGCATGAGAATGCCTTAGCATATTAGAAATCAGCATTTTTTTTTTCTCCCTTTGCTTAAATGCTTTTGCTCCCCTCCGGTGTGCTGACCTCTCAGTCCACAAGCAACATGTTAATGGATTCACAGAGCGCAGACGCAGCTCCTGACTCACTTTTCAGTTTCAGGGTTTATGGAGGCTGGTGTTCGCCAGAGGGGATGTCGCCTGGAGGAGTCCGCAAAGAGCACAGAGCTTTACTGGAGCTAAACTATTACAACACATCCGATTGTTTTTTTCTGTATTTGTTCTCTCTTTTCTGTTCAGAAATTCCACACAGTCAACTCTCACACCTAAACCTCAACCTTTATCTTGCCATGATTGATCGCATTTTTCCTGAGAAATGACCGTGATCATACCACAAAAGTGACATCCAAAAAAATGAATTTCTGTTAAACTGGGCTCACAAAAATCAACACACACCCTTAAAAAGTTTCACTTATAAAAGTAAGGCCGGGTTCACTCTGCAGGCCTAGCGTGTAAAAACAGAAAGAGCTGTTAGAGATGTCTGGTTTATCCTTACATGTTTTCGGAGCCCTCAGGTGCCAGACCAAGAAAAAGAGCCACGTGCAGATTCATGCACACACACATTGGCAATCCACGAGCATGGTTTGTAATCCATACATGCAGATTTGCATGTAATTCGTTTTTCTTTACCTTGGCACCTCAGGGATCCATCCATGTGTTTTAATTAGAGGTCTAACCTCTCCATAGGAGACAGGTTGCGAGTGTGGAACTTTCCCCCAACCCAAGTTCAGAAAAAGTTGGGACACAACTTTGTTAATGTTAATTAAAAACTGAATTTGATGGTTAGCAAATCGTTTAAATACTATGTTTAATTGAAAATGTCACACAGACAACAAATAAATTAAAAAGTTTGATTGTTTTAGGAAAATTAAATGCTCATTTAAACTTCATACCAGCAACCCTTTTTTTAATAAGTTGGGACATGGAAACAAGACCCCCTAAAAGTTGTGTAATTCAAACGATAAAAATAAAACTTGAGGTAAAATTGGTTTATTATGAAAAGACTTTTTTTTTTTTTAAAGGGGCACTTTGGAGAAGCTGATATCCTCAGAGGTAAAGATGGGATGAGCCTCACCAGTCTGTGAGAGACTGCATGAGCACATATTCAACATCATTATCATTTAAAGTACATAACACCAAGGTTTTCAAACAAAAACAAGAAATCTCTGAATGGGACAAGACCACAAACCAAAGCTGGATGACTGTGATCTTCGGGCCCTCCCAGGGGCGCTGTATTAGAAATAGGCATGACTCTGTGGTAGAAATCACTGCATTGGCTTAAAATCACTTCCAAAAACCACCATATCATCAAGCGCAGTTTCGCTGTCTCTAAACTGTTCCCTGCAAAGAGGAACATAATCAAGAAACAGTCATGACTCCTCCAGGTCTGAGCACATTTAAAACAGAATGAGGAGAGTGGGAAAACTGGGTTGTGGTCAGAAGACTCAAACTTTAACATTCCTATTGGAAATCTTGGACACGGAGTCCTCTGCACTAAAGAGGAGATGGATGGCCCGGTCAGCTTTTCAGCCCACAGTTCAAATTTAGCATCCAGTCTGTCCTCTATTGAACACATTTGGGACATCATGTGATTAAAAAAATACCACAAAAAAGACCCCAGCCTGAAACTCTTTAAGGACATGTTGCTGACTTTTGTCTTGGCACAGTTTTCAGTAGCATGATGTGATTTTTATATATCATTTATATATCATCAAGTGTTGATTTTGTTTTTCTTTTTTTTTATTTAATGGGGGGTTTATAGTAAAAAGTAAGTGTGTACATCCTGTTTGTCATATTTGAATCCCATCATAATAATCATATTTCTTGTTCTTTAAACTAATACTCAGTGATTCTCTCCCTTTTCACATAGAAACGAATGGCTCCTGACCTCACAACACACCTTCGCCTCAGGAGAGGTGTCACCGCTCACCCGTTCTTGTCTTCCTCTGCACCCATGGGTTTCTGCACAGCACCGACCTTCACCCCTCTGAGACCCGCCCGCATCATCCAGGACAGTCAGACTATCTGCGACACACACATCAGACAGAGAAGGTGTGTGTGTTTTCTTTGATCTCTCTATTCCCCCCTCTCTCTCTCTGTTACACACACACACATTCAAACACAGAAACAAGTGAGCGAGTGGATCCAATCAAGGGCGCTCCAGCTAAAGAGGGGATGAAGGTGGTGTGTTGCTAAGTGCATGTGTCCGTATGTATGTGTGTGTGTGTTGGAGGGTGTAAGGGGGTGTCAGGGGTGTAATTTCTGTTTCATATGTACCCCCTCCTCCCCTTCCCGACCTGACAATACTTGAAAAACAATGAGAGTGACCCAGTTGCAGGATTCCAATTAGTATTAGATATGCAACAGTTGAGATTAGAATGCGTCTCTTCTCTCAGTGGAGGGGGGAGGAAGAGGGGGGAGGAGGAGAAGGAGGGAGGGGGGGGTTGCTGCTCTGATTACCAGCCCAAGCCCTAGTGTCGGGTCGTGATAAAGACGCACGCATGTCTATGTGTGTGTGTGTGTGTGTGTGTGTGTGTGTGTGTGTGTGTGTGTGTGTGTGTGTGTGTTGCAAAAAGAGAGAAGGGAGGGAGCGGGGGTGGAGAGATAAGGCATCAGGGGGACACAGCTGAGTATCAACACACTGACTCACCTACACACACATGTACACACACACACACACACACACACACACATCCAGATCGCAGTCTGTCCCGTCTGTCCGCTGGGGGAATATTTATTTCTAAAATAGCTTGACTCCTCCCTGACGGGAGCGGAGGTTATTTTAATCAGAGGAGAGGGAATAGAAGAAGATAGGGTGTTACTGTGTGTGTGTGTTTGCGTGCATTTGTGTGTGTATGTGTGTGTCTTTTTGGTTAAACTGGGTGATGCAAGTACTTTTTAGCCAGGACGCTCTTGGAAAGAGACACTGATCTTTGTGACCTTGTTGTGTGGTTGTTTTGGTTCACACAGGGTAAGAAAGAAAAGTCAAGGAAAATTCAGAGGGTTAAAAAAGTTGTTAATGTAACTCTTCATTGTTTTTCACAGAGTTAGAAAAAGAGCGACAAAGAAACGTTTATGTCAAGAGGCAGAAAACTGGAGCAAACTGAGCTGTAGGTATGAAGGGTTCAGCTGTCTGTCCTTACCTGTTGTTATCAGTTCGTACAATATCAATCATTACTTTTGGCCAAACCAGCTCAAGTGTATTTTCAGGCAAATAATCTCCCTCTCAAGCTTCTACAATAATAAATTGCCCCTAACGTGTTAATGCAGCAGAAAAATAATCCACTTATGTAACAGGGATAATAATCCAGTCATCCGTTTAATAGTAATACTAGTTTATCTAGTTTAGAAGGTCACTCAGGCTGCTGCCTGCACCGGCTAACACTAGCTGAGAGAAGAAGTGAGGTTCACCTTGAACAGATGACCAGTTTACTGATGAGTTAAAGAGAGGAAAAAAAAACATTATATTAAAAATATTTGCAGCAACATCTGAGAAATCGTGCCTGAAATCATACTCAAAAAGCCTTTGGATGCTGGATTTTACTTAAAGCGGAGTATAGACTCTGTAAATCAACTACCCTGACACAGAGAAGTGTTCTGATCTTTATTTAAATAATCTTGGTTCATTACAGTCATGCTGGAAAGTATTTAAAAATTATTCAGAGAGAAAGTTTTCCTTTCTCACAAATTATAAATCATTGCAAAAGTGAGGCCTTCAGTCATGTCCCAACCGGCTACTAGTAAACCCAAAAACTGGATTAGAACCTAAAAACTGTAAAAGCCTAACTTTGATTAAAATGCATACCATTTTCATATAACACATATCTGATTACAGGTACCAGGGCATATTACCAAAAACTCTCCTTCAGTTGCGGGTGCAGGTGTTGGTAGTTCTCGGATGGCTCTCACAGCTTGCAGCATCTCTGGGTTGCCTCTCTACCTACCTGAGCTGATCTGAGGCCTGTTGCTGGTCTTAAACCCCCAGGCATCTTTCTCTTCATCAGTGGACGTGCACCACTGTCGAATCAGCTAACCATACACACTCATGGTTGCAGCTGTAGGCTTACCTCTTGCTGCAACACGTTTACTTGCCATGAAGTAGGGTAGCTGGAGCAGAAGCAGTGCAAATGCATCAGGGATTTTCTGTTGTTATGACAAAAGAAATACCACTTTCTGAGCAATAGATAAGTGTTGTTTAAAAGAAATCTTCTGTTATTTAATAATCAAAGTAAGGTTACATCACCATGAAATCATCACCATACATCACCAGGAAATCTCCATGCTGATTGGCTATTGCAGCGTGAGTGTGAGTTTTTGACTCTCAGGAAAAAGTGAATGAATGAAGGCATATGGAGCTGACAGACTGAACAAGTCTTGAAATTCATCCCATGCATTCTGTATGGCTGACGGACCCTTATTAAAACAGAATCCTGAATTTAAAGTAAACAGTGGTGTACTGTAAAATAAATACATATTATTGAAGTGTTGGCTTTATTGAAAAGAGTTTAAAATTTAAGACAACAAGTGACAAGGCTAAAGTGGGCATCTTTTGGCTTGGCTAGGAGCCTTTGAGCCTGAGCTCAGGGCAGCCAAATCCTTGCCGTAAACATGTGAATTTTTTGTGGATCTCCACACACGGCAAGACTGGAGTAATATAAAGTCTATCATAAAGTCATATAAACATGTAAACAGACAGCCAGCTGAGAGCCTTGCATAGTTGTAACAGATTTGCAACACCTGCAGGTCTGTGTACACATTTGTGTATGAATCTGTGGAAACATGTGCACATTTGTACAAATTTCACACTCTTACAGATTTTTTGCACATTTCTGGATCAGCTCACATCAATCAATCAGTCAGTTTTTATTTGTACAGCAGCAAATGACAACAATCAATGTAAGACGCTTTCCAAAAGAGCAGGTCTAGACCTAACTCATTGTTTGACGTAAGATAAGATAAGAAGAACTTGATTCATCCCCGAAGGGAAATTTGATATTATTATTACAAGATTTGACCCATCTCATCCAACAAGTGAAACACTTTATCGCATGTGGATTTGTGTATGCATCTGTTGATCGGTTCACACATTTGTGGATGTATGAACATTCACAAATTGTTTTGCTCCAATAATAGTTCCATACATTCCACAAACAGCGTTATGAACATATAGAATACACTGCATTTATCTGATGTCAATTCCCTGAGTAATCAGGCTGGAGTTGTTTTCCCCTGGCCTTTCCTTTTGTCTTCTCGGCTCTTAGTTTAGCAAAAAATGACAGAGAAATATATGCACTGCACTAAAAGACTTGCTTATTCCATCAGTGGTAAAATTGCCCTTGTTTTCAGTCTATTTCTGTGTAAATTAGTCGTCAATCACATTGCATCACATCCATTATAAGAATAAAAACTCATCCTGCATCTTCATTTTCAGAAGAAAGTTAGGCCTCAAGTCCCCTTAAACTTTTCCTCTCGTCAGGCGGCTCAGAGCAGAGATGTGACTACAGCTCATGCCGGGATCATGTTTCTGAGTCTCCTGACAGCACATTCAGCCTAACAATGACAGTTTAGGGTCATGGTGTTTGTCTGTGTTCCTCTGGTATAAGTCCATAACTTGGCCTGAACCCCTCCAGCCCAGAAGCAATCAGATTAGACTATCATGCCATCCTTAGACCCTCAAACTCTGCCACAAATCTATATGTTCAATTGGAAGTGTCAGCGGCCGGTCTTAGCTGCGGCTAAGCTCTCAGCACACGAGCCGTGCAACGTCTCAAAAGGGAGCCCTTCAGATGGCTCCAGCTGTTAATATACGCCTGCTTCCCCCGATGAGATTCTGAGAGGATAAATAGAGATGGGGAGGATTAGTTAGCGAGGCTACGAGGACAGGATCCAAATTAGTGCCAGCCTCAATCACCCGGCCTAAACACCCCCCTCATCCTGCCGTCCTGTCCGTTCACGCGGCTCGCTTGGACGCATCGTTTTCTTGCACTGTCGTTTATGTTCAAGGCTGATTGGCAAGGAAATTCTGATGCAGCGACATGGTCAATTTGGCCGCTAATTCTCGCCTCGATACTCAGAAACCCCAAAGACAGACCCCTCCCTCCGCTACACTACAGCATCCCAGTATGCTTGTGTCAGATTACAGGCTGGTCCTCATCTGAACTCCTCATTTACATCTTAAGTAATCATTTTATCTTGTTGTGCTTATAGCGCTCTGCGAGTCATTCCAGAGTGAAGTGCATTAATGTAAACATGCAGATTTGTACTTTTGCAGCCCTCCAACAGAGATTGCTACGTTAGCACCATAATTACTGGGACAGAGACTTGATGTGTAGTTAAAATTGTGTGTTTGTGTGCAGGTGTGTGCAGTAAGTCATCATAATGATGTGTTCTCCTGCAGGGGCATGTGACCCACAGTACTCCTGACACTTTATATTACATGTCTGAATGCTGTTTAAGATTTTTCTCCCAGTCCCATGTAAGACCGAAATGCCGAAAGACTGTAAAAGTTGTTTGATGTATTTGACACCAACAGCTAAAAACATGATGTTTCTGTCCATAACATACAGTATGGCTGGAAAATTGGGTCAAACAGTTTTCCCCCCTTGCTGCACTTTTAGATCCCCACAAGAGTGCAGGACCCCATAAATCTGTGCTTTCTCAATGTGAGGAATCATTCAATTAGGATTAAAGTTTTCACTGCATTTGTTTAATTTATTGCAACATTAGAACAAAAAAAACAGTTCATGATTTCAACATGAAAAGAAGCAGGGGGAAAAAACTCTATTTTTTCCTGTTTCTTTCTCAAAGCTGAAGTAAAAAGTGAAAATAGATAGTTTGAGGAATTATGATTACATTACAACCAATATTGTCAAAAGTTGATGATATTT